GATGTGATGCGCAGAGAACTTGCAGTATTTATGTCACCACAGTAATTTTCGTTGTATTAAGAAGAAAGGGTTGAAATTTTGTATTCTATCTTGTTAAAATAATTCGGATAGACGTTTTGTTGCTATGGATGGCATCGCATTTCGTTTGTAAGTAATTTTATACTTAATTTATTAAAATAGTTCTGGAAAAAACTCTTAAATTTTGGGTGGGTCAACTAGGTTAATTTCTAACATACTAGTATTAACCCTTCTAGTTGGAACTCCTTCTATAAAATATTGAGCATATTTGTTGAGTAGTCTCACTAAAGCTTCCCTATCTTCACCTTCGAGATCAGTGTCAATTGAATCCGAAGTTATTTTGTTCGGTTGCAACTCACAAGAATTTGACTGTTTCTTAGAAAAGAATTTAAGCTGATCTTGATCAGTTTGGACGCCAATGTCATTTTCATATCCTACACTAAAAATGGTAAAATAAACCCTTTTTTAAAAAAAAGTTGAACCGACTTCAAAAAACACCGACAAAGAGCACTAAAAATTAAAAAATAATTACAAATCTAAGTAAAAAACTATAATAAGTACCCTCAATGTAACAGGTAACATTATAATACCAATAGTCCCTTCTAGTCTGTTTGAAGTCGGTTTAATTTTTAGTGCTCTTTGTCGGTGTTTTTTGAAGTCGGTTCAACTTTTTTAAAAAAAAGGGTTTATTAGATAAATGAGTACGAACAAACAAACATAGATTTATTAGATATAACTATAAGATCAACTTAAACATTGTTTACGTACACTAGTCCCTAACCCTGGTTGATAACAAAAAGATATTAGTTAATATTAACACCGTTAAGTAACTTATAAGCGTAAAACCACAGAACAGTGAATACACATTAGAAGTGCGTTTAACAGTAAATCAGGAAAGTTCCGTTGTCGCCCAGACGCACACATAAACGATAAATAATATTTTACACACATAAAAAATTTTTTCATAATAAAATGCATTTGAATATTTATATATTGCAATATCGCATTTTGTTAAGTCGGATAAATGCTTTGATGATGGGTTTTTTTTTTTTTTTTAAAAAAGACAACGCCCGCATTAGGAATATATATTCCTGTGTCTCGGGGGACTTTACAAACATACATGAAACGGACACAAAGAACACCCAGACTCAGAACAACAATTTGTGGATCACACAAAGTGTTGTCCCATGTGGGGTTTGAACCCACAACACTCGGCGTAGTAGGAAGCGGCGTGGCGACCACTTAAACCACTACGCCATCCGTGCAGTCACCCTATTGATGAAAGCCTATTTCATTAAATATGTTACTACCTACTATCTGGCTTAAGACTTGCAGAAGTATCCGATTTTTATCTAGGCACCTCGGTTGGTCAGTTGGTCATTTCATTTTTCTATAAAACTAATGCTATGACCAAAAAGATGTCCAAAATAAGGTCGTTACAATATAGAGCAAGAGCCCGTGAACCCCAGACCTTCGTTATTTTATAAAAGCTGAAAGTTTGTCAGCGCATGCTCCCAACACAGGTAAGAACGATGGACCATTATGAAGTTTGGGTTATCGTGGCTTCGGTAGGTAAACGGTACTAAAGGTGTGTAAAATACCGATCTAAATTCGTCAAATAATAAAGTGTGATTTTTTGGTATTACCTTCAGAATATTATTAAAAATCACGTTATTGCATGCCAGACACTTAACATCGTGGCAACCCCTTGCCAGACACCCTTAATGTTCATGAAATTATAATTCTACTTATGTTATAGTATAAAAGCTGATTTTTATATATAATACTTAGGTAATAATTAGATGATGTTTCCTCATTAGCCAGACATTTTTGATAGTTCCAACCCCTTGCCAGACAAACATGTAGGATAGCTGTAGGAGCGAGCGCGAGACAGTATTTGTATGGTATGGTATGGTGGGTGCGAGGGAGATGGCGAAATAGGTCTATCGCGATCCCTCACTGCGCAGTTGTTATTTCTACTGCGCATGTATTGTCTAGTACATGTTTACATCAGCTAAAATAATCTTATATGCTATCTTCAAGTTTTATTAATTTAATAGTTATTATTAATTAACAACATAAAATATTTCGAATAAATACAGACTATAAAGTATATTCAATATATTATTAGTGTATGATACGTACATTGTATGTTTACAATTTATTTATGTGATTTTTGAATGAAAGTGATTTTGTTTAAAAAAACAAGTTATGGGTGATACATTAATTTGTGTTATTTGTAAGAAAAGTAGTGGTAAAATAATATTATTTTCTGACGAGACATTGAAAAAATGTGAATTAATTTTAAAATTGCGAAGAAAACATAACCTAAAATATAATAACATCATTCTTCCACGTGAATATACAGAGAGTGGTTATCACAGGGAATGTTACAAATCATTCACAGGACTGATGAAAAAATATTTTACCCCAGAACCTAAAAATTCTAAAAAGACTGTTGAAACAGAGCAAGAAAAAGAACCATCTAAAGACGGAAATACATCAACAGACGATTCAATACCAGGTTCATCGCATTTGTCTGAGTTAACTGTATCACACCCACCTTCAGCTTCTCAATCAACAGAACCTCAACCTTACCAAGCAGCTGTGGACATTCGCGGACTTGAAGAAGTGAGTGAAAATGCTAATGCAACCACAGAAGTAAATAGTTCGATTCAAAGTGAGACCAGTGTTGATAAAAAAGTTTGTTTATTTTGCAATAAAAAAAAGAAACAAGTGAGATCAAAAATGCTTCCACTCCATGAAGGTGATAGAAACCAATTGCAGTCTCGTATAATGTCTAGCATTGAAAATCAAGAAGAGTATAATGAGTTGTTAAGTAGATTGGAAATCATTGCAAGTCCAAAAATATACTATCACACTGAATGTAGGATTCAGTTTAATAATAAAATATCTTCATCGGCGAAAATATCTGTTAAAAGTGATTGGCATCATTATCGAGAGTACCACCAAGAAGCTTTCAATGAAATTTGTAGCATCATAGAAGAAGATATTATTAACAACGGCCGCTGTCATTTATTGATTCATTTACATGAATTATATTCTGATTCATTGGAGAGAATTTATGCAGAGAATTCCATTGAAATTGATACTACTTTTACTGCACACCACCTAGAACAAAAAATTGATAATAAGTTTTCCAAAGATGTTAAATTCTTTACAATCCGGAATAAAAAAATAATACCACCCAATTATATGAAGACGATTGACGAAACAGTATTGGACAACTTAAAATCTGAAAATATTATTCAAAAAGCGGCATTAGTCTTACGAAAAACTATTTTGACAATCGACAAGAAAAAATTACCATCTAAAAATCTTTCAGCACAGCATTTAATTGCAGGTGAAGCTTCTATACCGCAAGAATTATTTGATTTTTATTCTACTCTCATAGGTGGTTCTAGACAGAAACGAAAAAGTGGCTTAAAATGTATTCGTCAAGTACGGTCTTACTGTCAAGATATTATTTTTCATATTTTTTATAGAAACTTTTTCATATTTTTATAGAAACTGACGAAGAAGAAGACGACGATATCGAATGGAGTAACAGTGACGAAGAAAATGATACTTTATAATAACTTGTAATGTCATTAATCTATTTTTAATTAAATTTTAGTGTTATTTTTATTTGGTTTTTTATTTTTATAACCTGTCATTGACAGAATAAATTTAAATTTTTAACAATTTAAGATAGTTGTAGCATCGAATGCCTTTTCCTAAGATGTTTTTAAAATTTACACAGATTATTAGTTATATAAATCTGTGCCAAAAAGTTTATTTGCATGTCTTCTTAAGATTTACATGCTTGTCTGGCAAGGGGTTGGAACTATCAAAAATGTCTGGCTAATGAGGAAACATCATCTAATTATTACCTAAGTATTATATATAAAAATCAGCTTTTATACTATAACATAAGTAGAATTATAATTTCATGAACATTAAGGGTGTCTGGCAAGGGGTTGCCACGATGTTAAGTGTCTGGCATGCAATAACGTGATTTTTAATAATATTCTGAAGGTAATACCAAAAAATCACATTTTATTATTTGACGAATTTAGATCGGTATTTTACACACCTTTAGTACCGTTTACCTACCGAAGCCACGATAACCCAAACTTCATAATGGTCCATCGTTCTTACCTGTGTTGGGAGCATGCGCTGACAAACTTTCAGCTTTTATAAAATAACGAAGGTCTGGGGTTCACGGGCTCTTAGACTAATACCTTTTGAACACGAACAAAAAAAAGCCTAGATTCTATGAAATAGTTTGAATTTCTTTCATTATTCTACCATCATTGCCAAATGCCTGATCAATCTGTTGATGCCAAATATCATCCTGTCCCCGATGATGATTGACTGAATATAATTACTACTATACCTAAAACATAAAAATAAAATGAAGGCCCTAAGATATGTAATTCATTTTTGAATGGAGAAGTAGTTTTCAATAATGTAACTTTATATTTAATTATAAATATAGTTACAACATCAGATATTATTTACGTCGGGGCACCAGAGATTTCCTTTCTAGGTACACCTGGTTCCCCGACTACTGGTACCTGAGACGGCGTGCGGTTTTAGTCGGTTTGAGTCCGACATTGCCACCGGTAAGTGGTATCCGAGGGGATATCGGCACAGAAAAAAAAATAGTTACAAGATCAGATATAACTATGTACCTATATGTATATGATTAAATTTTCATACTGTTACATTTTGTTTCTACTACGAGTATATGATACTTATAGCAACAAATTAAAAGCTTTCGGAGTTTCCTTTACTATTACTTTGAGAAATAAATCATTGAAAACAAGACTTAGGGCCAAGGCATACTGAATAAGAAAGCTTAATGATTGCAATCGAATTTACATGCACACACTAGTGCAATATAAAATTATCGTAACTGCTACAGTAACAATAATGCTGCTGTACTGCTATAATTTACTCTTGCTAACAGCAGCGCGATGGATAAACTCATTCACTTACTCGTGTGTATACTAATCAGCCAAGTAAGGAGTAGTACAAGTGCAAGCAGCGAACATAATAACTTTTATGACACTCGTGAAGATGAAGAAGCGATGGAAATTGAATTGAAAAATAACCGTGCAGAAAATTTTAGTTCATGGGAGTGCAATGATAAGAGTTCTTCTAGCTGTAGCGTAGAATTTACTGTTAGTGTACGCACAATTGGAACGACTATGCTTACAACCCCGGAACCAAAACCCATTGTTCTTCCAATAGGATGTTTTTTTAACATGATGGTGAATATATGTCGAACAATATTGGAAAAGTTTAAACCTTCAAGGATCGGTAAATATTTCAGAGCATTAAGTCGAAGTCTTAAAGGAATGGGTTCTAATTACTTCCAAAAACTATGCTTAAAAAAATTCCGTAAATTGCTCGATAGATATTCAGAGTATGAACCGAACCAACAAAAAATTAAAGTAAAGAATTTTCTGAACGCCATATCGAGTGGAAAAGAAAAGTGTAATTCGTATTTTATTGCTATGAATAATATATTTTTAATACGGAGAGTTATAAGGTTAGAAGATTACGTGCATCGTGTGAGGAAATTCGGTCAAGGCAATACAGAGCACATTGGACAGAGAACCAGAGATATTCTCAAGGATCAAATTTTCAAATCATTTTACGCATTAAATGAAAAAACACAATCTGAATTAGAATTGAAATTCGAAGAAGCGATCTTAGAATATTCGATGGCAAATCAGAAAATATTGCGTTGGTCACACCGTGAAATTAATCGGTTTTAATATTTTATCACGTGCACTATTCTAAAGATAACGTAAATTATATCATGTATGTTCTGTGTAAATATTTTTTGTTATTGTGTATTACCATGTGTTTATGCATACGAAATGAACAGCAAAATTACGACGAAAACTATGGTATTTTTGCAGGCTTTTTGAGTAAATACTTGGATATGTTAGGAACTGGTTGTTCTGGATTACGGTTAAAGAGACATTGTAGGTTGATGTACGAAGAGCTCAAGAAAATGGATTATAAATATACGAAAAAACTTGGGAAACTTTACAAAGGCTTGTCTAAACTGTATTCAGAAGAAATCAATGGATATGCATCACTGTACCGCCAAGAACTTGATAAAAAACCGTATCATCGTGCCACATTTATTAAAACTATGAATGAAATATTCACTCTCCAAGAACATATCCGATTTGAGGACTACTTACACGAATTGTACTTTTATTGCAATGGATACAAACTCCTAATGAATACAATAACCAAAAAACTGTTGTCAGAAGTTATTATGAATTCCATAAAAACACGGCTCAGTAGAAGAGATCAAAAAAAATTGGAGAAGACGTTAGAGATGGCTATCAGGGAATATCGCGATCTTAAAGTGCAGGATTTAGTTTTGAAGTATAACCTGTCTACGTTAAAACCTTTTATACCAGTCCGAATGAATCCCTCACAGTGGGCTTTATCATTTGAACTCGATCTGCTCAATGACTAAATTGTTATTTCACATCCACATCACATCAATAGCCTTTAATAGTCCACCACTGGCCATAGGCCACTCCTTAGAAATGATGTTTTGGCCTACTATACCACGCGGGTATACCAGACGGGTTGGTATAGGGTATGTTTCAAGTTTTCCTTCTCTTTGCAGTGCTGTTGTCCTGCTTATTTTGCTCCCTTAATCGGTTCTTACGACACCCACGGAATGAATAGGCGTGGTGCCACTCCGTATTCTTAATTTATCACCACACGCACTTATTTATATTGTCCTGCCAACCTTCCTATTTGTCTTTGACGGATACCACACGTAAATTACTTTCCACAGACTGCACGCGTATGCGATGGCGTAGTGGTTTAAGCGGTCGCCACGCCGCTTACTACTACGTTGAGTGTTGTGGGTCCGATCCCCACATGGGATTACACTTTGTGTGATCCACAAATTGTTGTTCTGAGTCTGGGTGTTCTTTTTCTCCGTATCTGTTAAGAATACATTCCTAACTCCCGCATTAGGAATATCGTATATTCCTATTTATTTAAAAAAAAAGTAAAAAAAGAAGAAAGAACAGTCGTACGACACACATTAGGCTTCTTTTTATTCCCGCCTTTCATTCAAACGAAATGCAATCAAACAAGCCTTCCTCATTCTGAACTAACCATACCACCACCTATAATTATCAAATTAAAACTTAAAAAATTAAGGTTTAAAAAAATATAGGTGATGAAAATATACATAAATTGTATAATAATAAACTGCATTCTTCTAATTTTCCCTCTTAAGGGTGAACTATAAATGGGATCCAATGGGAAGTATACTTACAAGTTCAAAAGAAAAAAAATCCAATCGGTATAAAAATTATGCGAGTTTTGAGGCACCAAAAAAATAAAAATAAAGAATTTAAAACGTCCTCTTTTTTAAAGTTCAATTAAATAATATATTGTAGTAATCAATATCAAGACCTATGTCATAGGGCCAAATGGGTATGAAATTGCCCGATTGAATTGGCACTGACACAGAATAGAAAAGAATAACAGATTTTAATGTTGACACATTTCGGGTCGCTGAGCTAGCGAAGTATGTCATAAGGCGTCCGAGTATTTGATTCGGTATCCCGGTCAATAAGCCACTAGTCCCGGTTTGGAGGCTAGGTGTATATGTACGAATCGTATTATGAAATATATATATATATGTTTACGGTATCAAGATTGGTAGTCGCACATATTCTGAATATAAATGCTCTTTCAACGTTCTGATCACCAAACACAAAACCTCCGTGATTGGCAGTGAACACGTCTAAACTCCTCACATAACATGACTGCACTCCTGACATAACAAGTATTTTTTTTATGGAATACAGTTCCAGAACAAAAAATTTTTGGTATCGCTACAACCAGCCTGTGGCGTGTAGATGGGTGCGTAGGCATTTATAACACAGCAGAGTTTCACTTCTGCGGAAATCCGGTTGGGGTTGTTTTTTTTACCAAGACCACTCTTCATTCGGTAGGCCTTAGCCTTGGCCTGTGCGGTCGCACCCTATCTTTGGTATGTTTCTCTTTGTGCGCATGATAATACGTGGCGATAAGTAGAAGAAACTACGAGATATTTCAATGAAAGAAGGTTATTCAAATTTTTCAACGTATGAAGAATTAATGTACTTGAAATCGTTTATTGAATGTGAAGTTTCCGATAAGTGAGAAGCTGAAGACACGCAAGAAAAATGTTTACATTTTTTTATTATTTATTTATTAACACAAAAGGAAAACAAATCTTCTCAAAATTTATTTTTGCAATCCGAGGTCACGCGATCCTTTTTTTTTTTTTTTTTTTTTAACGTGTGGAAATCCCCTCGGACCGTCACCCCACCGGGGTTTGCGGCGGGGTGGTGTGTCGGACTCGGACCGACTAAAACCACACGGTGTGCCACTCTGCGCCTGTCACAGGAGGGATCCGGGAACAGCTGTTATTAAGACATCCAGACCCCTCCTAGCGCCAGCCCGCTCCTGGTGCGGGCTCCGTCTCAAAATTTTTTTTTCCCTCTCTTTAGGCGACGTCCGGCACACGCGGACGCCGCCCCCTCGCGGCTGGCCAAACTAATGCGGGTGGAGGGGAAACCCGCCCCGTCCACCCGCGGCCACACTCAGGAGTGGAGGTCGTCCTCCCGGGCCTTCTCCGCCGCCTCCTTCTGCAGGATTACTTCCTCGCAGAAGGTTGCGCCCGCGGTAAAACAACTGTCGCTACCGGCCATGGAGCGTACTACGGCCGGTAGCGAGAGATCCACTCCGATGACTGCAGTGAGGGCCCGGCGCTGCGCCGCCCATGCGGGGCACACCGCCAGCGTGTGCTGGGCCGAGTCCTCACTGCAGTCGCAGTGGTGGCAGGCGGGACTCAGTTCCCTCCTAGCGACCGAGTGCAGGTACTTTCCGAAGCAACCGTGCCCGGAAAGCACCTGCGTCAGCCGGAAGGAAAGGGTCCCGTGCTGCCGCCCTGCCCACTCGGCGATGACCGGCTGGAGAGCCTCCACGGCGGCGAAGCCAGCGCGTGGAGTCTCCAGCCGGAACGACCAACGAGCCATCGTGGCTCGGCGAGCGGCTTCGCGCCACTCGCGCACATCCTCGGGCGGAGGGCGAAATCCGCTCTCCGCCCGGGAGTCAGCCACTCGCCGATAAACTTCGGCGAGCACTTCCGCCTCCAAATCCCACGGGGGAGTTCCGGCCAACGCGCATGCCACCTCCGTCGAAACGGTGCGGTAACCGCGTATGGCTCTGACCGTCATTACCCTCTGAGGGCGCCAGAGGCGTGCCCTATTCTGGGCGGTCAGAGCCGCCGCCCACACCGGTGCACCGTATAGTGCCATTGACCGGACAACCCCCGTGTACAGCCGTCTTGTCGCGACGCTGGGTCCACCCAAATTGGGCAAAAGTCGCCCTAGGGCAGACGCAGCGCGGACCAGCTTTGGAGCAAGCGTCGGAAGCGTCGGAAGTGCTCGTCGAAGAGCCACCTCCCGTCGAGGATCAGGCCCAGATATTACATCTGGGCCCGAACCGGTACGAGGACCGAGTTGACCACGATTGAGGCGCCAGGGGGTGGACCACGACGGGGCCCATGAAATAACAGGGCCTCCGTCTTATCTAGGGCCACCCGTAAGCCCAGCGCCTCAATGCGCCCGACCACCAGGGAGACTCCCCTTGTGGCCAGGCGCGCCGCCTCTTGGAAGTTTGCCCCCCGGGCTGTCACCAGGGTATCGTCTGCGTAACAGATTACACCCAGCCCGGGGGGGAAATCGGCGCGAAGTGCCCAGTCGTACCCTATGTTCCACAAGAGGGGTCCAAGAACAGACCCCTGTGGAACACCGCACGACATGGGCCGACACCTCAAATTACCCTCTCGGTCCTCGTACACGACGGTACGCTCCTCTAAATAGTCTGCCACTAGCCGCCTCAGGTACTTTGGCACCCCATGATAGTGGAGTGCTTCCCTGATGCAGCTGAATGGCAGACTATTGAATGCGTTGGCGATGTCTAATGACACCGCCAACAGCACGCCGCCACAGCTCACGGCCTCTTCGGTCACGGCCCTCAGGCGCAAAACAGCGTCGACTGTCGAACGCCCCGCCCGAAAACCAAATTGGGCGTCCGACAGATCGGAGCCCACCTCGTATAGGTGCCGGACGATGCGGGCAGAAAGAACCCTCTCAAACAATTTACCCGCCTCGTACAGCAGCACGATGGGCCTGTAGGCCGCGACCGAATCGGCAGGCCGTCCCGGCTTCCTTAATAGGACCAGCTTCCCGCTCTTCCAGCACTCAGGGAAACGTCCCGACGCCAAGCTAGCGTCGAACACCTCCCCGAGGCGGTCTGCCATGTGGTTGAGGGCCAGGGCCAGCACTCGGGCCGGTACCCCGTCTGGCCCAGGGGCGGTGTTCTTGGAACGGATCCGTAGAACAGCCGCCCCTACCTCCGAATCCCGGACGGGCGGAACATCATCCTCCTCGTGCTCCCCGTCGTCTCCGGCCAAGGAGGCCATCGCCGGGGGAGTGTGTTCCGCTCGTTGCGGGAAAAGGCCCTCAACCACTTCTCGCAGGAAGCTGGGCTGGAGAGTCTCCGTAAGGGGGGGGCCCGACGCGCGGAGCTTTTGTCGCACCGCGCGATAAGGGCGACCCCAGGGGTCACGATCGAGACCCTCCAGCATCTCCTTTCTCTTTATCTCTTTGGCGCGGATAGTGGCCAGCATCAGAGTTTTCCGCGCCTCTCGGTACTCCTCATGAAGCCGGTCCTCCTCACCGTCTCCACGGTGACGCCGCCGACTGCGCGTGAGGTCACGCGATCCTAGCGTAAGAGAAGTGATTCCTAATTCTAACACATTTTCTCATTTTCAGTGCCACTTTTCAATTTTTAAAAAGATCTCTTACTTATTTTATTTTTTTTGATTTTTTACATTTTTTAGCTTTAGTCAATATGTCCCAAAAATTATAAGTACTAGTATGCGAGTCTCATTAAAACATGTATACAATTCAAGTTTTTAAAATTGTCCATGGTTTAGCTTTTTCTGTTTCCAAATGTTCCGGTCGATGGTTCAGCACTTATGGCAGTCCTATTCTGAACTAGAGGATTCGATCACCGCTCAGTGCAAACTGTCTGTTATCTTTCACTTCCTCTGTGAATCAAAAAGTGCGTACATTCATTTATTTATTTTCTTCTAAACCTCACTCGAATCAAACTGCTCTTGAAAGATAAAAATATTTTTTACGGAAGCGAAGCAGCAAGCAAAAGATAGTTACAGTGGAAAGATGAAATCTCTATCAGCATTTTTAGTTATACAAATGAAATAAAGAGGTTTAATCTCGTTCCTTAGCAAGCGAAAACCAGTGTTGACAACAACAATAAAACACGTATAATGTCGTATTTGTATAGTCTATGGAGTATAGAGGCAAGGAGAACCATCTCTTAAGAGGGGAAAGTTACAAAAGTGTCGTGCGGTATACTGAAAATAGAGGTCGCTCGCGTACGAAAAACACGATATGAACATAGCTGTTGTAGACGGAGTGAAGTGTATTGAGTTAAAATATTATAACACTTTTATTATCTGGAAGTTATTACCACGTTTATTTGTTGGCCATAGTGTATGCAATATAAATTTATCCTAGGGTACCACAGTGCCACCCTTATTGTATGCGCTTTTACGGAAACTGTCGTATACAGAGATGGTACTCCTTCATCATCATCATCAGCCTTACGCAGTCCACTGCTGGACATAGGCTTTTCCCATTGCACGCCACTTAGATCGATTTTAGGCTTCTCGCATCCAGCTCTTGCCAGACATCTTGTCACTCCAGCTTGCCTGTGGACACTACGTTTGCCGAGACGCGGTCTCTACTCAAGAACTCGTTTTCTCCTTGTCTCTACACAACATAGAGTATGGAAGCACTATGCCCTATGCGCCGTTTAAATGCGTTCAAACTTCTTGAAAGTACCTATATTACAACTTACACAAGTTCAACCTAGTTAAGACGTCAGTGTTCTTAAAAATGTAATGAAGAATATAGATATAAGTATTTTTGCTTGCACCATTCTTATTTTAGAATCAAGGTATGAACTATCGAGTCGTAGATTTTTTTGTTAGTATTATGTTTTTAAAAGCTATAAAATCGTGAAACCGGAACCATTTATCTTTATGCAAGCGAGCGGATTCATAGACATTTTTTAAATTTCTCTCTCTAAGGAACTTTCAGTTTAACTTAGATACCTACTTACTACGTAGAAAAGCCACGCTCAGACATGTTTTTTAGACCGGACAAATACCATGGCCAAATTTTTATTAATTCTGCCTTTTTAAGAATATCGTCTACGAAAACTCTTTGCAATTGTTCACATTTAGAAATTGGAGTTTACTATGTCATTTCTTTTTTCGTTAAATTTCATTTGATGATATTTTTTTAAAGAACCTGTCATGTGAAAACTAGGCATTAACATTTTAGGTTCTTTGATATTCCTACTCAAGTGATAAATGCCTTATCGTCAGTCCGATTTACAAATAATGGGTAATGAAATTAAAATAAGATCTATTACCTTTTTTAGATACGTAAGAGTAAACGAAAACACACTTTTTTGCCATAACCAATAATAATCTACTGGCAACATTTCAATCATTGACGAACAAATGAAATACGGCAACGTCACGCACGTATTGAAGTGGTAGAGTGATTGTTCATTCGGCTTTCATTAAAAGTAGTAAATTTACAAATTGTAATTAGTATTATATTTTATTAAAATGGCAGATAGTAAAGGGTGAGTAAATAACAATGTGTTATATGGACTATATACTGAAGTAGTTTAACAAGAAATCGATGCGTTACCTGCAACCGTATCTTCAAAAATTGGCTTGTCATCATGTCGTGAGTTACAAACTAACTCAATTCAATAATCAAAATCTGCAAGTTTATTGAATATTTGCTTCCTTTGTTAATTAATTGAGTCCAAACTTTCCGTGAAGTATATTAGTATGTTCCTTTTCTAAGATTGGTTTCACAAAGTAACGCCCGGATTCTTCATTTGGTGTTTGATGATTTTGGTTGTTTTGGCAGTAATCCTGATGACTTATCGACCGCGATTCTGCGTCGTAAGGACAGACCCAACCGCCTTATCGTCGAGGAGGCGGTCAGCGATGACAACTCTGTGGTGGCGCTATCTCAGGTCAGAATGTCTTTGTCTATATTCATCAAGAAAAAAACCGTCGTATAAGTTCCGTGATGTAGTTACATGAAAACTGCTTTGTCACCTACAAAGTTTACCTTTAATATGTTTTATTTGAGTCAAGGACCCTCCTTATTTGAGCAAAATGTACTAATAATAAGGTGTATTATTAGTACATTAAACTGGTCAATAACCAGATAATTACTATAATTATCTTATATCATAAATAATTAATACATATATATATGTATATAATATTTTTTATACAATTTAGTATTATATTAATATTCCTTTAGTCAATGGTAACCTCAAAATTGTAACATCTATTGTGCATAGTCATGGTAAATAATTCAACTTCAAAAGCAGTTTAGTTTGATTTGAAATATTTATTTAGTGTAACTAAAGAATATTACTCACCTCACTATTTATTTGAATTCAAACTGTTATTTTGCTATTTTATTGTTTGTTTATTTAAAGGTAAATATAAAATTTAAAGCAACTGTTAGCCTGAGTCACCATTGATTTAATTACTCTTTTGGATAGAATGATACCAATAATGTTTTAATTTTATATAATTAAACTCCTTTACTAAAACCTTTGGAGAGGCCTATGTCCAGCAGTGGACTATTAAAGGTTGTTTATGACAATGATAATTAAACTAAAACCCCATCAATTTCTAATAAATAAGAATAGAAAGAAAGTATAAGGTTGTTTACCAATATTTTGTATGAGTGACTTTAATATATTTACATAAATAATTGTCAATTCTGTTTTGCCAAGTACTTGTTTTTAGCTATTTTACTACAGAACTTACAGTACTTCTACCATATTATTATCTCTAATTTAAATGTAAAAAGTATTGATTTATGCTCAAGGTATAATAAAACATTTGGAGACATTAATTTTTAATCTAATACTTCAAACATTGAAGCTAGATACAAAAGATTACACATACATAGTTAATAATGTAAATATGCATACAGCAGATGTACATTAACAAATCATCAGGTGATTATTACTAGACAAGGGAGAGGGCCTAAGATCAATGGTTTTCACATGTAAAACATATACCTTGGAAATTTATCATAATTTTCTTAATTTGCCATATAAGTATGTCAATGACAATTTTTGTCTTACTCAAATCCTTACAAGTACAGTTTTATACAGCATTTCTAAAATAACAGTATATTCAAAACAGGGCCTCTCTTTTTATGATGTTGAATATGGCAAAAGTTAAATGTATAAATGACTCTAAAGAAACATGAATTTACCTTAAGAATCAATTCATTAATATTTCTTGAAAATTATCATTTTGTTATAAAACTAAATAAAATTGGGACAGTTACAGACATTTTGTTTCCACAACCATAAAGTTTGACTTAAAATTCTATCCTTTCTTTTAATAATCATTTAATTATTGTTCGCTACATTGAGACTATATAGTATGGTGAGTTAGAATGGCCAGGCAACCATCTTTTCTTTCTAAAATAATAAATAGACTGTTAAACATATGTCCTTTAAATAAGCTAAATTTTAAAAAAAGCTCTTACGAATTGGTTACAACTAACTTATGATGAAACTGAATATCTAATGGCAATACTAACATAAGGAACTAAGTTACAGTCATATACAGAGATAGACATACTCAAAAACACACACGCACACGCACCCATATATACACTCACACACCCACACACAACACACACCACACACACACACACCTACAGTTAATCATATATACATATGAACAGATCTACTCTTCACATTATCATATAATTTTCGTTTTTTTTTGCTTTTTTGTATTCACTATGTTTTTAATACCCTGTTAAATCTTAATCACCATGCCAATCTATATATGGAAGAGCGGCACCAACAATTACATACATACAGACAGACTCCAACAGTTACATATAGACAGAAGTCTAAAAGGATTGCTCCAATAATTCTTGTAATTTGATTAAGTTGTGTTAATGAAAATAAACCCTTTTATTTATTTAGCCAGTGAGCTTAGTGAGTTCTTTCGTATGAACTTTCCAATTTAAGTGTTTATCTATTGTAAGCTCTAGGAATTTAGCTGTATCTACATTGCACAATGTGTTGTTTTCATGGTGTACATTAATATATGGCATTAAGGGTAGGTTGGCTGTAAAACATTACTTTAGTTTTTTATATTTATTTTGAAGTTATACTGTTTATATTTCCTTGTAGATGTTAATGTTGCACTTACATAATTAAATAAAAATATTTTTTAACACGAAAAAGTTTGAATACAATGTGAATAACAATATCACATTACAATATCAGTTTAACTCCTATTGTAAAACCAGATGAACCATTGAACCAACAAAGATGTTAACCATTGTTCTAATCATGAACATGTCTCTGTTTCAAACAGTACTCAGCACCAACTTTTTGTTCTAGGTAACTATGCTACTGTAATTTAGCACATGCTTGTAGCTATGAATAAGTTGATACCACAAAATAATAAAAGTATGTTTATCAGCAGTCTGGTTACTATGGTACAGAGACTGCCCGTGTGAGATATGTAAAATGAATATTATTTGGTTAACACAATTAATTACCAGTGCAGCGAAATGAAATTATATAAATTTATATTAAAAACAAATTATATAAAAAAGGTTGTTTTATATTGAACATTTCTATTTTATGAAATTTCTGCTAATATTTGTTATGTCATGAAACTATTATAAATATCATATTGATGAGCAACTAGCTGTAATAAACTCAAATATTTGGTATTATGGTGAATAAATTGGTGAAATAAAAATTGTATAATATTTACTAATTCTTTAAGAGTTCTTCAATTAGCAACGTTTTTTCACACACATTTTAAAAGACAATGAGCTTAAACTTGAAATATAAGTTTTAGTAGATTAGGTATAATATACATGACATGTATATTTATGTATAATTATTTACTATATATTTTATAGTTAAAAACTTCTTATTTTCGTACACAGCATTGTTTACATTATGTGAATTTTATTAAGTGTAACTGAAATCTATTAGATAATATGTTTTTCTAATACTTACACACAATACATATTCCATAAATCCATTAATAGTCCACCGCTGGACATTGGCCTCTCCTTGGAAATTAGGTTTTCGCCTACTATACCACCCTTGCTAGACAGGTTGGTATAGGCTTTGTTTTAAATTTTCCTTCTTTGTGGTGCCGATGTTCTGTGTAGTTTGTCCCTTAGTCGGCTCTTAGGACACCCAAGGGATAAATATGGGTAGTGACACTCCGTATTCTTAATCCATCACCACACAGATACACATAAATCCACACAGCTATAGAAATTTAAAAAATCTCTGTTATACCATTACCACAGCTTTTTACTAAACAACAGCTTTTCATTTTAAATCTGTTATATGCAAAAATACTATTAACACAATAGCATTTTTGCATATAACAGATTTCCTGATAATTATGGCCATATTGCATAATAATGAAAGCAAAGTTAAGTTACTTGATAGTAAAGTTTTAAGCTGTGATAAGTGCCCCAAATATTATCATTTTTTTAAATAGAAAAACATTTAAAAACACAAGTGTAATGGTATACACGCATCAGCCTTAAGCTGCTAATCTATTAAAAATAAAAATAATATCATAATATAATAAGCATCAAACAAATGGCTTAATCTTGGATCCCTATTTCTGGAACTGAAGGCAATATCATCATAGCAATCCAAGATCAAATCATCAACACTAAAAACTACAAAATTATCAAAGATAGATGTAGCAGACTATAGATGTAGAAAATGTCTCAACCAAGCAGAAACAATATAACATATCACTGGAGCATGCCCTAATCTTGTACATACAGACTACACACATAGGCTCAATCAGACAAAACAAATTTTTAATCATCATCAGCACTTAAACACGAACTACCAATATAAACCATACTACCAATATACTCCTAAAGCAGTTTTGGAAAACAACAATCTTAAAATATACTATGACCATGCAATACTAACCGATAGAACCATACATTACAACCGCCCCGATATAACCATACAAGACAAAATAAATAAAACTACTTACCTGTTCGATATAGCTGTTCCAGACAGTCACAACCTACAAAAAATAATAGCAGAAAAAACACACAATTTGCAGACCTTAAGGATGAAGTTTTAAGAATCCGGAAACAACAAAAAGTATACTTTGTCCCTATAGTGTTGTCCACGACTGGTATTATTCCGAAACATATACATCATAGTTTAAAACTCCTTGATCTGACCCCAAACCCAATACCTACATGCTTCTTCAAAAAGCTGTTATATGAAACACTTGCAGAATCATAAGAACATTTCTGCAAATAGACAAACAAATATACAATGTAATAGAAGAATAGCCCTAATTAACTTCTCCCAAGAACCCATGGCACTTACTTGACACAGTCCTTAAATGTCACTAAATTACTTACCAACAAAAGCTAAAAAAAAAACAAATTCAACATAAAAATAATAAAAATGCTCATTGATAGCATACTTTATCAGACACTATGGTTTATAATTATTTATTTTTCACTTCTAACACTCACTTCAACTAACACGATAAATAGGCAAATGATTGTGTTTAATGACACACTTACAGTTGAATCTTACCAGATAATTCTACATCAAAAATGACCATAGTGTTTTAAATGCCAAATGTGTCAAGTTTCTTAGATTATTTTTTATCTAAAAAGCTTTAAAAACCAGAGTTGTCCCTAATAAACCATTCAACCAACAGGCAAAAATGGAGCAGCTGCAGCTCTTCCGCGGTGATACCGTTCTGCTGAAAGGCAAACGTCGCAAGGAGACGGTTTGCATCGTTCTCTCAGATGACAACTGCCCCGATGAGAAGATCCGTATGAATCGTGTTGTACGCAACAATCTGCGCGTGCGGCTGTCTGATGTCGTGTCTATTGCGCCATGCCCGTCTGTGAAGTATGGCAAGCGGGTGCATATATTGCCTATTGATGACTCTGTTGAAGGCTTAACTGGGTAAATGTTCTATAATAAGAAAATTTAAAATTTGACGTATTCACTGCTGAAAGTTAGGCTTCCCTGGTCTTCACTTGAGTTTCTCCTTTCACTCTTTTGCCATCACATTAGTTTTCTTGATCGCTTTTCGCTTCTAACAAGCTTCGCAAATTGCTAATAAACCCTGTAAATCATAAGGACTATTTTTGTTTTGTTAACCAACCTCAAAAAGGAGGGAGGAGGTTATTAATTTGGATGCTTATTTTTTTTAATTATGTGTCGGTTATAACTCCGTCATATAACTATATCATGAACAGATTTGCAAAATAATTCTTTGTTTGAAAGGGGTTTAACTCTTCAAAACTCTTCAAAAAATGACAGCAAATCAACGCGATTGTAGAACTTTTTTTAAAAAGGATTCATTCTTGTTGCATTTATGTTTTTTAAATCAAGAACAATATAAATTTTATTTCAAACAACAATAATTTTATTTCGCAAATCAAAATAAATGTTATTTTGTTGCTGCGTTATTTTTTTTTTAAAGTATAATATTTCAAGATGCCTCTAAAATCGTTTTTGTAGTGACGTCATTTTGAAAGGGATATCTGCTATCCTATATCTTGCATTCTTTCAGACTCCCTCATAGTAAAGTTCTTATTAAATTTTTTCTTAGTCGTCATATACCCTGCATATAGGAGACCAAATGATACTTAGTAAATAATATTCGTATATTTGCCCACAGCAACTTATTCGAAGTATATCTGAAGCCATATTTCATGGAAGCATACAGGCCTATCCACCGTGACGACACCTTCATGGTACGCGGAGGCATGCGCGCTGTAGAATTCAAGGTGGTAGAGACTGATCCATCTCCGTACTGCATCGTCGCACCTGACACTGTCATACATTGTGATGGGGATCCCATCAAACGCGAGGTTGGTAATTATTTAGAATTTGTATTTATAAAACAAATAGAAATTATTCTGTCAGTCAGTCTTGGTTTCATAGTACAAGTTCTGCTTAGTTTGAAACTAGATGGCGTTGTGTGTCAGATGTCCGAAAATATTATATCCCAAACCTAACCATTTTCAAGATTTTTTGTAGTAAAAAAAATGACAGATATAAGTTCTAAAAAAATTGTATTAGGCAAAATTTCGGCAATTTTTATAAAAAATCTTAAAAGTGCAAAATCATAAAAATTTATAGGTTTGGGATATTGTATTTCATAGTGAAATCTCCTTAAAGTAAAGGACATACCTATACGAAAAGGTCGACATAACCAATAACCTTGTATACATTATGGTGGTTGCTTGTCAAGTCAATTCTACTCTTTATGAATTGTCATAATCGTTTAGAAATTCTAATTGAAATAAGAAAAAGAATAATTTATTTGCAAAAATTACAATTAAGTAATAATAAAAATGCAATACAATAATAAAAATACAATTTTGATGTCACAGGTACTTAGCTATTGTCAAATTACTCTCTTTGCGTGTTTAGTTTTACATTAAAAAAATACAAACAGGTGAAAATAAAAACGTATCAATATGTTTTAAGTCTCTCATAAATTTAAAATAGTATATGTAGTAGGCAGTATAGGGAATTTAATATAGGCATTCAATACTATTATAGACATTCTAATACGTATTTTTTTATTCTGTGGACCGCATTTCTTTTTTCTAGTAAAGGTTAATCCACGAAATATCGCCTACCTGCAATGACGTAATGTGCGATATTGTAGCTATTCTTATCACTTCAATAGGCTGACCCAGTTCTCACTTCACTTAGCAACTAGTGTTCAAAAACTATACAATCTAGATATATTCTTCTTAAGGATTTATTTATGTGGCTAAGTTGTGATTGAAATAATGGAATTGAAGTTAGAATGTAGTGAATATTTTCAATTGGATGTAAATGCTCCATACATAATTGCCCATAAAAAGTAATTCAGGTTTTATTACAATAAAAAATATATAAATAATGTTTATTACTTAAAACATATTAAATTTAGAATCTATCTATCTATTTATCCCTGTATTACTTAATGTTTATAATGTAGGAAAAGTGTAGGAACCTGAGTTTTTAAACCTATAGAGGGATAAATATAGAAATCATTCAAAAACGGTTTAAAATGTCGGCAAATTGTAGGAATCACATTTTTTTAAACCTCAATGCGTGATAAATACAGAAATTATGCAAAAATGGCTGCAAAAATCTGCAGAGAACCGAGCATACTATGTTGACCAGTCTATAGTTGTGTCAACAATATAAATAAAACATTAAATTGTTTTTATTGTAAGGACCACTCTAAAACGCGAAATAAAAACAAATTTACTTGAAAAGAAAATACAAAATGGTATACTTAACAGGAGGAAGAGGAAGCTCTTAACGCTGTCGGTTATGACGACATCGGTGGATGCCGCAAGCAGCTCGCTCAGATCAAGGAGATGGTGGAGTTGCCTCTGCGCCACCCGTCACTGTTCAAGGCTATCGGTGTGAAGCCTCCGCGCGGTATTCTCATGTACGGTCCACCCGGAACTGGCAAGACACTGATTGCCCGTGCTGTCGCTAATGAAACTGGTTAGTACTCTTTCATATGATGCTATTACTCTAGCACTGAATAGAAAAGCGATTAATTGTTGCCTACTTGTTGATATTTAACTAATTATTGATGTATTCTAACATGTATAAGATAAATTTAACTACAATGTCAATAAAGTTGGTTTTATTCATTTCTTCATAAAAAATACAACTGTTTCAAGGTATTATTACCCTACGAAAAGAAAAACAGTTTATGACTTTATATTTCGTTATTGTCAAAAATGTTTAGTAAACATTGTTTTTCGTCAATACAGGTGCATTCTTCTTCCTGATCAATGGTCCAGAGATCATGTCGAAATTGGCCGGTGAATCTGAATCGAACTTGCGTAAAGCATTCGAGGAGGCTGATAAGAACTCCCCTGCTATAATTTTCATTGACGAATTGGACGCTATTGCTCCCAAAAGAGAGAAGACTCATGGAGAAGTGGAACGTCGTATTGTGTCTCAGCTTCTCACACTTATGGATGGTAAGTAAAATTCTCCTAAGCCCAATTAATACTTTGTTACTGTTTAGAAACAGATAAAAGCGTTTCTTCCATTATAGGACTTTCCCAATTATAAAATAGTCTGAAATACAGATTGATCTCCTTTCCACATTAGTAGCAAGGTTGTTACATATAAAATTATTCAATGCCTCTATGTCATTTCCCAAAGAACACAATTTATTGTCAGTTGTATAAAACATACGGAGATTACTGAGGCACTTCATAAACTAGAAAAAAATAATTATATCTCAATGTAGGAAGAAGTCTGGATGTACTTTACCGTAGAACAAGCTGACATTTTATTACCAGATGCATTATGCTGCTTTGACTTATACTTAGACATAGAAAAAGCTTTCAGATGATATTATATCTGCCCAACATATGCACCAATTCAAAAATCGACTCAACAGATATATAATTGAATCCAAGATATAGGCTCAGGATATAGGCTTTTATCAGTTATTTCAACTGCCTGCCCGTCTTTATAATAATAAAATCGTGCTCTCATCTTTACGAAGATCTGACGTAGAAAGATTCCGTATTTGGTCACATTCACCGCAACTTTTGTAATGGATATTTTTTCCAAAACAGGTATGAAGAAATCATCCCACGTGATCGTAATGGCCGCTACCAACAGACCTAACTCCATCGACCCGGCGCTCCGTCGTTTTGGTCGCTTCGACCGTGAAATTGACATTGGTATTCCTGATGCGACTGGACGGCTCGAGATTCTTCGTATACATACTAAGAACATGAAGCTTGGTGACGATGTCGATCTAGAACAGGTATGTCATTTAGGTTTCAAACTGTCTTGACACAGTACTTACTGTAGAAACTTGTAATACAACTTGAGATGCATGACAGGATAACAACCATGAATGTTATTCATTGTTGTTGAATAAATCAATGAATGTTTATTTCACCATAACCCACACACACATTGACGCATAGTTAGTGGCTTTTAAATGTTTCTGGACTTGAAGATATACACATACTTTGCTTTCTTCAAATTATTTACTTTTACTTTTTTTACTACATGAAACTAAGAGTTTTTAGTTTTTAATTTATGACAAGGAACATTAAATAATTTATATATAAATATCTGCCCTATACTCCAGAGTATTTTGTTGTTAAACTGTTTGCATCATAACTAAACGTATGTGTGTATGTTCCAGTGTTAATTATGGTCGTATTGTTTAGATTGCTGCAGAATCTCACGGTCACGTGGGTGCCGATTTGGCTTCTCTTTGCTCTGAGGCTGCCCTCCAACAAATCCGTGAGAAGATGGATCTGATTGATTTAGAAGACGACCAAATCGACGCCGAGGTTCTGAACTCGCTCGCCGTCTCCATGGACAACTTCCGGGTATGTTACATTGTAATATTACTAAATATATATGCACAATTATATTCTCTTCCTTTGAATACATCTGATAATTACCTAGTTTTGTTGCTTTTAATAAACGATAATTCTCGATTTAACGTAAGAACAGTTCTCAATATGTTTATTGCAGTAGTATAACATTGAATAGATTACAAGTAAGTCTAAGGATGTATTTATTATTTCTTAGTACGCAATGACCAAATCATCGCCGTCCGCACTCCGCGAGACCGTAGTAGAAGTACCCAATGTAACTTGGGGCGACATTGGAGGCCTGCAGAACGTGAAGCGCGAGCTGCAGGAGTTGGTGCAGTACCCTGTGGAACACCCTGACAAGTTCCTTAAGTTCGGCATGCAGCCGTCCCGCGGTGTACTGTTCTATGGACCACCTGGTTGCGGTATGTTCATAGCTATAAACCTAAGCTACAGCTTACCTAAGCCTCGTCTCTCCTACTCCTGATGTGCGTCTGTAGAGAGTTTACCAGCTGATGGAAAAAAATGTGTATAAATTATATTATTAGATAATTTGCTTTATGAATACGTATTGTATTTTAGATTTTCTAATATTTGTCATTGTATTATAATTTGTTTGAACTCAAACAGCATTGATATCAAAAACATTACCTAACCATGAGCTTTCTACATACAGGTAAAACCTTGTTAGCAAAGGCTATTGCTAATGAGTGCCAGGCCAACTTCATCTCAGTAAAGGGCCCTGAACTGCTCACTATGTGGTTCGGTGAATCTGAAGCTAATGTGCGAGATATCTTCGACAAGGTAAGCAATTGTAACATTTATATTAATATATGCGGCTAATCAAAAATTATGTTAAATGAGTGAAAGTTGTTATGTTGTAATAGATGGGTTTTTTTTCAAAATGATGTAGATGTAGGTTTTTGAATATTTTTTTTTGTCATAAACAAATATTCACTATTTGTTTACAGGCCCGGTCTGCATCACCTTGCGTGTTGTTCTTCGACGAGCTGGACTCTATCGCGAAGTCCCGCGGCGGGTCCGTGTCAGACGCAGGTGGCGCTGCAGACCGTGTGATCAACCAGATCCTCACCGAGATGGACGGCATGGGCGCCAAAAAGAACGTTTTCATTATTGGTAAGTATTTTTTTTATAAAGTTAATGGTAATAAACCTTTCTCAGTGTCTAGGCTGTTTATAAATTTATTTAACTTTGAGAAAGTTACGAGCCATTTATATAATAGTTAATTTGACGTAACAACATTACAGTAGATTGTATTTATTAAATGTTAAATTGCTATGTTTGCAGAAATTTGTATGAAATAAAGATTCTCCTGCTGATGTTATGTTTCACAATAAATTACTATACTTCAATAAGTAATAACTAATCTCACTTTTCAGTCATTTATCTTCGCTTTACTATTGATTTTGAGATAAAGTTCTATATAATAATATACAAGGATTATGTATTTATGTAAAACAATGGTCTAATGGACCACTTTAATGTTGTCGCTATATCCGGAAGTAGCTATATCCAAAATAGCAGAGAGTCATGTCCATATTTGACTATCGGTATACCCCTCAGTTAATTTTGTTAAAACTTTTTGAATGAGTCTGAGCCCTTGCTGACTCAGTCGCAATATGTGCATGGAATTTCTAAGAATCTGTCACAAATGGTTCATAACAACAAGTCGCTATACCTGAAATTGACGTTATATCCGAAATTGCTATTGCCGAATGAATTTCTAGTATGCTTGAATGATGAAGTATGCTTTAAATTCAAGGGACATAAATCTGACATCACTGTAACCGAAAAGTCGTTACAACCGAAGTCGTTAATTAAATCCACTGTATTTCATTTAGATTTATATAATCACTGTATAATTTTCCTTTTCAATTTTTCAATATTGTAATTTTGAGATATATTTAGTAAACAAATGAAGATCTAAGTTTTTTCGTTAGTTTTCATTCGTGATTAATTGAGCATTCACAGCATCAAATCAGAATGATCAAATCTCTTATAAGTTTATAACAGAAGCTGCAGCAACTGTAGGTGAAAAAATTATGACAAACCACTCATCCACTTATTGTATAATTGCTATTTTATCAGAATAATAAACGATTATTTTTGTATATAAGGTGCGACAAATCGTCCCGACATTATCGACCCAGCGATCCTGCGGCCGGGCCGTCTGGATCAGCTGATCTACATCCCGTTGCCCGACGAGAAATCGCGCGAGGCTATCCTTAGGGCCAACCTCCGCAAGTCACCAATCGCCAAAGACGTGGATCTCACTTACATTGCTAAGGTAAAATATTTATATCCATTATGATTTTAATTCCAAATAAAAGAAACATTTCAATTATAAAACTCTATCAGTGAAACTTATCAGTTTTCAATCAAAATTTCACTTATGGATCATTTAAAACCTCCATTGTTGTTACATCGTTTTGTAATAACGCAAAATATTTTTCTGTTCGTATAGAACACCTATTTATTAATAAAAAATTAATTATATTAAAAAAAAGTTCAAATTTCAAAAGAGAGATTATTTTGAATATGTTACAATCAACGTCTTCATGAATATATTGGATGGCAGGTCACACAAGGGTTCAGCGGTGCCGACTTGACAGAGATTTGCCAGCGCGCGTGCAAGCTCGCCATCCGCCAGGCCATCGAGGCCGAGATACAGCGCGAGCGCACGCGCCAGCAGCAGACCGCCGCCGCCGTCATGGACGTTAGTACTTTTACCTCAAGCATTTAGTGCTGTTGGGCGTTCACTCTTTCTTAGGAGTCACTGATAAGAGCCAGTAACAAACGCGAATGTAAACCTAGGATACGATTAGTTGTATACTATACACACGTCTCACACACGGCCGTCTAATCCTAAACTAAGCAACCAAACTAATGTCCCACGGTTTCTGTCCAACTCCTCAAAGATGATTACTATCTTTTTGAAACAAAAAAAAATCAAAACTTAATTTCTAGTGCTCCTACTCAGATTTCCCCACACATCCAAAGATTGGCTGGGAGAAAATGCCTGTGGCATTAAGGTCCGCCATTGTACAATTAAGTTGTAATTTGTAAAGAATAAATAAAATGTTTCGTCCTAATCACAACTACTATTATGGTCTTTGAAAGTGATGTGAAATAAATAATGTAAAACATTATAAATTCACTACACATGTAAGCAATATGAGGCTTAAATAAAGTTACTATAACATTCTAAATCATGAAAGCTTGAACTGAAATGAAACATTTCAATTCTTTATTTTGGACTTCGCTTGAAATAATATTGCTATGTGTCAACAGATGGACGAGGAGGACCCGGTGCCGGAGATCAGCCGAGCTCATTTCGAAGAGGCCATGAAGTTCGCTCGACGTTCGGTGTCCGACAACGACATCCGCAAGTACGAGATGTTCGCGCAGACTCTGCAGCAGAGCAGGGGCTTCGGCACTAACTTCAGGTTTGTAAAACACGAGATTCAAGTCTACTAAAATGATTTACGTGACAAAGGGTTTTAGAAGGATTAAAATGGGAATGTATCAGTTCTGTTTTTTCGACATGACCAGTCCAGAGTGATCGATAACGTTAAACGCATCGCAGGTTCCCGACGAGCGGCGGTGCAGCGGGCGGCACGGGCACGTCGGGCGGGGACCAGCCCACGTTCCAGGAGGAGGGCGGCGACGACGACCTCTACAGCTAAGCGCCGCGCCCCGCACCACGCGCCCCCTGCAGCGAGCCGACTGCAAATACTTAAGGGCACTCCTCGCTCCACTCGTCGCTACCCTGACCCTCGCTCGCCGATCCAAATATAACCCGTGGCTCGTTATCTGCGCATTACTTCATACTCGTCAGATAGAAGTACAACTATGTTTACCTTCAGGGTAAGACCGGCATTTAGTTTCACCCGACTTTAATTATAATAGTAGTGGGTGAGTGTTAGTTAAAAAATGCGTAATAGTCTAGTAATTCACATTTACATTTCGGACGCCCGATTTCGTGATCGGTACGTACGGAGTGTACGCTGATGGCAGCCACGGGTATGTTTGACGCGGTCACGGCGGGTCACCTCGGCCGGGGCCCGGGACGGTCGGGACGCCACATAACGGTTCTGGCGGGCAGCCTCTAAAGCAGCAGAGTCGACAAAATATTAGAAAATCGGCGCGTGCTATTTCGCGCCGCGGTCGATTAAATTTCTACCAATCTAAGGAAATGTAAATGTATTTATTTTGTAATTCAATCATTCGATAACATTTGTTTCTGTTCCGATTTGCTTATGTTTAGTTGTAATTCAATAAATAATGTTTGTGTAATGTACGCTCGCCTCGCGAGCATGTAAGATCATATAATAGAGTAATTGTTAACTTTACTGTATTTGCCAGGTTCTGTGCGTAGGCGGACCAGCGGATGCCGTGGCATCCCGCCGGTTCATACACAATATTACAGTGATTTTTTAATAAAAGATTTTTATAGACTACACATGTGACTTATTTATTGTTATTTTCGTTTTACCTAATATAGAGTACTGTTTTGGTGTTAAATTTATATGGTTACTAGCTTTTGCCCGCGGCTCCGCCCGCGTGTATGTCGGTTATCGCTGTAAAAAGTTTCCTATGTTACTTGCAGATAATGTAGTTTTTGATTGGTGAAAGAGTTTTTCAAATCGGTTTAAGCGTGAAAGCGTCTTTTGAATACGCGGAGAGTTCATTATCGTTATCAATGAGTAATTTTTTGCCTTTCACACTCTTAACGGAACTTTCGTAACCAGCTATGGATAGCCGATAGGGATTTTTTTTCTCGTTTTATAACTAGCTACGAAAACAGAATTCAATTCCTGCTTTTGTAGCATGGAATTATTTTTCTTTGTTCCTACCTGGTTACTAAATCAGAATTGCATTCATATTTTATAACTTAAATAACTTAGCGAGCGAGTCGAGTCAAACTGGCTAATATAAATAATATGTCATTCAAATGTCATTTGTAATGTTTGTGAAGGTGTTTGTTTTACCAAATATATACATTGGGGAGTAAGCTGATGAATGCGTGACGAGAGCGTTACGAAAAGTGTGACCGGGTGAGGCGAACGGAAGTTGAAAGGATAAAAACAGAGTTACGTTTCGTATTCGTATTTCGTAACTGTAGAGGGAAGAGAGAGGTGCGAGCACACATTTTCTTTCTCTTTTTCTCTCATAGCCAAGAAGTTTTACTTCAATCGTGTGGTATAAAGCACACTCGTTTTCTTTAAAACACACGTTACTCGATAAGATCCCCGCCAAGCTATACAGGTTGTTGGCGAGTGGCGAAGAGAGAAAAATGAATGCAATTCTGTTTTAATAATAAATTATTTATTGGAGTAACTTGTTTTGGTAACCAGTTATCAATCAATAGAGAATTCCATTTAGGAAGCTGGTTATGAAAACCAGTTACAAATACATTTAATTCTGTTTTCGTAGCTAATTATCAAATAAGACAAAAATTCCAGCAGTAAACATCAGCAGCATAGCTAGTTACGAACGTTCTGTTAATACTGGATGATAGGATTCTTTGTCAGGCCTACCAGTAGGGACTACGATTAACTGCGGACCGTTCACCCCGTTCATTAGTAAAAAGTACAGTACCTTCGTCAGCAAATATTGCCACATTTAAAATAACAAAAATTAGTGGACCCATAGAGATATAACCATAGTAAGAATACGGGGTACAGCTGCCTGTAAGTGGAAGCGATACAGGCAACAAGAGAGAAATGGATGCCCGATATTTCCCTCCGTCTCTGTTTAGCTAAGTTGCGATTAGCTACTTTTTAACCCCTTTTTAAACCTTTTTAACCCCTAATATTCCCCAGGCACCCACAGTGTTCGGCTAGAAAGAGATAGAAGGGACTATCTATTATCCATCTCTCTCGTTGCCTGTATTGCAAGATTGGGGCTCGTTATATGTCTATGAGTGGACCCAACAGGCTATCCTGTGGGACTGCATGCGATCCATTAATGTTTAAATTAAATATTCCTTACGAGCATCCGATAAAATTTTATTCACTGCATGAATGTTATTTTCTTTCGAAAATTTCTTTAACGTCGGGTGCTTCCTCTATAAAGCGTCTCAAAGACATTGCTCGATGCTTAGCAAAAGTACTGATATCTTCTGCAATGTATTCCCCAGATATCGAACAGTTCACTAATGAATTCTTGATATTCCTTAAATCTACTGCTTCATTATTTTTAAAGCATTGGTATTTATTTCCATTATAAAAATGACTACATGAACATTCTAATTCATGATTGGAATACTGAGTAGCTTTCTCTTTTTTCCCAGACAATACTTCAGGCGAAGTATGAACAAATTCTTTATGACCTTTTACGTTTTCCACTAATCTTTTTAGTGTCATAACAGGGCAGATTTCAAAGTTTGGTAGCTCAGGTGCATCGTAATTAGAAGTTTTTCTCATGTAAGCAGGTAAATGCTCGAATAGTTGCTTCTTGCTCATTTTAGAACAATCACACTTTCTTGCTTTTATATATCCAATGTAACTCTCCCATTTAGTTGCTCTCTCGTGCTCTAATTCAGCTTTTCGAGTTAAATTTGCTGTTGGCTTTTGTGGTATCGCTAGGTCTTTCACATTTTCTATAACTGAGCGTAGTGTTTTGTTACTACACATTGAAGGATTACGACTACAATCAAAACAGTGGGGAATTTTACAATCAGTACATTCTATAGGAACTTTTCTAATATTTGGTATTTCTTGCTGAAGGATTTGTAGCAAAGAACTTTGTAATTTTAATTTGGACCGTTGTTGGGAAGTGGTATATTTTATGGGCACATATCGATCATATTGGTTGTTATCCTCGTATCCTACGTCATATATAATATTATTGTTTTCATCTTCAGCTTTGTTAGATGTACACTGTAGGTCTAGTTTGTAAGTATTCTTGTTGCATGGAAAGCGTTTTAGATCATAGCGTGCTCCCACAACTGGAACATTTCTATTCTTTGTTGGCGTCTTTTCTGTTAGGGCTTCCTTAAATTTGTCCATGTGAATTTCACCTGCTCAATATTCATAAAAAGTACGACATTCTTTATATATTCTAGCATTTGGAATCTTGTTTGCCGAGTTTTTTGGACAGATAAGATAGTTTTAGTAAATTTATTTTTATTAATTCATTCAATTTCTTTAAGCACATTTCAAATATCCACTATTTTTGGGTTAATAAAGACAAAAGGTTTTGTTTATCGACTGTAAGTGACAGTCATTTTGAGATTAATGCCTATAAAGAATTCTCTCTCTGTACAGACAGCATTCAATAAGTTTTTGTTGCGGAGGGTAGAGGCAAGGAGAACCATCTCATATGGGAAGAAAGTTGAAAAAGTGTCCGGCGGTATACTGAAAATAGAAGTCGTTGGCGTACAAAAAACTATAATATGAACATAGCTGTTGTAGACGGAGGGCAGTGTGCTGGGGCACCAGGGACTTAGTTTCTAGGGTATACCTAGTTCCCCGGCTATTAGTACCCGAGACGGCGTGCGGTTTTAGTCGGTTCGCGTTCGACATGCCCCCGATAGGTGGTATCTACTACCGCACTGTATTTCATTTGACGAATCTTTAAACCACATATTTTGCTTTCTTTATTTCTAGACGATTTTCAAAATATGAAAAAAATATTCAGTGGTTTAGAAACAGGACATTTTTTTGTTTTCGTAATTTGCACCATCATATGTAACACATTATAATACATTGACCTCAGTACAAATAATCGTAATAATAATATTGTTGTAGTTCGCGAGATATTTGTTTAGAAAAGTTTTGTTGTGTTAATAATTGTTTAGTCTTATTGTGTTCATCATAATACACGGCAATGGTGTGTACAATTAATGTTATCATGTACAGGTTACCGACCCATGTTAACAAATAGTGTTCTATTTCGACATTATTTTATGGTATTTATTTTGTTCCAAATTTGCATTTCTGTATTTACGTATTATTATTTTTTGTGATAAGCTTTACAACAGACTGTATACTTATTTATTTAGCAACTTTTCTAAATACGCGGTATTGCAAACTGCTCTTACGCGTTTTTAACTAAGTAATAATTTTAAATGCTTTAATATCGATTTCAATAGATAATGTTAAAGCATATAGTATATATATTAAAAACAACTATAAGTAAAAGTTGCTATTGTCAGTTGAAATTACAGCAATACTATTCAAACCTGCTTGAGTTAGGAGTCGTGCAGCGTGCAAGCGATGTCGCGCGACTTGGGTCGCGCCAACTTGATAGAATGTATGGAACTAAACGGCGCGCGACTTGCAGTCGTCAGAGGTGGATTGCGTTTACGCAGGGCAACTTTTTTGCTATCTATTTTATTATTAGACTAGCGACCCGACGCGGCTTCGCATGGGTGCAATGTAGATACTAATATAGTGTCAGTGTGGAGTAATTAATTGGATTAGTATTATGATTAGACTATACTACAGGATATCTTAATATACACTTATAGGCCTAGGCTTATTAATAGAAGAGAATGCCCTGGGCATTAAGTCCGCCGATGTACAAAAGTGCATAAAGATAAATAAATAAATAAATAAATATAGGCACACCCCGCGCACGAGGGCCGCTGGCAGTCGTGACGGACATACGGCCCGACAACGGCTTTTCTGCTCCCGCATTTTAAATCTCTCATATCTTCTAAGAAATTCATTTTAATGGTAAAGGGTCATTTAGATCAACATTAAATGCACAACTTATCTCACGTTTTTAAGTGTATAAGAAATATTATTTAAAATAGCATAGTAAATTGTCCATTACTTTTTTGTAAAAGACAAAAATGTTTACTGTAGGTTATTGTTAGTCATATACCATATCAAACTTTTTCGTCGATCTTTTTAAGATAAACAATTACGTAGTAAAGTATCATGATTTATCTCGTAAGGATTAGGCAGCGTTTGGAATGTAAGCACACAAAAAAAAGATTTTACATCACGTTACAAATCTTTGAAATTTTCGAATTTGCTCTTTTTCTTGACAGTAATGCCTACTTTATTTTTAGCCAAACAATAAGTATGATCAGTACTAATCCATAATAGGGAGGTAAATAAATTGTCAATTTTTATCGATCGGTCTAGTGACCGATCGATAAAAGTGGAGTCGCTCATTTTTAGTCAACCGCACGCTGCACTGATAGTCGTAGCTGGCAGTCACCGCGACTGAAGTCGCGCGACATCGTTTGCACGCTGCACGGGGTTTTATTCTTTTCAGTCCCTATCTCCCTATAGAAGCAATACCCCTTTTATCCATTGCCTGTTTTCTTAACTACCTTTATCAGTACAGGTAAATTCCCCATCTTTAATTTCCAAAGTCCACCACATTTTGTCCGGTTGACGGCAAAAGGCTTGTTATGGATGTATTACATGAATAGAATCAAATTATAGTTTACAAAACGTGGTGTTTACTACATCTCTATGTATGTACTTAGAAATTATAAATCAATGGCTTCAGGTAGGTAGGTGTTGCTAAGTTTTTGCTTACCACCCGCTTAAACAAGGGAAAATAGGCTAACCATAAAATTGCCTCTTGCACAACAACCACTATTTCACATTATTTCACATATTAAATGATAAACATTTTGCCACAAGACTTAGTCTGGACATAGGCTTTTTATCATGAAAAAATTATCAACAAAATGGATATTAAAAGCTATTTCCACATAAACACATGTAACAAAAAGCCGGCGTTTACTATTTATGGTACAGGAAATAATGAAAATTAAAGCAAGCCAGCATACCTACTGCTGATCCTTTGTAGGACATTAGTAATATGCAAATTTATTGAAACATTAAAAAATAAAAAATAAAATACGTGTATTAAAAACATAATATTTAAAGAAAACTATATAAAATTAAGACTACCACTATATAAAACTAAACCCAAAAAGCACTTATTATTTGAATTCACAGTCTTGTCTTTTAAATATTTCTTTCACATCAGGTGCCTCTTTAATCAATTGCATTAAAGAATACGCGCGTTCCCTTGAAAAGGCCATACGTTCTTGTGCCAATAGTGATTCTGATATAGAACGGCCAACATCTCGCAACAATTCTTGTTTGCGTTTCGGAAGCATTTTCATGAACTTAAGTAGAGAATCCGCGGAAAAGCATGTGCATAGCTCCTCAAACTCATGGTCCGAACATTGAGTACCTATATCCTTTGATTTAGGTGGTACCTTAGGTGGAGGTGGTATGGGATCTTTCTTACCTCTCGCTTCTTTAACCAGACTTTTTAATTGTTTAACAGAACAAGTTTTGTAGTTTAGTAACTGAGGTGCATCGTAATAAGACATTTTTCTCATGTAAGTAGGTAAATGTTCTTGCAAATGCTTCTTGGCCATTTTAGAACATTCACATTTTTTAGAGTGGACGTATTTCATGTAGCTGTCCCATTTTGGCTCTCTTTCATGGGTAAGTTCTGCTTCTCGTGTCGAAAGTTTTTTGCCTGAGGGTATTGATGGCAACGAAGCCTGCATTTTTGTTTCAATCTGTGACAATAATGTTTGCTGGCTATGAGAACTAACTCGATCACAATCGAAGCAATGGGCTATTTGACAACCAGAACACATAAAATTAACTTTTTGTATGTTTGTTATTTCTTGCTCTAATACTTGCAGTAAAGAGCTTTCCAATTTTAACTCACGCAACTGTCGAGAAGGCGTGTAATTCACAGGTACAGTAAAGGCGTAATTTTTGTCATCCTTAAAATCAGCGTCGTTCAAAACTTCGCCGTGAATGTATTGTTTTATTCTATCTGTAAACTGTTCAAAGTTATCACAGGCTGCGTATATGCATCGTTTATTAATTATTATAACTGGAAACTGTGACGCACTAGAGGTACAATGTTTTGGACAGAAGTTCTGATTTACATTTGGTTTGTAATTTTTATCACAAAAAAGGTAAAAAGGATGTGGTTTTGGTACGGGTGTGTGGAATTGCTCGAAGTCTAATTCAATCAAGCTATAAGCACTTGGCTGTTCTAAGGCTTCACTAAGTTGTAACAACATTAATGTTTCCATGTTGATAAAAAAATCTGCTTGTTCCGGTAACATCTTAAGACAGTACGATACAAACATTTGGAAATTTTTTACGACATGACAAACTTTTTTCTTCCATATTTGATTAAATTCTTTTTGGGCCTTGTCTTTCTTTTGTGCGAGCTTAACTTCAAAATCTTTATATGTTAGTGTCTTTGTCAAAGCTTTGGCTGTTTTGGTGTGCTCATGTTTCTTCAATTCGATTTCCGCTAAACATTCATGGCGCTCTTTTAACGCAACATATATTTGACAAGCTAAGTTTTGGCATTCCAGGTAATTTCTTAGTTTTTCTATAGCGACGTGTTTTTCTAGTTTTATATCATGCAATTTATCTCCAAAGTTAGTTCGAGCTATTTCTAAATTCCTGATAAATTCCGTTTTCATTCTCTTTTTCTCTTCATTTAGTTTTCGGGTATATCTATCCCTTAGCATTATCGATTGCTCTTGTAATAAGTACTCATATTTTGACCGCATTTTTTGGAATGTTTCTTCTCGAAAACTTTTGATTTTATTAACAGTTGCATCAAACATTAAGGTTTCTAGTTTTACTATTGATTTTGTATATAAATTAGTAAATTCAGCAAAAGCATTTCGGAGATAATCTGTGTTATAGCTAGCTTCGGTTTTCGAACATTTATTCCACATTTCGCAACTGAGTTCTTCTACAATTCGCTCCCACTCAAGATCACTTTCATGTAATTTTCGGTTACATTCTTCCCTCATCTGAAGGTGATATTCTTCTATCAGTTTCATGGCAACTTTATCAACGCCATAGCAATTCCATTCTTTCATGCATTCCCTTTTGAATGGTTTCATAACTGTTCTGCCTTCTAATAAGTCCTTTGGTGGAACAAACCAGTCTTTTCCAGCTCCTTTCATAGGAGGCTCAAGACCTGCCAGTAATTTTAGTTTGGGTATCATGCTTTTAAAATAAACGTTTGCTAAAGCGGGCGACATCTTTTCCTTCATTGTTGATTGAGTAGGAACTTGTCCTCTCTCAAGGAAACATTTTCTAAGGTAATAATTTTCATTTAAACTGAACATATTGATTACAATAACAACTAAGGCTACACACTTCTAAAAGAATAAAATGTACTATTCGATAATTGATTTCATGAAGTTATAAATCTCGTCGTTAATGCAATGACCATGGTTTGTGGTTCTGCCAATCTCAAGAAAATCTAATCAAATAACAAAATACATGTCAAGACACTTATAATCTCGGATAACGTAAATGTAAAGAAATCAAGTAGGGATATAGTTTTACTGTCAAAAGTGACAACCTTGAAAATCAACAACTTTTTTCTGATATAAACATAATCTGTTTCAGTGAAAACATGTTCCAGCATTGAAGGAGTTGATGAGCTGATGTTGAAACTACACCATAAACTAAAATAAATATACGACTTATGAGACACACATACAAAGACTTTCTTAGTCATAGACTAACCCCCTTTTTGGTTTCTGTTTAAATCATAAACTTGTTAGGGTTACAACATTAATTTTTAGTCCTTTGGTTTCAATTATAACGAAAAGAGGGACCTGCGATCGACGATCAAGTTGATGTGAAATAAACTCATACTAGGTAGGTAGTTATAGCGAAGTTCAGGAGATACAACATGTACTCGATACTTAAGTGATCTAATAATGGGCGAAAAGTACTGGTATTCTTTAATTGCTAATATGAACATGCAGTTTTGACATTGCGCTTGGTAATATATTTGAGCTACTAGCTGACCCGCGCAACTTCGTCTGCGTCTCTCAATAGTAATAAATTTTCTCCGTTTTTGAAACATTGTTCATTGGTGCTCCGCTCCTATTGGTCTTAGCGTGATGATATATAGCCTATAACCTTCCTCGATAAATGGGCTCTCTAACACTGAAAGAATTTTTCAAATCGGACCAGTAGTTCCTGAGATTAGCGCGTTCAAACAAACAAACAAAAACAAACAAACTCTTCAGCTTTATAATATTAGTATAGATTAGTAAACTTCACACGAGTTATTTTGGAGCGTTTTAACATATGGCTTAGATTTTACTAGATACTAAATGCGAATGCGATTTTGTTTTTACGTCTTAACTACTCAACCGCTGAAAATGAAATTTTGCTGACACGATGTCATGTACAGAACATGACTTTATAGTAAAAATACCTTTAACAAGAATGAGGTTATTCATTCTTATTAAAGGTATTAGGCTCGTTATTAACAAGAGTATGATGATAAAGTTCTAATGTAACTATTTAAATAATTGTATTTAGATACAGCAGATCTGTTTTGCCAAAACTACACAACCTATTGTATATAAAACTACCTACTTTATTCAGATTCTAGGTTTATAAAACCGGAAAACCGTTAATGATCACGAAAAGTATTTTAGAACGTTTGGTTTTTGATTGTTATAGGTGTTGTTGCCAAATTGACCAGAGATAATTATTGAGGTCAGAAATTGATACATAGCAGCTCAGTCGAAAAGGGTACAGTACACATAGAATAAAACCTACCATAAAAGCTTTCCGAATAACTGCCAAGTGCAGAGCAGCTCAACCATAGAGATTTAACCATAAGCCTGAAGCAACTGTAAACCTGAAGCGATACAGGCAACGAGAGAGATGGATGCCCGCTATTTCCCTCTGTCTTTGTTCACCTAAGCTACGATTGGCTACTTATTAACTCCTCAGATTCCCCAACCAACCACAAAGCTCGGATAGAAAGAGATAGAGGGTACAATCTATTATCCATCTCTTTCGTTGGCTATATAGCAAGATTGGGGCTCTTGTTTCCTCTAGGTTATATCTCTAGGAGCTCTAGACATGGGAATTATTCCTACTTCTAAATCATCTTCATTTGTTGAATTATTGGTATTAGTCATAGCGATTTCACATGTGATTATGATTTCGTAGTAGACAAAGGTAAATGGCATTAAAATCTATCAAAATTATTCTTATCAAAGATTATGAACTTTTTTATTTAGAAAATCTAATCAAATAACAAAATACATGTCAAGACACTTATAATCTCGGATAACGTAAATGTAAAGAAATCAAGTAGGGATATAGTTTTACTGTCAAAAGTGACAACCTTGAAAATCAACAACTTTTTTCTGATATAAACATAATCTGTTTCAGTGAAAACATGTTCCAGCATTGAAGGAGTTGATAAGTTGATGTTGAAACTACACCATAAACTAAAATAGTCCTAATAGTCCTTTCGCGAGGCTTGCACTACCGTAATATTAATAACAATAAATCATCTTCATTTTGCGCTTTGGAGGATGCGATTCTGGAATACCGATATTTAAATTGCAATGATAGGCCCCGGTTATTCCGTTTGCCCATTCATAAACGAAATTTAGCGCTGGTGGGTACCCTGGATTCGTTATTGCCTGAATATTTAGATAATAGCGAAGATCTTAGTGATACACATTCTATTCTATATTGTGCGGCTATTGCAGTTAGTCGAGTAGCTGGTGTTAAAATAGCTAACAATGTCACTACTACTCGACCTAAATCTACTGTACCAGCTTGGCAGTATAGAATTGAACGTCGTATTGCTGATACCAGGACACTCATCGGTAAGCTTATTAGCTACCGATCAGGGAATACGCGGCCGAGAGTGATGCGCTTTGTGAAACAGGCATTCTTAGGGACTACCATTAGTCCTCAGCAGTACATGTCATGTGTCACAGAGCGCATAGACTTTCTAAAGCAGAAAATTTATGCATGGGCAAATAGGATAAGACGGTATAAAAAACGAATAGATCGGTATAATCAGAATCGGATGTTCCAAAGAAATGAGAAGTGGGTGTACCGGAAATGGGAGGAACCGGATCCATGTGTGGGTGATAGACATTTGCCAGATGAAAATGTCACAAATACATTTTGGCGTAACATCTGGTCGGTGCCTGTCACTCATATAGAAGGTGATTGGTTTCAGGATGTCAGACGCTCATGTGAGTCTATAACACCTATGGAACCTGTTAAAATTGATAAAGATGATGTAAGTTGTGCAGTTCGTTCATTACCGAATTGGAAATCACCTGGTCCAGACGGACTGCACAACTTTTGGCTTAAGTGGTTCCGAAGCTCACATGCGCGTTTGGCATCTCAATTCCAGGCAGCTTTGGATTCGGGTTCATTACCCCAATTTTTAACCACTGGCATAACCCACTTACTCTATAAGTCTGGTAGTGTCATGGATCCCAAAAATTTTAGACCTATTACATGTTTACCTACCATGTATAAACTTCTAACATCTATTCTGAGACTCAAAATTACTTTTCATATTAATAATAATTCGATTATGTCAGTTTCTCAGAATGGATGTAGAAGTGGGACCCGTGGCACGAAAGACCTCCTTATCATAGACATGACCATTAGCCAACAGGTACGTCGTAATCGTAAGAGTTTGGCGACGTGTTGGATAGATTATAAGAAGGCTTATGACTCGGTTCCACACACATGGCTTTTGAGGGTGCTGGAGTTGTATAAAATTGATACAACTCTGTGCACTTTCTTGAAGTCATGTATGGGGCAATGGAGAACAGCACTTCGCTATCCAGGATGTCGGCAGACGGCGATACACGATGTACTAATAAAGATCGAGCGGGGTATATTTCAAGGTGATAGTCTGAGTCCCTTGTGGTTTTGTCTGGCTTTGAACCCTCTTAGCACTTTATTAGAGGGTTCAGGGTTAGGCTATAGGTTGCAGAGAGATGATCAAGTTATATCTCACCTTCTTTATATGGATGATTTGAAACTGTTAGCCGCCAACAAATTACAATTGACAAAGTTACTAAAGGTGACGGAAAACTTTAGTAATTCTATCAAAATGGAATTTGGTGTAGAGAAGTGTGCAGTCATGTATGTAAAGAAGGGTGTGATAGTTGAATCTAAAGGAATAGAGCTTTCAGATTCAACAAAACTCAGATCTCTGTCTGCCACTGAAACTTACAAGTATCTGGGTATATCACAGTCGTTGGGAATACCAGAATCTAACATGAAACAAACGTTGCAGGAACGCTTTTTTGGCCGCTTGAAAAAAGTACTTAAAAGTCTTTTATCAGGGGGCAACAAGGTGCGAGCCTGCAATGGTTGGGTCATGCCGGTTCTGATGTATTCCTTTGGTATACTTAGATGGACTCAGACCGAATTAGATGCCCTTGACAGGAAAGTCCGTACACTGCTGACTGCATCCCGAATGCACCACCCACGTTCATCAGTTATGAGATTGTATATCCCTCGAAAGCTTGGGGGTCGCGGACTATTAAATATCAAGACCCTACATAATCGCGAGATATGCAATCTCAGAGAATATTTTCTACATACCGACGTGGGAGTGCATCGCAATGTAGTTGCAGTGGATACCGGCTTCACCCCGCTCGCTCTGGCTAAAGAGAATTGGCGCAGACCTGTAGTACTTAGTGATAATGATCGCAGGGAAGTATGGAAGGGCAAAGAGCTCCATGGTCGGTTTTATCGGGCCCTAAACGGGTCTGATATAGATTTAAAAGCATCTACGACTTGGCTACGGTATGGTGATCTCTTCGGAGAAACTGAAGGTTTTGTTTGTGCGATTATGGACGAAGTTATCATGACGAATAACTATCGGAAATATATCCTGAAAGATGGTACGGTTGACATCTGTCGGGCATGCCACCGTCCTGGCGAATCAATCAGGCATATTATTTCTGGTTGTTCTCGTCTTGCTAACGGAGAATATTTGCACAGGCACAACCAAGTAGCCAGGATCGTACACCAACAGCTTGCCCTTAAATACCATCTTGTGAATCTAGAGGTGCCATACTACAGGTACCCAGTTCTCGAGAATGGTCGGGCCACGTTGTATTGGGATCGATCTATTATCACAGACAGGACTATTGTTGCCAATAAGCCTGATATTGTGCTGATAGATCGATTAGAGCGCCGCGCAATGATTGTTGATATCGCCGTTCCTCATGACGAGAATCTCGTGAAAGTTGAAAAAGAAAAACAAATTAAATATTTGGATTTATCTCACGAGATTGTCGATATGTGGAATGTTGATTCAGTGATCATTGTTCCGATAGTCGTATCTGCTCACGGATTGATAGCCAAGAGCCTCGACCAACACCTTAAGAGGCTCACGTTGGACGGCTGGATCAAGGGTCTGATGCAGAAGGCAGTCCTCCTTGACACGGCTCGTATAGTGAGGAGGTTCCTATCTTTGGAGTCCTAACCACCGGTGTCTTGGTCCCTGTACCCGATGTCGGTGGTCTACTATTTTTTATATTTTTAAATGTATTTTTTTATAAAGTGTATGTTTAAAAATGTAAATAATATGTATATAAAGTAAATAAAGAGAATAACAATAATAATTAAGTAGCAGTGGTTTTGTATAGCAGTCAGGTGTGGTGATATGATTTTTTATCATATGATTTATCAATATTGAATGTGATTTTATTCCATCCCTAATGAGGTACCTAACCTTTGCAGGTAACCTGCTAAGTAATGTCTTGAACGAAACGTTCTAAAACACTTTTCGTAATCATTATCGGTTTTCCGGTTATATAAATCTAGAATCCAATTATTTAAATAATCCTAGGTTGTTAATCATTATGAAGTACGAATACTTTGCACAAACTTTGTTTTTTTTCGGTAAAAACAAACATAAATAACATCTTTTGAGACGTTGGGAGATCTTTTAGCCACTTGTATAATAAATTCTCGACTGAAAAAGGGTATCAAGATGTCTCACCAATTTTTGTACGACATTGTTATGATGACATACAAAATTAGAAATTTGCAGCGGCAATTTTGAAACTAAGTGGTTTGTTTTTTGTTGACCTTGAACCTCTGATTATAAACGACCTGTGAACAGTAAAATAAATATTTAAGAATAGAGGTCCCATTCCGCTAGTTTGCGACAACCACTAGCAATTGGAATATATGTATTTGTGAATAAATATTAATAATAATTATTGTCACTATCATTTTATACTGTTATTGTGGTTCTATGTCTTTTAAGTTTTATTGTGCAATCTTATTTTGGGAAATGTCTTTATAATAATTTTTGTTAATTTTTCTCAGCTCCAGGCTGGTTTTAGATGTACGAGGGCGGGTCAATAAGTCCGTGACTTTTTGAATTTCTGACCTCTTTACTGAAAAAGCAACACTACTCCTGTCAACAGGCATCTGTCAGTTGACTCCTGTCAAAATTTGAACTTGCTGCGTCAGTTAGTTTGTGTTTGACAGCTATCTTTATCAGACTACCCAGTAATTTGAGGAAAAAATGGAAAAAAGTGAATTTCGTGTGCTTATTAAGCATAATTTTTTAGAGACCAAGGCTAAGCTTGATAAATCCTATGGGGACTCTGCACCATCGATTTCAATGGTAAAAAAGTGGTTTACTGAATTTCGTTGTGGCCGTACAAGCACTGAAGATGCCGAACGTCCTGGACGCCCAGTTGAGGTCTCTTCACCCGAAACAATCGAAAAAATTCACGATATGGTGTTGGCCGACCGAAGATTGAAAGTGCAAGAGATTGTGGAAGCCGTAGGGATCTCGCATGGCTCAGTGGTTTCAATTTTGAATGATCACTTGGGCAAGAGAAAGCTTTCCGCAAGATGGGTGCCGCGATTGCTCACAGTCGACCACAAACGCAATCGTGTAACAACTTCACAGGAAGGTTTGGCGTTGTTTAATCGCAATATGGAGGAGTTTTTGCGCCGTTTTGTAACCGTGGACGAAACATGGATCCATCACAACACACCAGAGACCAAACAACAGTCAAAACAGTGGGTTTCTAAGGGTGAATCGGCGCCAAAGAAGGCCAAGGTCGGTTTGTCAGCCAATAAAGTTATGGCGACTGTCTTTTGGGATGGGATAATCCACATTGACTACCTTCAAAAGGGTAGAACAATCAATAGGGAATATTATGCCAACTTATTGGACCGATTCAATGACGATTTGAAAAAAAACCGACCTCATTTGGCCAAGAAAAAAGTTCTTTTCCACCAAGAAAATGCAAGGGTGCACACATGTGCAGTTGCCATGGCAAAAATCCATGAATTGGGCTATGAATTGCTCCCTCATCCGCCCTATTCTCCAGATTTGGCTCCTAGTGACTACTTGTTCCCAAAATTGCAGAAATGGCTTGGTGGGAAAAGATTTGACTCCAATGATGAAGTCATCTCGCCAACAAGGCCTATTTTGAGGACCTCCACAAAATCATATTTTTTGGAAGGGATAAAAAAATTGGAGAAGCCTTGGACAAAGTGTATAGAGCTCAAGGGAGACTACGTTGAAAATAAAATGATTTATTTATCAAAAAATCTGTGTTTTATTCCAAGTCACGGACTTATTGACCCGCCCTCGTATTTACGGGCCAAAACCAAGTAAATACAATGGTGTGTGGTTTGGTTATATAGTAGATGGTGGCTGCTGTGTGTGTTGTGCTTATAGATGTAAAACACCCGTTTTAAAACATTTTAAATAAAAAGTTGCCGTTTTAAACCCCAAATAAATCGTTTTAAACAATTAGTACACATAGTATTCAATAATCGGTTGAATACTCGCCTTCTAAAATAAAAGAACTGTGTTTTACACTTCATATGGGCAATTGCTGGTCACCTGACGTCATGTTTAGTTTTAGGTGGCTTAGGTACAGAAAATCAATAGAAAATACTTACCTACATTACCTACTACACGAAAACTTAAGTAGTATACTCATTTATTATATTACACACACTACATTAGAAGACATCATTAACACAATGCCATCCGTTTTACTTGCGCATGAAAGAGCACAACGTTATGTCTTCTGAGTTTGTTTTTAACCCGAATCAAATAGATTATTTATATCATTTGAAAAAAATTAAAATAATATTTATTTACAGAGTTTTTAACCAATCAATAGAGTTTTTATAACTTAGGTAGGACATAGGGTAGGAAGGCATAGCGCTCACTGGGTAACGGCGCTCACCTCTGTAACTCTGTCAAAAGGAGCGTAACAACACGCCACGTCGCGTGAAGCGCGAGGGGCCCCTCCCCTCGCGCTTTGCGCCTCTAACCAGTGTTACCAACCTAGTGGATTTTCCACTAAAACTGGTGGTTTCGACCCCCCTTTTAGTGGCAAAATTTTGCTTTTAGTGGCTAGTGGATTTTGTTAGTGGTTGGCAGTAATATTGAAATTGTAGAGGAGTTAGGAAATACTGTTGAAAGATGAACTGTGAGAACTGTTTGTGTACGCAAATACGTTTGACGGGAAAGGAAGGATGGGGATTGGATAGAAGTGCTCAGGAAGAGAAGGATTATTAATTTTAGGCAATTTGGACCAGAGAGAGAAAAAGTTTTCGGAGTCGAGAAAGAAGTCAATCATGTGGGCTGTAACTTCAAGGATGTAATCCAGGGTGGTAACTATCATCCTACGGCTTGGAAATCATTGCGTTACAACAAACAGACAGGTTAATTCTTTTTGATGTCCCCATAAGGCATAGGAGAAAATATAATTGAGGGTCTGACCCTATGTTTAATGATCCGGTTGAGTAGCAGAAGAGAAATAAAGATGGATATCATTCAAACTAATAAAACTCGGTTCGTTGTTGTCTACCAATGCGCAACGTGTTATGGAACTTCTACCATACTAAAGGTATTGCTCTTCAAAGATGCTCAAGGGGCCAAGGGACTTCAACATTTGAGGAATTAGCGACCATTGGTATTACTCTCTTAATACTGCCTCGTTTCAATACCGATGTTGAGTTGAGAGACTATAGGTAGAAACAGAGGAATAGAATGCAGTTAAGTCTTTTATCTGATACCGCTGCAACAAATGAAACAAAAAAACAATAAAAAAGAAATACCAATAAAAAATGAAATTCCAATAAACGTTGCTGTTGGGTTTTCATAAAAACAACAAGCCATCCACTTTAAATAGTAGAGTTGTGTTAAGGTCCTATATTCACAACAGTTGTAAAACAAATTGGTCCCAAAGAATCGTATTAATCTGGAACCGACGATGACACATACCGGCTGACGCAGGTTATCACCGTGAAAGGGTGCCTCGGGAATCACCTGTGTCTGATTAGCAAAGAGCCAACGCCAGGGCAACTGCCCGTGGGGTGCAAACTGTACATACGTGCACCGCGTGGATTGTCGTCCCGCCCGGTCGGCCAGCCGGTTATAGTCTATTTGCGTTAATGAATCGATAGTGACGTATCGAGCAAGCTCCGCCCTCTGGCCACTCATCATCATCTCAACTAAAAGACGTCCCCTGCTGGATATAGGCCTCGCCCAAAGTTCACCACAACAACCGTTCCTGTGTTGCCCTGGCCACTCAGGTTCCGAGAAAATTTGGTTTCGTATGAAAGCTTGGCACCTGATTGGTCAGGGTGCGGGGTTTGACCGATGCGTCACTATTTTCTTAACGCGAATGGACTATTGTTGTTATGGTTAAAATTCAGCCGGAATAAATATCCTCCTTATAGCCACTTTAACAAGCCAATGACATTAATATGTTGGTTGTCTCTTGGTTTAAGTACGAAAAAAATATATATTGGCAGGTGTAAAAAACTTTACAAACTATTTATGGAAATTACAATCAGTTCTCTTAAATATGTCTCGAATTTCAGACGATTCAACCAGTCGTCGTAAAGAGAGAATTCTAGCCTCAACAAAAGATTTGCTACTTTTTATTGAGCATGAGGGGGAAGGTGAATCGCTTATAAATGGCAATGGATAGCTGCCACTCTGGATTGTACAGCTAGCTTGCATATTACAAACTGGTGACCCAGGCAGTATATTCTCAAAATCTTGATTCGAAAAGCAACGGCATAAATGATTATATTCAAAGTCAGTATATTGACATGCTACTTCTTTCGTTTTTGGTTCAGTTAGCTTTGGTCGCGAATATTTTTTCCCCTTTGCTAATTGGACCAATGTTTTCAGTTCTAAAGCAGAACATGGTTTGTAGCTAAGCAATTCAGGGGCATCATAAGTTGACATTTTTCTCATATATGCTGGTAGTTGCTCCAGTAAATGCTTTTTCGCTAGTTTAGAACAATTACACTTTTTTGATTGGACGAATTTCATGTAACTCTCCCACTTAGAATCTCTTGTGTAAGCTAACTCTTCTTGTTGCGTCAAATAAACAGAAGGTAACGTTTCTAATGAAGCTAAACTTTCAGTTTTAATTTTTGGCTGTACCGATGTTGGCGAATGAGGGACGCTGCGGTCACATTCGGAACAATAAGGGATGTTACAGACAGGACATGCGAATTCCACATTTTGTTTATTTGCTATTTCCTGCTCTAACACTTGCATTATAGAGCTCTCCAATTTTAACTCTTGCAACTGTCGAGATGATGAATATTTTACAGGCACAGCAAGATCACAATTATAATCTTCAGAACTGGCGTCGCTCAAAATGTTACCATCAACAACATCTTGTACTTTGTCTGCAAATTTTTTAAAGTTATCACAATTCGCGTATATACAGTGTTTATTAATTACTATAACCGGGAACTGTGATGCACTCGATGTACAACGTTTTGAACATAATTCTTTACGTACATGTGGTTTGTTATTTTTCTCGCAGAAAAGATAAAAAGGATGAGGATTTGGTATGGGCGCATGGAAACTTGGAAAGTCCAATTCAAAAATATTTTCTACGCTGGGATACTCTAGCGATTCATTAAGTTGTATCAACATTAATTTTTCCATGTTAATAAAGAAATCGGCTTGTTCTGGCATCATCTTTAAACAGTACAGTATAAACATTTGAAAGTTTTTCACGACGTGACAAACTTTTTTCTGCCATATCCTGATAAACTCAGCTTGCTTAATTTCTTTCTGTTCTGCATGACGTATATGTAAAACTTTAGTCTGCATTTTCTTAATCAAAGTCTTTTTCTTTTTGCTGTGCTTGTGTTTGACGGAATTTATTTGCTTTAAACACTCTTGTCTTTCTTTCATTGCAACGTAGACTTGACAAGCTCTTTTTTGGCATTCCAGCAAATGTCTGAGTTTTTCCACAGCTACATATTTCTCAAGATTAATATCATGCAATTTATCGTAAAATGTCGCACGACTTTTTTCCAAGTCTTGAATGAAATTTACTTTTAGTTTCTCTTTTTCTTCTAAGAGTTTAGTGTTATATTTGTTGGTTATCTTGGCTGCCTGCTTTTGTAACAAATCTTCATACTTTATTAGCATATCGTGATGTGCCTTAGATCGAGTCTCTTCAATTTTCTTTATAGCAGCGTTTGCCAAAACTTTCTCAAGCTTTGTTAAGGACGTTCTGTACAAAATAACAAAAGTAGAGAAAGCATTTGTAAGGTATTCTGTAACAGCTTTGCTTTCATTTTCAGTACAAATGCGATAATGCACCTTACATTCACTTGTCACGGTGTTTTCCCACTGTTCATCTTTATCGCGCAATGCTTGTTCTGTTTCAGACATCATTCGGTCACGATAAGCAATCATTTTTTTCATTGCAATTTCATCAATGCCACACCAACCTAATCGTTTTAAATGTTCCGTATTTAATGGTTTCAAGACTGCTCTACCTTGTAGCAGATCTTTTGGCGGTATATACCAGCAGCCACCACCACCTTTTAAGGGAGGTGCCAGCCCAGCAATTACTTTAAGTTTTTGGTCCATAGACTTGAAATACACATCGGCAAGAGCTGGCTTCATATATTTCTTAATTACACTAATCGTGGGAACTTGATTTCCTTTAAAATAACATGTTCTTGAGAGGCGATTATCGGTCATATTGAAAATTAACATACAAAAATATATTGTAAATATAAAATAAATAGTTGTATAAAAAATATCAAAATAAACATCAACTATAAAAGTGTATGTGAGGGAAACGTCAAAGTTATCATTGTCAACCTATTTCGAGTGACAGGGAGCCGATTTAAAGCTCAGTAGCACCATGTAGAAAAGAGGTAAGTATCTAGCATAAACTAGGTATATAATAGGTGTACTAGCATCGTAAACGAACAATAAGTTAGTGTGAGATACCAAGCCTATTATACGAATACGTTGGTTACTCCAACAACCTTCAACAACTAGAAAACTGATCTTCAAGTGGCTCACCAGATCTTTTGATATCGTACATCAACAGCCTTTAATAGTCCACTGCTGGACATAATAAGCCTCTCCTTAGAAAGGAGGTTTTGGCCTACTATACCACGCTGGCCAGACGGGTTGGTATAGGGTTTGTGTCAAGTTTGGAATCGTACGAGGGCTGCTATTTATGTATCCGTCACTGGCCAGTTACAGAACAATATTATAAAGGTAATTATATCATTTAAAAATGGAACTCTTTGGCTGAAGAACAGAATTTGTTTCAAGTAGCTGTCATTTGTTTATCCTTTGTGGCGTCATTTTGAAAATTGCGATTTATTACGATTTTCAGCGAGGGCTAACTCGAAAACAGTGCATCGATCAACTTACTTCGACTTTTGGGGACGAAGCACCATCAAAAACAACTGTGTATCACTGGTTTAGTGAGTTTAATCGAGGGCGGTCTGTACTCACGGACGAATTTAAAGAAGGTCACCCTAAATCGGTTGTTGTACCTCAAAGTAGGACGAGAATATATAAAAATATTACACGAACATTTAGCTGTAAAAAAAAAATGTTCACGTTGGATTGCGAACAACTTGAGAATTTACCATAAAAGGGTTTGGGTGTTCCAAGATGAGCCGAACCCAACAAAAGTCATTAGCTCTATAAGCACTTTGAAGCCATTTGCTTCAAAGTGCTTATAGAACTAATGACATGTGGCTACAATGCCACTAGAGGATCGTAAAACGGTTAGTTCTGAATGGTACATGACTATTTGTTTGCCAGAAGTCTTTGAAGAAAAAGAAAGAATAATCGACAACGCAGAATCCTTCTTCATCATCACAATGCTGCCATACATCGGCTTAAACAACTCAGTATTTGGAAGATCAAAAGATCGAATTAACAGGTTATCCGCCGTACAACCCTAACTTGGCCCCCAACGACTTCTATTTATTCCCAACCATGAAGAATAAAATACGTAGTCAACGTTTTTCGAGCCGTTTTGAAGATACGTGAAAAAGTGCTACTAAAATTGGTTCCAACGTATGCAAAAGTGCATCGATTATCACGACGAATATTTTAAAAAGCAATAAAACTATTATAAATGCTATGTGTTTGTTTCACTTTGTTATTCCAGATACATAAATAGCGGCCCTCGTAACTAATAACATACTCGTTTCGTCAGTCACCTTTCCCCAAAAACTAAATCATATTTCATCCACCCGTTTCTGAGCTATGATACTACAAATACATGTCGAATACGGTTCTTGACATGAATTTTTTTTAAGATCGTTGAGGTTTTTTTTCAGAACATAAATCGTCAGTCTCATTTAAAAATATTTTTGTTTTTGCTTGTTTATTCATAACGACCATAAAAGTTAAAGAAAATACAGGTAATTGTGTAATAGTCTTTTTTTATGGTATAAGGGGGCAAACGAGCAGACGGATCACCTGATGGTAAGCAACTACAGCCGCCCATTGACAACTGCACCTCAAAAGTCACAAGTACGTTGCTGCCCTTGGAGTCCCTCCCGCTGGAGTCAGCAGGAGGAAGATTTGGGCTCCGATAACCTCAATCACTCAGTGAAAGGCCAACGAAAGAATTGCTTAACACTGGCTTTCTGTGTGGCCGTGGTATCACTCCGGTCGAGCCGGCCCATTCGTGCCCAGCATGGCTCTCCCACAGTAAGTTTGGACTGCTAGTACCGCGGACACAGAGGCTTCGCAGGATGTAATGTAGATACTACTAATGTCAGGTGGTGTCAGGTCAGTGTGGAGTAATTAATTTTACCTAAGTCTGTTTACCTATAGCACAAGATTGGTAGGCAAACTTGCACAGTAATTTAAAAGTATAATTATTAGCGTCATAACAGATGCACTTTGTTACAAATAACATGTTATCATTATCAATAACTTTTTATACAACAGGCATATGCACGTTACATCAAAAAAGATAGACTGGTCAAAATTGGATATGTTTTTCAATTAGCGTCTACATCTTGATGTATTGTAATAAACTGTATTCTTCATTTATTAATGTTCCACTATTATGATTGTGTAGATGAGTGGTGTAAGACCAAACAGGAAGCATATCCTACCAAATAAAAAAGAATTTTGCAAATCGGTTGATAGATGACGTATAAGTAGCGGCACGAAACTCTAGCGGTGACAGTTACTGCGCAGAAGTCAAAAATCAGGTATCTTGTGGGGTAAGAGGGACGAAGGGCGGGCGTGCGTAGCGCCGATTGGCTCTCCAGTCGCATTACGTCCCCCGCACTGATACGACACGCCGCGTGCTTCCAGAGTACAGTCGCGTTCTGAGTTATATTGTTATCGCTGTTAATTTTTGTTGCTGTTTTTTGTTAAGTTTGATTTTGTTAAGTTATTTTTTGTTTGTGACTTTAAACAGTGAATATGCCTAGAAGAAATACTGTTTTGAAACGACAGGCACGGAAAATGGTATATGACGTACATTGTTTTTTGAAAAGGGAATCTGATAAATTAATTGATTCTTTAAAACAAATCAAAAGTGAGATTGACGAAGCTACGAGTATTTTACTCAATCATTCGGACAGCAGCACAGTAAATTTAAGCCAAGTAAAATATGAAATATGCAGTCAAGTTAAACACGTGGTAAGGGTCGATCGGAAATACAATACTCATTTAAAGACAATGCAGGTTGCAGCTGGGAACAGAAGACATTAAAAAAGCGTTTTAAAATTATTTAACGTTACAGTCGTATGTTGTGGTAGGGAAAGGACTGCGTTAATTGTTGTGGTATTTAATGCGACAAATCAAGCATCATTGTTTAGATAATAAACTGCTAAGTTGAAAACTTTCACAAAGTGAATTGCATATAATTATAGTTCAACAAATTCTGTTTTAATTTTTCTACTTCCTATAAACTTGTTAAAAATCCTGGGTAACATATTTTTTTTTGGATATTGGAACTATAAACTATAATAATGACATACACATACACTCACGCATACACACGCACGCACAAAACGCACACGCACAAACAAAGTACATTTTTTTTAACATACACGTTTATTACTACTACTTAAGTTTTAAATGTTAATACACATGGAGACCAATAATACTGGTTCAACCCAGTGCAGGCTCCCATCTCCTACAAGCACAATAACTGTCTGTATATATTCTTATAGCTTTTACCCGCGGCTTCGCTCGCAGTTTTATCTTTCGTAAAAAATATTATTTTAATAAAAAGTATCATATGTTACTTCTAAAACCTCCAAGAATATGTGTACAAAGTTTCATGATGATCGGTTAAGTAGTTTTCACGTGAAAGCGTAACAAACAAACTTACATTCACATTTATAATGTTATATAGTATGATTACTTACTTACCTTTTGTACCTATTGTTGAGAAAATAAAGAAATTCAAATTTGACGACTCTGGCACGTTAACAACTTTCAGAAGTTACACTCTATAACATTAACTATTTACTAAAGTTAATATTTGCGTGCGCGATAGTACCCATGCGCGGCTATCCCTTCTACGTTCCGCTCAGCGCTAGACTTACGTGGCGCTAGTTATAGTTCTAATGATAAGACATCTACAGGAGATCTTTATATGCAATATTTATAGGCCCGCCGGCCGCTGCCACCCGGGTTGAACGGACGTACAGCTCGAGACGCGGCGACGACCGCTTTGCCCCCGCATTTTAAATCTCTGATAGCTACTAAGATATTCATTTTAATGATTAAATGCACTACGTATCTAACGTACCTATTTATTTGGATAAAGAATAATACTGTATTGTTCAAAATAGCTTCGTAAATTACCCATTATTATTTGTAATATGTAAAAGATAAAAATGGTTACAGTAGGGTTATCCTTAGGAAATAGACATATACCAAAGCGCCTGACTTTTTTTTACGACTTCACTTTATAAATCTTTGAAATTCTCGGATTTCATCTACTATAATATACATTTATTATACATATAAAGCGACTTCATTGTATTCTATGTAAAGATTCAGTGTCAAGATCGTTTTATTACTTTTCCCTGGTATTGCACACTACCAATTTTTGCTTCCCTATTTGCTATGAGATTCTGGTAGACCTATACTTCAATCGTGTCCCAAGAAGCCTCAGTACAAAACAGTTTAAATTGTTTTTTTTTTCAAAGGACGTAAAAAGACAAAAAGTACTGGTCAAAATATTTTTTTATTTATACAAAATTATAAATACTTTTTTTCACTTAATTATAAATTCAGTTCTGCTTACAACTAAGTAACTTCACCAACAGCCATCTGTTGTAACAAAGTCATAACATGACAAAATCGTTCTTTTATTTCAGAAGCTGAGCGGTGGGGCAGCAGTTCCCTTATACGGCCAAACACCTGTTCAGAACCAGCCTCACCTTTTAGCACTTGTAACATGGTTTTATCCTCATCCCTCGTCCAACTATTGTTTTTCTCAACTTTCTTAGGTTCAACGACGATAGGAATCTCGATTTTCGGTTGTTTCGGCTTCGAACCTTCGTCTTTCTTCTGAACAGTATGACCTTTGCTGTCCTTCCTTTCCCTTTTTTGTATACTGTCTTTGTTTTCGAGTTCCTTTTTTAAACTTTTAGTTTTATTGGTATTTTGAGACTTTTTGCTTGTTTTTGGACTCAATATGTTAACAGTGCAGTCTTTATGTTTCGTGTTATCATTAACGTCTTTGATATTTTTAGTAGGAGACTTGTTTAATTGTTTCTTGGCTTTTTTCGGTGGGATTTTGGGATTGTTCTTGGCGTTTCGTTTGGGGGAGGCTCGTTCGTCTTCGGAGTGTGGCGGAGAGAGGTGTGAGTGTGTGGGAGCGAGTCGTCGTGCATGTACCCGGTACGGCTCCTTGCTGTAGGGGTATGTGACACATGCAGACCGCAAGAGTCTGCCATGTTGAAGGAACACTCTCCCGTGGAGGTACTGCGGAAATAATTACCTTTAGCTCTTTTTGCACTTGACCGCTTACTAGGGCGTAAAAGGTACATCATCATCATCAACAGCCTTTAATAAAAAAAGGTACATAAAAATACTAAATACTTTTTTAGTATTTTATGCTATGAACAACATAAATAAGACTTAACCAAAAGGCCAATTCTTGTAATAAAAGTTCGTTCAAAAGTCCGATCAACTGTTACAAATGTCATAAATGGTATTTTCGTAGTAATATAGTAAAGTATTACTAAGGCTAGCAGATTACCGATTCAATTTTCGGTCCTAATACAATAAAATCACATTACAGTTAACGTTTGAGGTTTAATACTTTACTAAGAAAATACCTTGTATGACAGTTGCGAGATCGGTTGATCGGAAATGAATTTTGTCCGAACTTTTACTACGAGAATGTGCCTTGTGGAATGATTTTGGCCTACTTTATTAATCGAAAGATTGTTGGTCAATATGCTTACAAATCGATTGGTTACTCTATCTCAGTCGACCTCTTCTACAATCAGTTATTGCCCAATACAGCCAAAAAAATATTATTTCCACTAGCCAGTCTACTTAGGTAAGCTGCAGTTGAATTTGGCCAAACCTAATTATGTGAAATTTGCAATGAAATTTAGTTACAATATATTAACAAATTATTTTATGTCAATAAATCGTCGGAAGCTGTCATCACAAAACTGTGCACACCGGTTGTGGCATAACTTGGGGGAGTCTATCTCCGTGTGGACTCATCTTTTAAATTTTGACTAACTTTTATATTCAATTGAAAAGTTTTAAAACGATCGTTAGCGAAAATTACTTAATTGTAAGGGTTAAGTAATGCTGCAGATTTGTGCTAAAACGATCATAGGTATATAGGGGTGAAATTTCGTGTACGATATTACTTCAGGAATTTCCCGCAACATAATCTTACAATATTAACGTAAGGTAAAAATCCTGGCACAGAACTGGGGTCTTGATCAGCAATGATTTCTAGTTCACGCCTAGGAGCATTTATCTCCAACTAGTTGGATAACTTTCATTTCAATAATATCGGACATCGATAAACAAAATAAAGCGAACGAATATTTTAAAGAAGAAATCGGGGATGCAAGATAGCAATTGCATTTGCTGTATGCTGATCAGAAGCAAGTGCACAAACGCTTCTCCCAGCAACAATTAGACCGATTCAATAGGGATTCGACTGATTCTGTGCGGTGATTTGTAAAAATTGATCAGACATGGGTAAACAGTGGAACAGCACCAACGAAGTCAAACGCATCTGTTGCAAAAGGTATGCCTTTATCTGATTACGTTGAAAAAGGCAAAATAATCATTACAGAATAACTACTTGACCAGCTGGATGCCAAAATTTGCGGCAAGAAGCCTGGATTGATGAAGAAATAATAATCTTAATCCTATTGATTTGGCTGCTCAAGACTTTCATCTGTTCCGATATTTAAAGAAATTTTATTTTTGAGAAGCGCCTATGAAGAAGTTGACAGAGAGTAGATTTCAATATCTCTCCGGATTTGCACTGCTGGGAAATAAGAATGACGTTGGAGAATCGCTCTAGTGTATTTTTTCTTTTCATAATCAGTATGTTTGTTGCATTAGTGTCATTTGATAAGAAATGTTTGAGAGGATGGAGGATTCTGAAAAGTTTGGATTTACAAATTGCAAGCAAAAGCCAAGAACTAGATATTTTTAAAACTAGCGTTACCTCCTGAACACAGAAAGGCAGACGGAAATTGCTTGATGTAATCACATCACATATTATTCTTAGCCACCCTTAGATTAACCATACTCGTAATGTGTTATAGAAGTAGAGATTCAAATGTGACAAGGGCGGCTCGAGAAAGAACGGTTCTTAGTACTTTTTATTGTAATATAGCACTTCAAAAACTTTAATCGGGTCATGAATGATCCAGAGTTAACCATACTCGATTTGGAAACATCTACGTCCATTGATTTCAAAGCTATAAATAAGAAGGCAATGCCGAAAGCCGAAATACAAATATTTCAGTGCTCGTTTGTAATATGGTATACTGTCATATTATTAATAAGCAATTGAAATATCTATGTGTTTCATTAGCTTTTAGACTGTAACAATAAAATACTCACTATTGTGTCCAGACTCTCCTTGGCATCTAATTTCTTTTTATTATCACTCTCGTCCTGGAACTCCCACACATCATAGCCTTTATCACACGTGAGGAAGCTCTCGTTTATGATGTCAGTTCCGGTCTCGTACAAACTGTAAGATGATAAAAACTTAGTTGGTATTTGTGCGTCAAAAACGGTATTTAGTAATTCAGGAAAGAATTTGACGGTAGATAAGTCACTTCGTGGGATTTTGGCGGTTCTAAATGTACATTTAGAACGATTAGGTACCGTCATGTTCAACGTCCGACGCAGGTGCCTTCGGAACATCAATGCTTAGGGTAGAAAGTGGGGTTAGGGAGTCAGATGACACCTCCGTCCTCCATAAGCGCAGGCCTGGGGGTGACAGATGAGGCCATTTGTCACCCTAGCAGAAGCAGGCCGGGGTGGCGGCGAGCACCCTTCCGGGAGCACAGAAGGAACATGGGGGTTCCCACACAGGAGGGGGCCATCTACATCAGGTATTTCCATTATCAGGGATTTCCTTTCTAGGGTACACCTGGTTCCCCGGCTACTGGTACCCGAGACGGCGTGCGGTTTTTGGTCGGTTCGAGTCCGTCATAATCACCCCGATGGGTGGTATTCGAGGGGATTTCCGCAGAGGGGAAAAAAAGGGAGTCAGATGACAATGATCCAAGGGGATAACTTAAACATAGGGAGGTAAGGGTATATTTTTTTAATATTAATTAAATTAGCATAAAAATCAGACAGAGCTAGCCTGATCGTAAGTAATTGCCAGAGCAGCTTGCACAGCCTAGCTTGTGGCTCTACATAAGAGCTGAAAAAACAGTATGAGTGCTGGCTAATTGCAGTCTCTTATACTCGTAAGGTGGTCATTTTTCCGTCTGAAGGCTCCAAAGCCAGAGTGCCTTTGGAGTCTTCAGACTCTTTCTTCTTCTCTTCTTGGATTACAATTTCTGCATAGAAGAGAAGATTCGATTGATTTAGCAAATTAAGAAGAGGAAATGCAGCCACACGCTGCATACAATAAGTAATTATTTATCTATACTAATATTATAAAGCTGAAGAGTTTGTTTGTTTATTTGTTTGAACGCGCTAATCTCAGGAACTACTGGTCCGATTTGAAAAATTCTTTCAGTGTTAGATAGCCCATTTATCGAGGAGGGCTATAGGCTATATATCATCACGCTAAGACCAATAGGAGCGGAGCACCAATGAAGAATGTTTCAAAAACGGAGAAAATTTATTACTATTGAGAGACGCAGACGAAGTTGCGCGAGTCCGCTAGTTGGCAATAATAGTGACTACTGTATCATATTATTCTCACATTAGTTATTTCTCACATCACAAAGTACTGAACGGGGATGCATCGATATTAGGGTTTTAACAATTTAAAACCCTGATTCAGACGTTGCAATTACAACAAAGCAGGTCTTTTGACTATTAATTCTTAACATAAGATAAAGTTGGCGAGTTGATCTCGTTGGTCCACCACCATTATGATGATTCAAACACAGGACAATTGAGGGTAGTTTGAAAAACGAAAACTATATCAACAGCTACCTACTTTTAACTCAGATATTCAATGTCAGCACTTAACATCTTACAATACGCATTGTCGAGAGCTTTGGTGCGCTATTGCCATTATTGTTGGCACTGTTACTCATTACTTAGCTACCTGTTCGTTATTCATTAGGGAACAGGCGCTTGAACATATTCGTCATCATCATAATCAGCCTTTAGCAGTCCACTGCTGGACATAGGCCTCTTCTTAGAAGGAAGATTTTGGCCTACTATACTGCTTGTAGCTGGCCAGATGGCTTGGTATAGGGTTTGTTTCGAGTTTTCCTTCTCTTTGCAGTGCTGTTGTCCTGCGTAGTTTGCTCCCTTAGTTGTCTCTTACGACACCCACGGAATGAATAGAGATGGTGGATTAGCAAGTTGTAAGTACGAAGACCATACTTGACGATAGTAATATCCGTTGAACCACCAAGCTCTTGCATTTATGCTATCTAAGTACTATCTACCTACCTATCTGGTGGTCGTTCATCAGGGAACAAGGACTTGAACATATTAGCGAGACGTGGGTTGGAACGCAAGTGCGGTAGGACGCGAGCGCGCATCTCTTCTGGGCTGCCACTGTTGATACCATTTGTTATCGCGCGCAATACTTTTCGATGTACTGTTGGCTTCCGTGAGAATGACCTCTGAAAATAATAACAGGATGTATACTTTGTCTACTGCTGTTTAATAGTATAGTGACATCTATATATTTAGAATGTTAAGTTTGTTTGTGTACTCTTCAAGAACTCAAAAAGTTCTGCACCAATTGAGCTCAATTTATGATACAATATAGAACCCGATCCAAAGTATGTTCTTATCTAGTTTTCGCATCCGTTCTGTTCATACTCATAAATGCAACCAAACTGTGCCACACAGATAGTAATTCTATATATTTTTTGGTACTAATAACTATTGGTCAAAAGAATCATATTACTGTAACACATGATAAAAAGTAATAGAGTTTTCGTCCTTTACAAGTTATATGAATTATATCAATCATCTTCAACACCCCTTAATATTCAAATGCCGGACATAGACCCCTCCTTAGGAACAAGGTTTTGGCGTACTATACTACACTGGCCAGACCGGTTGGTATAGGGTTTGTTTGTAGTTTTCCTTTCCTTTGCAGTGATGTTGTCCAGCATAGTTTGCTCCCTTAATCGGTTCTTTCGACACCAATAAGATGAGTGGGCATGGTGACATTCTGTATTCTTAATCGTTCACCGCACAGATCATATTTGAAATGAGTACAGTATTCCTAAATCAAAATTGATTATGAAAATTTACATCATTATATCCTTTATGATAAAACATTATCAGTGCATTTTTACCAAATATCACATAATAAATTGTGTAATGTTGATAAATTGAAGTTCAGAACAGTTTACAATAGTTGAAGGTCTTTAAGTTTTTTTACTCTACAACTCTAGAAGTATTAAGTACTCTATTAAAAAAACTTTAATTAGTTACTTAGGTTTAAAATAATTAAGATTCTAACCCAGATATTAAGTATTAAATACAATTAAGGCAAAATAAACAAATGACAAAACAAACATCTAGATTTAATAATTTAAAATACTACTGGTTAGAAATGAGGCCAAAATTGCATAGCTAATATTTAAATGTCAAAACAAACTTACTTGCAACATTTCTATGAAACTGGTGAGTTGAACTAACATGAAATGATCCATAAATCGTCCAATCTCAACGGCTTGTCCTGGTTTCAGAAATAAGAGGAACTCTTCAACAATATCCTTGTGTTCTGCACCAAATAAACTCTCTATTCTCTTATACAAGTCTACGGGAGTTTCTTTAGAGGGGTCGAAGGATTTTAATATATTTTGAAACTGTACAAATTTGTTAGTAGGCACAGATGTGTTGGAGGAAAACCTTGATTGTACTTTTGTGTAATAAGATCTAACTAAAGCTGAAAGAAACAAAAAGGATGTTTAATTTTTTACCGCAAAATATTTATGATCTATGAAAATATAGGAGCCAGTGAGTCAGACAGACAATGAACTGATAAAGGTTATGTTTACAAAACAAAAAGTAAATTTTCTTATATTCATATTTTACATCATATAAAAAGAACTAATAAAAATAATAATAAAACCTCACACGTGGCTGTCTTATTCCAAAGTAGGCAGTGCCTGTACTGTGGTAACCAGACCGCTAATAAACATAGTTATATATTTCTAAATACATACATATTATGGATAAATTACACCCAGACACAGAACAAACGATCATGCTCATCACACAAATATTTGTCCTGGGTGGGAATCGAACCCACATCCTCCGGCTTAGCAGTCAGGGTCACTAACCACTAGACAAACAGGTCCGTCAATGAGATGAGAGTGTGATTTAAATTATATAAAACAAACCATGTTTACCTGTTTCTAAAACATTGTCATCAATTTTAGGCGGATCAACTTTTTTCTTAGTGCTTGTTTTGCTTTTGGATTCCTTTGGTGTTACTCTCGCAACTGGTAGTGCAGCCTTCTGGGGTGGGGGCTGATACATAAACAATTCAATAAGGTCATGTAAATAGATCATTTTATGTTATAAATATGGCGACACTTAAACATACAGTAGTGTTTATTTTTTTCTTTTTAAACACAAAATTGTGAATCAAACTAATTATTACATATTCTTTACCGTCTATGAACCATTTCTTAAATATGTACATGAACTTGCAATTAACATATCAGACAGAAATTACATAAAATCATCGTCAATCTTCTCTGACTCACCCGTGGTAAGATAACAGGTTGTGGAGTAAAACTCGCATTGAAAAAGCTTGTGCTTGGCTCAATTTTATTACCAAAAGCATCCTGACTATCTCTATTAAACAGGATTGGCATAGAAGGCAGCATCTGGACGATCTACGATCTGCTCACGCAACGAAATCTTGACGACACCACAGTTGCACAGAATCTTACATCGTATCTAAATACAAACTAAACAATAAAACACAATTATATCACCAAAACAAAAAGGATTTAACAGTATTTTTAAGTATAAAACATTATTGTTTTGATTTTATCCAAACAACACAAGGCATCGTAAGAATAAGAATGGAAACATTTTTGACAGATCGAGGACGCAAAAACGGGCGGGCGGAGCGCGCGCACGTTTCATTTTATGAAATTCCTAACCGGAGTTTCTATTTTTATGCATAATAATATTGGCAATATATTTTATTAATCTTAGGTTTAGTTACAGATTTCTATACTTCATGTACCGTAACTCATACTTTTTAAAGCTGAAAGCTATAATTTTTATTAGGAAGAAGTTAGTAAGAGAATATAATGCTAAAAGTTTATAAAAGTTATAAAGAAATCACTGAGTTGTTAAGAAGTTTAGCTAAAACCTGAATTCTATAAAAATAGTGAGAACAATATAGCCTTGCTTTAGACTTACACTGTTCGTATAATGCTAATGTAAAATTATAATAAATAGGAGCCAAGAGCAACGCCTTGAAGACTCAGACGTTTCTCTTTGGGTAATATGCACACGCGCTGTGAATATAATTATTTAATGTTTTATTTAAAGTGTAACGATTTATTAAATTTGTCGAAACTAAACATATTGATATGTTTAGATATATATGTATAATATAGTATTCTACAGAGGATACTACTTTTTTAAGATTTCCGTTGTATTTTGTTGCAATCCCAAGACAATATTTAAAACATAGAAATAAGTTGTCGATTTCAGAACACTTATCCAGTTTACTAAAAACATCAATCCTATTAAAAACGTATTTATTAAATCTGTGTTATTAAATCTCGGTAAAAATGTGGTAAAAAGTTATCGATGAACACAAAGTAAAGAAGCAAATGTTAAGGTTTTAAGAACCTTTATCCATCCATCCATCATGTTTATTACGTAAATGTTTTGTTACGTAATAAACATTTCAAAGTTGATAATTCATTAATGTTTGCGTTTTATTCAACTTGTAAAATCATACTTCTTCGCTGTTGAAAGGATGTTATTTGTAATGACTTTTTTGAAATTTCGAAGGTACCTATACGTATTAATTCATACGTTCACGAATTTTCACGACTAAAATTCTTCTATGCAGTATTTGTTTATAAGTAGTTGAATTATAGAGTAGGTATAGGTAATTTAAGCTTTGAACAGTGTGACATGTACGTTGTAAATTGGTATTTTGTGAATAGATAGTGTTGAGTGCCGCATTGACGAAGGCTAGCATATCACGAACAAACCCTATTTTGCATTCTTTCTGTAAAAATGTTGGAGAAAATTAAGTAGCGGCCACTTTTGATCGTGAAAGACGCGGTGAGTTATATAAAATAAAAATAAGTTATTTATGAAAAACTAATACTTAGTGATATACCTACAAGTTATGATCGTTTTTCCTTGTACGAAATTGCAATATTAGTAAATAATTTTAGCATTAACAATTAACATTCGAAGACATAAGAATTGGCAATTAATTGAATGAAATCAAATTAGCATTAATGCACATGACTAACCTACACAATTCCATCTTTCACTAGAAAGTAGAAGTAAGTAGATTGCAAGTTCAAATACCACTTCTGAATAACTATTTTGTGAACATTTTCTGCTAAGTCCATTTAAATAAGTAATCAATAACTTATTATTACCGATGCTACTGATTTATTTTTAATCATAATGTTGTCAAGAGACTATTCCTTGTTTATATTAATTGACACAGAAATTAGGATGTAGGTATATCCCATATCTATTTTCATAGGTATAGAGTTAGTAGTGCCTCTGTGCGACACTAGCCCTTTATGTCGGACTCGAACAGAACAAAAACCGCACGCCGCCGGTCTTGGGTACCAAGAAAACCCGACGTACCTCTGACCATCTACGGCGTGTAGATGACCCCGAGTGTTACCGAAACTGCGCGCGCGCTCCGCAGCGCATCTCGACGTCACCCCGGCCTGCTTCTTCTAGGGTAACAGATGACATCACCTGTCACCAATGGCCCGCGCTTATGGAGGACGGAGGTCGTTTTGCGACCTCCAGTATCTGAGTCGTCTGTGCGGTACCTGGCCCGTTCCCGAGCCTGGTTTAGAACTCTCCCGAGTTCTAAACCTCTTCCAGTCCCGCTCCGCCATCTCCTTCGCAAGCATAACTTGTTCGCAGGAGACGGTGGAGTTCCACGCACTCTCGCTCCGTAGCATGGCGGCAATCATGTTAATGAGCGAGAGTACTCCCACTTCGATGGCCGCCACGAGGCCACGCCTATGCTCAACCCACGCCCAGAATGGCTGTTGTTGGCGTTGGCTCCTTGCGGATCAGACATAGGTGATTTCCGAAACATCCTTTCCCGGTGATCACCTGCGTCAGCCGGTTTAAGAGGGTTCTTGAATGAATCTTCCATAACGGGTCTTACCGTACCGGCAATAACCCTGGTTTCAGTTAAAACCCAGGTCTAGTGTCGCAAAGACAGTCGACTCGTACGCATTAGAGGAATAGTAATTGCAGCAAAAGCATATAAATAATTCCACTAAAATATGCTACTGATCCTGAGTCATATATTCATAGAACGAATATACTTTAAACTAGTCGTATCGTTTCGTATGCGTAAAATCTAAAACCTGTAGTAACTCTTAAACCTTCAAATATAAATCCTCCAATTACTTAATTATTTACTTGCTAATAATGTCATTGTTGGATAGTTTCAATGGTTGTTGTGTTTACGGTTGTCAGGTAACGACATCGATTTTACTTACTATTCTTAAACTGAATGCCGAAGCATTGACAGTTCGTTTCGACATCCCATAAAAAAGTAAAAATTCTCATTTTAAAATAAGTTATGTTTACTGAAAGTTGATGAAGATTAAATATATAGAAAAATGGCGGCAATACTACCCACTGGTGTACGAAATGGGGTGAGTAGCCATATAATGGTTGTCCTTTTAATTTAAACCGTGTGTTATGCGACTGATCAATGAGTTTAAACTCGTTACTGATGCAAATTAACAATAGCATGAAAATTGTTAGCAATAAAATTAGGTATCTTGTAGCAGGTAATTTTATAAACAGCCTTGTATCGAGGATGTAAAGAAATTACGTACTGTGATTCCGTTTTGAATATAAAGCCTCCGGTTAACGACCTGATTTCACGCAATCTTACAATTTAAACTATACAATAGTTGTTTAATTAAATTTAAGTACCTGAACTCTACACTTTTTAATTCTAATGGTTAACTTTTTAATTTGAACTAAGTATCACTTATGATTATGATCCACAAACAGAACATCTTTAACTAAAAGTAAGTTATAAACTCATGCAATTAATAACTTAAGCAGTGTTATTCAATAAGACGTAAAGTCTCGAATATAGGTATAAGAAAAATATCGTACTTATAAGATGTCTGATGATAATAAAATAATATACCTAAGTAATCGCGAATTTAGGAATTTCGTTTGGAAGGGGCTTGACTCTGGTGGGTGGTATCAAGAAAAAAAAACAATAAAAACCAGTCCTTTAATAACTTACTATAACTTATAACTTTTTCGAATTCTTCAATGAATTCGTTACGTTGTAGATTGCCAGACAATATGTCTCAGTGAATATACATGGCAGCCAAACCGTTTAACCTGTCTTCCGTCATTGTTGTACGAAGGTATGATTTTATTAGTTTAAGCGCAGAGAAGCTGCGCTGCACATTACAAGTGGTTACTGGTAATGCAGCCAAAATTTGTAGGAGATTTTTTTTATATTTGGGCAGAACTCATTTGCCTATTGCGCCTCAGCTAGTGTGGCCGGTAACTCGAAAGCTATTTCCAAAGAGGTTTTTTCTTCCGGTAACGAGAGAGGACCAGGAAAGTCGTCATTCTAAACGCGTGCAGCTGCCACTATTGAGTTTAGGTTAGGTAATAGGCTGTATCCGACAGCTTGGTCCGAAGCTGATGGACACTGCCTCCGCCCTAGGGCGACTTTTGCCCAATTTGGGCGGGGCCAGTGTTCCCACGAGGCGGCTGTACGCGGGGTCTGTCCGGTCCATGGCGCTGTATGGTGCACCGGTGTGGGTGGCGGCTCTGACCGCCCCGAATAGGGCGCGCCTCTGGCGCCCCCAGAGGATATTGGTGGTCAGAGCCATACGCGGATACCGCACGGTGTCCACCGAGGCGGCCTGTGCCTTGGCCGGAACACCCCCGTGGGATTTGGAGGCGGAAGTGCTCGCCGAAGTTTATCGGCGAGTGGCTTCCGGGCGGAGAGCGGATTTCGCCCTCCGCCCGAAGACGTGCGCGAGTGGCGCGAAGCCGCTCGCCGAGCCACCATGGTGAGATGGTCGTTCCGGCTGGAGACTCCACGCGCTGGCTTCGCCGCCGTGGAGGCTCTCCAGCCGGTCATCGCCGAGTGGGCAGGGCGGCAGCACGGGACCCTTTCCTTCCGGCTGACGCAGGTGCTTTTCGGGCACGGTTGCTTCGGAAAGTACCTGTACTCGGTCGCTAGGAGGGAATCGAGTCCCGCCTGCCACCACTGCGACTGCAGTGAGGATTCGGCCCAGCACACGCTGGCGGTTTGCCCCGCATGGGCGACGCAGCGCCGGGCCCTCACTGCAGTCATCGGAGCAGATCTCTCGCTACCGGCCGTAATTCGCTCCATGGCCGGTAGCGACAGTTGTTTTACCGCGGTCGCAACCTTCTGCGAGGAGGTAATCTCGCAGAAGGAGGCGGCGGAGAAGGCCCGGGAGGACGACCTCCACTCGGACCTGATCCGCCGCCGGCGAACCGGGCGGTGGAGGCGCGCTTACCTGCGCCTCATGCCGCCCTGAGTGTGGCCGCGGGTGGACGGGATGGGTTCTCCCCTCCACCCGCATTAGTTTGGCCAGCCGCGAGGGGGCGGCGTCCGCGTGTGCCGGACGTCGCCTAAAGAGAGGGTCCACTGAGACGGAGCCCGCATCAGGAGCGGGCCGGCGCTGGGAGGGGTCCAGAAGGCGATAACTACCTGGACCCCTCCTAAACTGGAAGCGCAAAGAGGGCACACCGTGTGGTTTTAGTCGGTTCGAGTCCGACACACCGCCCCGCCGAACGAGAGCCCCGGCGGGGTGACGGTCCGAGGGGATTTCCACACGTAAAAAAAAAAAAAAAGGTAATAGGCTGTATTATAAATCAAAAATTGAAGAGTGTTCTACTCTCAAAAAGCAACATTTCAACTGTCCCAACTGGTCCCAATGCAAAATCGAGAACATATATACACTATATTACTTTATTACTTTCGAGCTCGAAAGAACAAAACAGTGAAAAATATGTTGCATCAAAAAAAAAGGTTCTCTATCCTTGTAGGTTTATTTTACCTGTAATATTCCTAAGCATCGGGTCTTTCTACATTTTAGCGATGAGTTGAACGTTTGGTAGTTTTGGGTGCCTGCACTGGGATGTCCAAAGGTTATGAAATACGATACGCCTCTTAAAATATTTATTCATATTTGTATTCTCTGTACCTTGCCAGTGTTCTTATTACACTTTCTACCATATCATAGCAAATGTCTTTAGCCTAAAGTTGCCGTGAAAGTGAAACAGTAATTTCAAAGCGGTTCTCGTCAAAGGTAAGACAAAGTCGAATCGTTGAATAGAAGCCAGAAGCTACTTTTAAATGAAGGAGACGCTCTGACTGTATTTTCAAGGAACTCTATGATAGATTCAAGGAACTCTTTAAATTGAAGGAGCCCATGGAGTCTTTCTAGTCAGTGTGTCTTTCTAGCCAATTGACGGGCCTGTTGTTCTAGTGCCTTCCATTCCCACCCAGAACTAATATTTGTGTGCTGAGCACGATCGCTTGTTCTGTGTCTGGGTGTGTCTGAGGGTGGCAAAAGCTAGTTATAGATAAATTCTATAACTAGCTTTTGCCCGCGACTTCGTCCGCGTGGAGTTTGGTTAAATTGTAGCGTAACGTAGCGTAGGCGAGCGCTAAGAAAGGAAGTAGAATTGCACGGATGAAGTCGCGGGCAAAAACTGGTAAACTACAAAACTTCTTTATACACCACATTTTTTGCTAATCTATTACTGTGTGCAAAAATTATCAGACTACTGGGCGAGCTTACGCGAGCAAGCAAGCAAGCCACATAGAATTGTCCGTGTGAAAAACAGTTTTCTCTGAAGTCTATAACCGCTTTTTAATGTCTGCCCTTGTGATTTGTTTATTGTAATTGCAAAGCAGACTTTCAGGGGAAACTGTATTTGTTTAACTACAAACTTAAGATCATTCATAAATACAGTTTCCCCTTGCGCATATCCAGTTATAATTGTGGCTTCCACTACATTGCGATGTAACGCTTTTACTTTTAGGCTGGTTCCCTTGCACAGTTGAGGAGGTTTTAAATTTCGCAAGAACATAACAGGAGTGCCCACGCGCAGAAAGGCTTATGATACGGAAGACCCGATGGTTTCAGTGAATTAAGAAATTCGACACGGTAGTTAATTGCGTCATCTGTGTCGACCACAGAATCTATTGACATGTACACCATTCCTTTCCCTTCAAAAGATGTTAACAGTATATCGTTAATTGCCGCTGCTTGGTCGTTTTTCGGGGTTAGTATGGCACGTTCACACAACCATTCTATGGGCTTATCGTGGATATGAGCAATATCTGGATAATTTATACCATCAGACCGCAATGAGTACGTACAACAGCATTAAATAAAAAAATTAACTCTTAGGTAACTATTCAAGTTCCTACATTTCCAATCGATAGTAGGCAATTTTAGGAGTCTACCAAACTGCCATAATAACGACTGGCTACATAATAATAAAATAATAATATTCTACCACATTCACACAGCGCCATCTAGTCCCAAACTAAGCAGAGCTTGTACTATGGGTACTACTAGACAACTGATATAAATACATACACGGTGATTTTGAAAGCGTTTTGGAAAAGAAAATTTTGAGTTATTTATCAGTAACAGAAGCTATATATAACGTTAATTTAATAAAATATATATATTTTTTATCATCAAAGTCGATATTCATATCGATTACAGAGAAAAGAAGAAACCAGTAGTAGGGCTTTTCAATCGCAAGTAGGTAAATACTACGAATAGAAATACTATGCGTTTTAATATCGAGTCACATAAAGGTCGCGCGCTCACGCGCAAGGTCAAGGACGTTTAAATTATTATTCGCCGGAGTGTAGTGCGTGCATACCTGGACAATGAGTTAAGTGATCGGTGGATAGGTCGAGGAGGGCCAGCAGTTGCTTCGATACAGAGAAGTGTAAATAGTGTAAATAGGTATGTAAGTTAATTATTCTGTAGAAAGCTCCGATTTTTTAAATACGCTTGAAATATTTATACCTACAGTCCGTTGATAAATTGATTTGTTAATAATCGAAAAGAAGTTTAAATAAAATAGGTATTTCCGACGATCCTAAGCCCGTGTAAAGTATGAAGGACAAATTGGAGTCTATCTACGTAAGTACTCGCTAGCTCGCGCCTATAGGTATACTTTTATCAGCTGCTGTTAGCGTCAGCGGTGCGCAGCGGCCGCCGAACCCCCCGACGTGTTTCATTCATATAAGATAATGAATGAATGATCAGTCCACTACTACTTTCAAAGTCGATCGAGTAAAAATTAATATTAAAACTGAAATTTTTTTTTAGACAACATTACAATTGATTTAATCATTTTTATTGGTACTATAGATGATTCCAAATTAAAATGTTTCGTTTCCAAAACGCTTTCAAAATCACCGTGTATATACTTTTTTTTGTAAATACATACATATTATACATAGAAACACCCAGACCAAATCCAACATTAAATGTTAATGCACACAAATGTTTGAATTGAGCGGGAATCGAACCCGCGACCTTTGGCATAGCAGTCCGTTACGCAAACCACTACGCCATTCGGTCGTCATACTTAAATAAATAAAGAACACTTTGTATGTATTCAAGTACCGATAAAATGATGAAATAATAGAGTACAAGAGGTCAGAACGGTTCCCTATGTACTGGAAATTCAGGATATAGTTGTGTATTAAACATCTTCTTTAGCGATTTCACAGACATGTTCCATTACAAAGACTAATGTACGATATCCTTTCTGTAATCTTTTAGGTACCTATTATTTAATCATTAATTTTAAGTCTGTAATTAATAGTCTGTCCTTGTACGAAAGGAAATAACGAATGGTCAACGGTTTCTCACAAGCACTTTGTTTGTATCAGTACGTATCCTAGTGTGATCTCCGTAACACTTTAAAATTGATCGTTTAGTGTTAAGTTCATATGTAATGAAAATGGAGGAGGGCTCGAAAGAGAAGTTTGAAATTAAAAATGGTAGTGATCAGGAAGAGAGTGAAGACACTAAGGAGGAAGTTTACAAAGGACAGGACGCGGTTACAGACATTGTGTGCGATGAAGTAAATATCTCGTTCTATATTATGTATCCATACTGTTAATAAAAATCCGTCGATTCTTTTGAAACTGCAATTTTGGTTCAATTTGATTAGTAATGTTGAAAATATTTAGGTATTTGTTTATTTGAAATCGGTCGTATCTTCCCAGTAGGCTTGTTAATTTCACAAGTCATTAAATCAATATTTGTTTTAAATTATAGGAGAATCCAAAGTGGGAACTTAAGTTTATATTGAAGGCTTATTGACTACTCAACAGCTATTTTCAGTTTATGAAAGTAACATTTGAGCAAAGCAAATGCTGTCCTAGAACTCTTTTTTCACTTCACTTTTGCACTGGTGCAATGTAAACACTACTAATACTACTATTGCCGTGTCAGTGTGAAGTAATTAATTATAATAATATTATGATAGGATTATACTACGAGTACAGGAAATCTTTATAGGCCCGTTCCGATCCTGCCGGCCGGCCGCTGCCACCCGGGACGAACGTATGGCTCGACGGTCGTTGGGCTCCCTCATTTTAAACCTCTAATATCTTCTAAGATATTAATTTTAATGATATGGTGTGAAGGGCAAAAGTCTCGAAAATTTAATTGCAAAAGGAATAATAATGTATCGTTTAAAATAACTTCGTCAATAACCAATTATTTTTTGTAAAATTTAAAAGATAAAATTGGTTACTGTGGGTTATCCTAAAGAGATACACAATATATACTGTCGACGACATTTTTGTAGATCTTTTTAAGATATATATCTTAAAAATGTTTAATTTAATGTTTAATTTTATCTTTAATTCGCGCAATGTAAGCGCACAAAAACATGTTTTATACGACAAATCTTTCTCTACTATAATATTTTACATATAAACATTCCTCTTAAATCACTCTCTCTATTGGTGAAAACCGCATTAACCGCAAATCAGTTGCTTAGTTTAAAAGATCTAAGCGTACAACACAAAAAAACAACATTATTTCATACCATGCAATGAAGATGCATCTCAGCGATTCATAAACAGATAGAATTTCAATGCGTATAAATTACGTGATTTTCAATGGAAAAAGGAACTGTTAGTATAAATGTAAACTGTCTTCGAATTCATTTCAATTTGATTTTCCCTTTAGAAGAAAAGTAACTGAATATAAATACTAGGATTGCATTAGCGCTAGTTGTTAAGATGTACCTAAAATAACTCTTTGTTATGAGCCTTGAACAATGTACCGTAAACAGCTTTCGCCATGCTTATATCTAGATTTCACTATTTTTTAGATTCAGCTCAAGGTGCTGGACGCAAATCGCTATGCGACGAAAAAAACTGTGGCACAAGGGATGCTGGACATCGCTCTACTGACGTCCAACGCTTCGCAACTAAAGTACGTGCTTCAAGTTGGGCCCAAGCACGAGTTCTATACTTTGCTGGTCGTGCTAATATCTATATCCATAGTTCTTCAGGTAAGAAATTCATTTTTTAAGTTCAATTGTAAAGTAAATCTTAAGGTACATAGGTAGATATTTACTTTTATAGTAGATACATACGTACGAACACACCCTCGGCGTGAGTGTATAGGTATACTCGTATTATATACCCACACGCCTATTTTAGTACAATAAACATGTAGGTATACGGCGTGTCCAGGGAATAATTCCTTTTTGCATCTAATTTGGCAAACACAAGGCCTAGACTCGACAGACAGACTAAACTTTTCTTTAGCTATATTTCTTGCAACAGATTCTTATTTTGGCCATCTTCGTATCTCATACCGTGCCAAGATCTTTTAATTCATTAAGTGATCAGTTTTAAGGTTTGGCTACAAAATAAATCTTCTGTTCTTAGGAGTAAAATGCACATTCCAGGTTTGCACTATACTGAGTGTGATACAAAACTTGGTTTTATCAGCATTAGAGTATTCCCTTTCATGACTTTGTAGTACCTATAAAAATGTGTGTAGGTAATTAATCATGTTTAGCTTAATTGTTTTCCACGACATCCTCAAGCGACATCAACAGCTCTCTAGGTGGCGATGGGATTCGTGCTTCTCTCCCTGAACCTGCTCCGCGACTGCTGGTTCCACAAACCTCGCCACAGGACTTCCGCCCTCAACATCAATTACGCAACTACAGCTACTGCCTTTGTTGTCACTGTTTTGAATGTACTTGTATCTGCCTTCGATTCCTCGCTTGCTAGTTATCAGAAATTTGATTGAGTTAATTACTTATTACCTGTTAATTACTGAAGTATTCGTGTTTTAAAAAAAACAGCTGAAAATTATACCTTTGTTTTCAGCTCACGGAAAAACAAAACAAACTATACACAGTCAATAGGTATTTTAATCCACTATGAACAAAGAGTCTTACAGCGGTTTTGTACTACGTCCGATCAGAATCCGACCCGGACTCGTGAAAATACTGTCCGAAGTAGTCGTAAATGTATTTCTATGGTAGATTACGCACTTGATCCGACTTCCGTCATGAGATAAGAGAGAAAAGATTATTGACAGACGAAAGTAGCCATGCTAGTATTTGTATGTACGCACCCATAATTCTTTACTTCTTCTGAGGCATTCGTACGTCCAATAACACTTATGCACGGCTTACGACTACGGAGAGTAATTCCAAAAGTCGGATCGGTCCTGATATCTTATGGTACTTTGTCATTACAGAAAGAGGTCAAAGTAAATATATATTACTAATTCTGGCATAACAGTCTGTGTTTATATGAACTGTAGAACACGAACACTTCACCTTTAAAGAAACGAGTCGCGGTGGATCAGACGCACTGCAAGTTCTTTCCCCGTCCTTCTATGATATAACGTGCCTTCAATTCCTTGATCTGAATCTTTTCCCCTTATAATACATATATAATAACCTATAACGTGGATATTTAATCCACACTGTTAGTTTCTAAGGAGTCAGAATAGCTTAAAACTCAATCGGGGACCAAAAACCTTGTAAAGTGCCTCCTTTTTTTTCAAGGTTTATAAGCTATAAAATATCAGTTTTTAAACTTTCGAGTAGTTTAGTAACTTCTGATGTCAAAATCGTATCGATTGATAAGAATACAATGAAATCGGTCTACTAAAAAGTCATTCAAAAAATGACACACATTCATTGTGTACAAAAAAAAAAAACGTTAAAATACTCACGTATCGTTTTAATATTTTGTTCGTATTGTAGGTGCCAGCAATGTCTCTACCATTGTCAGTCCATCTGAATATGTTAGTGTGAATATGTTAATTATATCGTTGCTGTATTCTGTATGTATAACATTACGACTGATAGGATCCGAGCGGCAATGGAAACTGTAGCAAAAACTGTCTGTGTGTGTGTTTTAATCACCTAGTCTCTAACATGAGTGTATCTTCATTGTCATAAGTTACACTTGTAATAATATATTGTTTTAAAAGTTTGTTTTAGCTACTTCTAACTTTGTTTTAGCTTCTCGTTGGACTATTATTCGTGGTGATCGGTGGTTTGGACTTGAATGATCACGAAGACCAACCTCCAGCTGTCATTTTAAACGATATCATTGTTTTATTTATATTCGTTATTTCTGTAATCAATATTGTAACTTCCGCTTTCGGTATAGAATATTCAAATAATACTTTGATATTAGAGCGATTGCATTATATCAATAATGAATACTTAATAAAAGGAAATCATACTAGTGTATAGTAACCTAAATAATAACCTAACCTAATAACCTAAATCACGATAGTTATTACATTCTATACAAATCAGGTCCATACAAAACCTAGCACTTATTTATTTGGTCACCATACATAACGTTAATTTATTATTTACCTGATTGTACCTAACGATTAACGCTAAAAATATCGATGCCTGACACATACTCTGTAATAAGCCTATATTATTATGGATACATCTTCTAATTATTTTTTTAAGACAGCAAAAAGTTAATACTAGGCCCAAATTAAGCAGTGACTTAGTTCTCGTGCTAGCCTTTAAACATTTGGCGAGTGTAGGCGTTCCCATTGTTTACATATTTTTCATCTGTTGAAAAATTTAGTTAATATTGGAATTACGATGTAAACTTTTCTGAATTCAAATCAAGGATAAATCTTACGTTGGTGGCTACTGTATTCTACTTAGAGAAACTTAACTCAATATATATATAAAAAAACTAAGAATTTTAGTGATTTTTTTAACGCCAATCCCTTTCTAGTAAAAGTACCTAAGTCAAGTTCTCCACTACAGCTATGTAATCATTGATAGACAATAGACAGACAGCACCTATGAAGCGCCTCTTTTTTCACGAATCTTCATGTTTCAACTAATTTTTTTTATTATTTGTTAATTTTGACCGAAATAAATGTTCTGCAGTTTTATATACTTAGATAATATTTTCCTAAATAGGTAGAACCAGTTCACTTCCGCTTGCCAATTACTGCGAAAAATAAAACACGAATTAAATTTTTACATACTTTATTTATGACGTTATATCTAATTATATACTTAGATATTAATAACAATATAGCTGACTTTTTTCTAATAATACTGATTTAACTATTACGTATGATTTGTTTAAAAAAAAACAACAAGTCTAAAATGTGTAAGAATATAAACATACTTAAATTAAGTATATTATTTCCACTCTTCTCGCTTTTCTGTTTGCGAAATCCTTAATAGTTTCGTGTATGTCTATATGGTCTCCTTTATGTATATATCGCTAAATTTGTTAATCTTTCCTGGCTCATTGTTGGGCTCAGGTAATTTTTTATAAGTTTTAATTTAGAAAAGGACCTTTCCGCGTTTGCTACAGGAACTCGCATAGTTAGCAAAATTCGTGATGCTATGGAGATGTTAGGACATGCAGCTGTCAAATTGTTTAAATATATTTTCACCACATCATTCATCAGCGTTAATATCCAAAGAATCATTTGCTGAAAGTTTTTCCTGCAAACGATGACAGCTACTTCTTAATCGACTTTGATAAAAAAATCTTTTAAAAAAAGACTACTCCCGCATTAGGAATGTATCTGTGTCGCGGGGGACTCAACAAACATACTTGAAACGGACATAAAAAACACCCAGACTCAGAACAGCAATTTGTGGATCACAGAAAGTGTCGTCCCAAATGGGGATCAGACCCACAACACTCAGCGTAGTAGGAAGCGGCGTAGCGACCACTTAAACCGTGCCGACCAAGTGTGAAGTCTTGGTTATCACTTAGTTTAAATAATAAATTAAACACGTCATTTTGATTATTTAATAAATTAAATCTGTTGTTTACGGAGGATAAAGCTTGATCCAAAAAATACATATATGTATATATAAAACATACATAATTTTTTAAAGCGGTTTTCGGATAATTTATAGTGTGGTCTTCATAATCGTGTTCATAAACAAAACTCTTTTGAGTCTTACCACGTCTTAGGGGTCTGGATCCGGAAGTTTCAAATTCAGCCTCGACATCTAATTTTCGGCAAGTTTCGCGGCTTCTTCTGTACCGCGATATGAAGAATTCTCTCGCCGATTAGCATATATGCAACTTCCCAATATGAACTGTTGGGCCGCGGCCTGCCAGGCATGATCACCTCGCCTGGTCGGAGGATCCTCCCTTTGTGTTGGAGGGACATGACACCCGTTCCTCGACAGCGTCGGTTCAAATTTTTATCGAAAAATTCTTTAATTCCGTTAAATCATCTAAAGGAACTTGCATATTCATATCGATGGACTGCAGAATTTTGCTCACAAAATTTACTTTTGTCAATATTATATGCCATATATTTCGTTAACAATTAAATGAAAAGTAGCATATTTTTTCTGCTAGACATTTAGCGTCATAATTGGCCTTCTGTCTATCCTCATTTTAAATGTTTTTTTTATTATAACTTTGTCATTACAAACAGGCTAAAGTTATATTTATTTGTATGGAAAATTACATAAAAAGCACATACAACTACATGAAGCGTTTTCTGAATCATCAGATTTTATAACACCTTCATCGATAAAATGACTGGTTTCTGTCTCTAATGATTTTTTTTAGTTGATGGTAAATCCGTAAAGTATTTACTTATTTTAGTTGTTTTCTTCTTCTTCTGGTAAATTCTGGTAACCAGATAATTTATTTTTGTTATCTTGTTTACTATCACTCATCGTGAAAACACGTTAAAACAATAAGTAACACACAAACTATATATTGTTTTTAGTGCTAGAACTTATTCTTATAATACGAGTACTTTCTATTGAATGATTATTCAATTGTTTTGGCTCTCTAGATCCTTAAAGTCGGGGAATCCCTGTGACCCAACACCGCTGGCGTCGCACGCATTGCAGCGGGTTGCGTTCAAACTCAAAACGTAAAATTAAACCACAAACTAGAATATTATCTATGGAGACTTGTACAGTAAGCGCAATATATGTTTTGTTATTTACAAGGCATATGTTGCGCCTATTGTACCTACTCACTTATCGATACTCTACGACAAAGAATATGTTGTTTTGTAAGTGTAACAAAAAAAATTCGATGGCGGCGTCCCTATTGTCATGGAGCCTGTGTGCGCCGAACACTTCGCGTACAGGGAAACTGCACGGATGGCGTAGTGGTTTAAGCGGTCGCCGCGCCGCTTCCTACTACGCTGAGTGTTGTGGGTTCGATCGGGTGTTCTTTGTGTCCGTTTCATGTATGTTTTGTAAAGTGCCCCGCGACACAGGATTTCAGCCTAGTGCGGGAGTTGTCTTTTATAAAAAAGTGTAAAAGAAAGGGGTGGCGCGGCCCTGTCTCTAAATCATTGTAGTCGCATACACTTTAAAATAAAAGTGACTTTGTAGGTCATTGTATCCTGATATAGTAACTACCGTAGCAGCCCGCATAACTGTACCAATCACATAATACGTAATCATCTATCTACATTTCACAAGGAGACAAATCATTATTGAGAAACGTGCCATGTGTAAATAATATAAATGAGCTTTGATTGCGTGTAAGTCACCCATTTCAAAATTAGGATAAGGTCGCCTCATTAAAGATGTTTTATTCCCAAGAAGTGTGTCCACTCCTATATAAATAATTCTGATTGCTGCAGGCGGCTGCTGGTGTTTTGGCAATCATAATTTCATTTATCGATGGCGAAGAAAGCGACAGACACAAGAAGATAGCCGACTGGCTATATCACACTTCAGTTGGTATGATGACCGGGGTAATATTCTGTGACGTCATCAAAATGACCTTCGGTCTAGATCCTGCGATTTCAATGGAAGACTACCTTGGGAACAAAACTTCTAGTCTTTATGATCTCTTTTTTAGAGTTCATAATAAAAGTCAGTAGTAAATGATCCTAAGATACATTTAAAGGTTTTAGACTAAGTAGTTACCAACTAAAAGTCGAGATGCTGATACGCCAAATTTGTAATGAAAATTTATAAATGCTCATGACTACATGAGTAGCTCCTAACTTGATTATTAAAAATTCCAGGATTTTGGAAAATAGAATATGATCATCTTCTTTGTTAGATATCAAATTTCTGTGCCTCCAGTGAACGAGACAAAGGTTTTGTCACAGAAGTTAAATCTTTTACTTTTACTACATACAGATTGGGACATCTCTTCTAAAAGAGTCGGTAACAGAATTTAACAAACTCCACTGATAAAACAATAGGTTTTTCAGCGGAGGTATAAATAATAGGCCATTAGATATTTTAGGAGAAAGTGTCCATTTGTGATAAAAAATATTTGAATGTCATTGATTAGTTTAAAAACTAGTTTCAAATGTGTTTCTGTGAATTGTTGCTGTCGTAGCTTACTCATACAACACCCGTAAATTAATGAACATTCAAATAAAAACTTAAAATTATGCTTTTATTTACATTTCATTTTGATTACATATAATTGCACTTGTAATAAATGTGGACAGCAAGTTATGTTAACTGTCTTCGCTTTTACGAGTAACCAGTGCAATTTGAGGCGGAGCTGTGCGTTAGCGGTGTCGTCTGAATAAGCTGACTTTTTAAATCTAAATCTTAAAATATAAACTAGGAAAATTGACAGTGAGATTCAACAAAGATTTAAAATGTTAAAAATCTGTAATAAACTTTCATACCCATGTTACCCATAACTAAACTTAACAACTATTCAACAACGACTATTCTATATTATATAATTAACTCTATGCTTAAGCGACCAAGATGTCACCGGGCACGTGTCAAGATGTCCTTAAGACTTTAGTCCTGTACTCCTGTCTAAATAACCTACTATGTACCTACATAATATCTCCTAATCTGTACCATGCTATATACCATTGATCACAGATAACTATATACAGACCATTGATAGACAGAAGTAAAATGGGTAAGTGTGTCAAAGAGAATAATCTCAATGTTGCCAGTATAATCTTTATTATCACCGCAGTGGTGTAAAATTAATAGAAAACGCTTAAGTATAATCGAAACGCTTTTATTTATTTGTATTCACTAAGCAATTTTCTCTTTACTGCACATTGTGTACGTTATATTATATAAGTGGTGTGCAATTGGTAAGTAATTATTTAAACAGAGTGTAAATACACAACCATTATTTTTTTGCAGAAGGCAACCTCAAACTTTAAGCCATGTTATTATCAGTAGTTTAAGTATCTACCTACTAAATTTTTAACAATATTCAATATTAGTTGTTGGTCACCCTGCATGCTATGTTACAGTTCCTGTCCGTTTGTGATTGAGGTGGAGTTTAATATTTTAATGTTTCGAGTTTTACATTTTATTTTAAACTTTTATTTTTCATTTAATTTCAGTGAGTCCTCCTGTCCATGGCTTTTTCTTCTTGTCTATTATGTTCACACGAGGTGACTCTAACGAATGAGCTTTGTGTTTACTAACACATATTTGTTAGTTTAGTTTTGATTACTAGTCATTTGTTTTTAGCAGTTGCTGAACAAAACTCACCTCGTGTAAACGCAATTTTAAGTACTTATTTTATTTTCAGTAAACATTGAAAAAGGATTTATTTATTTTCTTTTTTTGCATAGGTTGCATCAGCTGTAGTGGCAGTAATATTAAGCGCTATTTTCAACATTAACCACCAGCCTGACCATCGAAAAGCTGAACTCCTTAACAATGTTAGTTTAGTATTTAAAGTGCTTAGTATCACAGTTAATATTCTAATAAGCATATTTTATTCAATGCAAATAGATACGTATGCAAGCTTATTATCACAGTAGTGGCTAGTATACTCCGTGCTTTTAAATTGTTTTGTGATCGTTTTAAGTGTTAAAAAATAAGACAGGAATGGAATTAAATCTCATTGGATTTCTATAAAAGATTTTTTTTCGCTGCAATATATTTCAAATTCTTTCTCTAAAAGTATTAGACGACTTAAAATAAAAGTGTCGTAAAGTATATTGTCCACAGACTTTTCCAATATATGTATATTGTATATTGATATATGTATATTGATAATAATATTAAAATATTTAATATAAAGTTATAAAACAAAACAAATAAAACACATTTAAGTACCTATCATTAAAATTCCTGATATCCCAGCTTGTTTTTCATCGACTAAAATTAATAAAATTTGTTTTAATATCGTTTAAGTTCTATTAACTCTAAATTTTCACCACAATTATTTTATATAACGTTAGAGACGAGGGCATTGGCTTTTTCATTTGTAATAGGAAATAATTCAAATTCCCGAACTTTAGTGTGTATTCTAAAGTCAAATGTAATGTTAGCATATAATATTTAAGTAATTATTGGAGGATTGCTAGAGCACAAGGCGAAGGCTGAAAATATGTTCCAGCCCTTTACTTTAGGCTCAATTGCAATCAACTGGTGCGCCTACAATGAGAAATAAAAAATACTCAATTGTCAAAATAAAAAATGTCAGTTGTAATTTATCATAAATTTCATAATATAGAGCAAAGTACTCTGCTCTTTTTCATTAGAAATCGTAGATATGTATAGAAGTTTACTTAAGCAAGGTGTTATAGCTTTTAAAATTCAATGATGTCTCGTTTTGAGAGACACTCATATAAGAGTCACTTAGAAAAACCAAAATAGAGATAATTACAAAATACATTAGCGTATAAATATACTAGCGTAAGAATGGATAAAAATAATAGTTTTGTAAAATAGTAATAATACTGCTTACAAATTGTAGATAAGTGATGTGTTTTGAAATATAAGTCGTATTGTGTAAGACCCAAACAAAACTATGTACTAAAATTGTTTAATAAATATTTTTAACCTAAACATCTCTGTTTTATTAGTCTGCCTATCGTTTTACTAATTTTAAACACAACCTGGACCTGAGACCACAGCAGAAATACGAGTAAAGACGTGTGGCACTCAGGGACTGCCGCGGTAAAGCTATTGCATAGCATTTTTTATCAACTTATGCAATTATAATTATTTATTTATTTTATTTATGCAGTATTTTTTTCCTTTGTTTTTTTTTCTTTGATATTAATTCAAGTTACACTAGCGTGGTGACCGATAAGAAAACATTTTTTTTCTTTTATTAAATAAATGAGAAGTTAATATTGTTCAAAATATATTTTTATTATCTTACAATACATGTAGATTATTCAGGAATATTTATCATTGAAACTATAGGTTTATGGTAACTGAAATAAGAAACATAAGTTTGAGACTTGATATCTTCTAAATATCTGGAAAACACCACGTCACAACCAATGCCACCTAGAGGCGAGTTGCTGAACTAAAGAGACAAGCGTGATATTTCAAAAAAGTTTTTAAATTTCTGCTATTCATCGATAGATGGCAAAACTAAAAAGTATCACCGCTGTGCCGGTCGGGGGGTGTTAGGTTATTTTCGTTACGGAATTTCTGAATTCGATCTCCACGCTCAAGGCCCGCGATAGAAGCTATGCAATAGCTTAAAAATAACATCAACCAAGCAAACAAAGTTACAAGCAATAAAGCAAATATAAAGGCTTAATTATTTAATTTAATTTTCACAATTGGATAAACTTCTAAAAATATATAAAATTATAAAAATTGGTTGAGGTTTACATTAAACTACAATAAAGCTTTTAAGCATTTCTTATATTAAGACAAACGTAGGCATATATCTAGATCGCTCGTTTTGGCTGACATGTTATATTGCCCACAAAATCTTGGCACAGCGGCGTAATGACCCAGGTTTGTATTGGAACTAGGGATGTAAAATAGACTAAAAGTATTATGCCTGGGTAGTTGGAGTCCGAGTTGGAAATTGAATTGGTAATGAACTCAAATGCTCACTGTAATTGCTTCGCTTAGTACCCTTTGAAGAATAATGAAGTCAAGTTTATTCCTACGACTGGCTAAAGTATCTATATTGTAGTGTCTCAACCTTTTAGTGTAGGTCATAAGTGGCTTAGCTAAGTGATAAGTGACCGCGTTTGAACACTCTTGATTCGTTTGGTAAATTGAAATCTAATCACACACTGAGTTATAATCTAAGATAGGGTGGACTAGTGTGTTAAAGAGCTTTATTTTTGTAGATGGTTTTTTAATCTCTTTAATGTTGCCCAAAACAAAAACACTAGGTTTTGTTTTGCGGAACACTAGACTACAAACTCTATTATACACAGAAAATTAAAACTGAAAATGCTGGTTTTAAAAATGCAGTCTTTGGTCGTATTACTAAAATCGTTTATAAATTTCCCGCTTTATAGGCTTGTGTCCACTAATAACAAATTGCTTGGTTTATAGTTTCAAATTATAAATGCAGAGACATAGATAAGAAAAAGCCAGTCTATTTTTCATAAAAGTAAAAGATTATTAATATTTCAAAAAATAAATTAGAACAAAATAGGCATTAAGTCACGTGATAGCGAACACCAATCAAAAAGTCATTCACGCACAATACATCATTTCTGTTATTACCGTTTTCATACAATAGAGCAGGTTACTCCTTATTGTTTTTCGTTTTTAGTGTGTTTCACAGACTGTGATGTCATTCAAGACGCCATGACACTATTCAGCGCTTTCAAGGGAAATTTAAATTGTTTTTTTTTAATACAAAATACGTAATGTAAATATTGATTTTTCTTTAAAATATAGGTTTTTTGGTATTAAATAGATATTAAAGTATATAATTAACCAAGTTTTCAAATTGAGTCAACTAGCCTATTGTTGGGACACTAGCAACACAAACAAATGCATGCGTTTGCTATAAGTATGTTCCTATTAGTAATCTATATTAAAACTGATTTATTTCTTAAATAAGATATTGATTTTATTTTATAGTTTTAAAGCTTTCAAGATTCAATTACTTTACCTTTATAAAGTACCTAATGTGATTTTAGTTAGATAACAAAACGCAGTTAACTCAGAATTTTATTAATCCGTTCGTATTTAATATATTATACTAACTAATTTTAATTTTTTATTTTATTATTTATACTTTGGGCTTAATGATTTTAATGTGGTCAATAGGTGGCAGAAAAATGTAAGTTCATTTGGTTCATTTTGTGCTATCAGCTGTCACTGTCAAATCAAGATAAGCAATCAATTGTCTGAATTGTCATTAAAGAAATCAACAAGTTGTGTTGTTCATATTCACTATTTCCCTACGGTGAAATAATAAAACACTTAACAACGGTAAACGCAACTGCGCGCTGCATATAGTCACTAACTTAAAAAACATTGTCCTTCATTCATTGTCTCTGGATCAATCAATGTGCAAAAAGTGATAGTCGAGGCTACCGCGCCGCGCACCGCAAGTTTATACCTAGCGTTACTTTTACTTGTTGGCTCAGTTAGTTGCTACTGCACCGTGTGAGAGTAAAGACGTTAAAATGGCCAGCGGAAGAATTGTTGTATATGGCGGTCGAGGCGCTCTCGGAGCTGCATGCGTCAACCACTTCAAATCAGCAAATTGGTGGGTCGCTAACATTGATTTGAGCGTAAACGAAAGTGCCGATGTGAATATCACCGTTCCTAAAGATGCGTCTTGGGTCCAGCAAGAAGAACACGTCGTGAATGAACTGGCCAACGCCCTTCAAGGTCAGAAAGTTAATGCTGTTATTTGTGTAGCTGGTGGATGGGCTGGCGGCAACGCCGCTAAAGACCTCAGCAAGCAAGCGGATTTAATGTGGAGGCAGTCTGTATGGAGTTCTACTATTGCAGCGACAGTTGCTTCTAAATATCTTTCACCTGGAGGCCTGTTGGCTTTGACTGGTGCTAAAGCTGCTCTAGAAGGCACTGCCGGTATGATTGGTTATGGTATGGCTAAGGCTGCAGTTCACCAACTAACAAAGTCTCTTGGTGCCAAAGATTCTGGTCTGCCGGAGAACTCATTAGCCGTGGCCATTCTGCCTGTGACATTAGATACAGAAATGAACAGAAAATGGATGCCTAAGGCTGACTTTGGGTCTTGGACACCTCTTAACTTCGTTGCTCAGTTGTTTGACAAGTGGATCAAGGGTGAGGAACGCCCAGCTAGTGGCAGCCTGGTTGCTCTAGTTACTAAAGACAATGTTACAGAGTTGATTGTTCAGTAATCTTGCCAGTGTTATTGAAATGAGATTGTAATTTGCAATGCATTTGCAGTAGATAAGTAAAGAAAAAGATCTGTTGTATTTTTTTATATTTTAAATTGGTTGTTATCTATGTCTGCTTTTTCCATATTGAAAAAAAAATATGGATAATTTATGCATGGAACCTACTTAGTTTAGATGTAATCATAAGACAATAATGGAACAATGTATGTGTATGTGTGCATATCCATATGTGTATGTGAAATATAACTTAAGTGAAATTTGAAACTATATTATTATTAAATGTTGAGCAATGAACTTGTTTTTTAATTAACTGCTTGATGTAATAGTTCATTACTGATTAAAGAGGTCAACACCAACAAGTTTATCTACATACCTACTTGAAAATCAATTTTATTTTTAAGATGTTGTGATTGTAGCTTTTTTTAACAATTGAAGTGAGCAATGCTCCATAGTTTCTCTTCTCTCAGTGAACTGTCAGTATTTAATATACCAAATAACATTCTCTGACTGAGGCTACTTAACAAATATTGTTGTCTTTTTGAACTTTTATTTGTAAAATTAAACCACCAATTGAATTAAAACCACTGTAGCACCTGTTTTGCTGCATTTATTGGTTTTATGGGAAACAACATTTTGTTTGTCTATTTTTTGCCATAATGCTATAGGTATTATAAGGTACAGGGACTGGGTAAACCCATGGCAGTATTCAGAATTTCTTGAGTCACATTTGATACTCATACAAAAACAGGTAATCCCCATAGTATGCAGGTAATAATTAACATCCTATTTAATATATTTTCCTGTTGACTCTTAAAGATTGTTTCAAAATTTTTTGTTATACAGAATTCTGATTTGCTTGCTAGTTGAATTTAACATTGTCATATTGCTCATTTAAATGTCATTATTTGCATAGGCCTGATTTTCATAAATCATCTTTATCAATATAGCTCCACCTTTAATAACTTTTGGTTTTTAATGAATGTTTGAAGATGAATTTACATGCCCACATTTAGAAAATGCAATAAAAACATTAAATTAAAATTAAATATTAATATAGCCATTATCTTAGTTTTATATATTTATTTATATGATTAACTTAATTAAAAATAATTTGAAAATGCCTCGTGCTAGAAAATATGTAACAACATCTACGTAAAACTTGGAATTCTCTATGACAAGGAATTGAGTGTAACGAAAAGTAAAGAGTAACTCGTCTCACTGTAGATGATGCTACTCAGCAGATCTAGGAAAGCAGGCCGTAGATGAGGTGCTGCCATAGAAACATACAGACCTCTTGGTACGAAAATGAAACTAATGTATGACTTAAAAAGATTGGTGTATTTCGATCTTTTTGGACGATTTAAAAAAAAAAAGTTGTACATATCTACTCCTAGGACAAGGCAGGCTTCATACAGGGTTACGGAGGGTAGATATGTTTATCTAAGGGTTGGTTAGTAACATTGACTGCTGAGCCGAAGGTCTTAGGTTCGATTCCCACGCAGGACAAATAATTGTGTGATGAGCACGATCATTTGTTCTGTGTCTGTGTGTAATTTATCTATATTATGTATGTATTTAGTAATATATAAGTATGTTTATCAGCATTCTGGTTACCATAGTACAGGCTTTGCCCAGTTTGGGATCAGACGGCCGTGTGTGAGATGTGTAAACTTTTTATTATTAAACAACGTTTAGCGTTATTAGAAACTAGATATAACATTATTATTATTTTATTTCATCTTTAATTATTAAAATTAAAAAAGAATCAAGTGCTTTCTTTGTTAATTTATATCTAATCTATACTAATATTATAAAGCTGAAGAGTTTGTTTGTTTATTTGTTTGTTTGTTTGTTTGTTTGAACGCGCTAATCTCAGGAACTACTGGTCCGATTTCAAAAATTCTTTCAGTGTTAGATAGCCCATTTATCGAGGAAGGCTATAGGCTATATATCATCACGCTAAGACCAATAGGAGCGGAGCACCAATGAAGAATCTTTAAAAAACGGAGAAAATTTATTCCTATTGAGAGACGCAGACGAAGTTGCGCGGGTCAGCTAGTAAATAAATAAGCAACAAGATTTTTGAGAATAAACCACTAAAATTTTTATGATTATACACCAAAGCCACAATTATTTTAAACTTTATCTCATGACAGACCGTCAGACTGTAACATTAAAAAACTAGGTAATGGTTACTTACTGTTTATTATTTTCTCACGGCATCAGATAAGGTATTTTGAATTGCTAATAGTCATTCTATGACAATGTGTTCAAATGCAAGCAACTGTAGTAGGTGTATAAGCAGTATTTGAACAACATGTCCTTGGCCTTACATTAGTAGTTCTGTTTAAATCTCTTCGTTAATTATTATCGTTCATAAAAACGTTTTATCTCCACATAACTTTTGGTAACACCTTGTATAGGGATTTGCGTAAACAAGAGGGGGCAGATTTTCTTTAAAGTTCATATTCTGGAATGTTCTGAACGTTATCAGGATAATTCTAGTTGACTACAAATATAAGGATTAACAAAAATGAGCATCAATCAGGTTCTATAACGTTTTGAGAATGTGCATGACAGTCCTAGTATTGTAAACTTCCATAGGTTAAACGGTAACTTTGAGTTGGATTATAAAGTTGTTTGGTATTAAAAGATATGGTAAGTACTTTTTTCTTAACTGTTTTAAGGGCATTAAATGCTTAACTCATTGTACCTTCAACTACTACTGTCTCTCCGAAACATTTTGTTTCCTCCTAACGTTGCCTGGAAGAGATTGTTCTTAGCCAAAATGCCGGCCTTTGTACATTACTTGTCTGACATTTTAATGTACCATACTACTTTGTAAAACGGTACACCGTTTTTGTACACAAATAAGGAGTTTTCTATCTATCCTGCAAATGAATTAAGTGCGAATAGGTTCAAAACGTAATTACCATATGTAGGTCGGCTCCATCGACATTATTTTTAATGTTTTGCGGTAACCCATAGTTATATAGTAACTATTGTAACTATGTTATCAATCAATAAGATAAGGTATGTACCTTTCCTTGGTACCTTAAAATGTAATAAACAAAATTGTTGGCTGATTTGTGATCGTTTCGGAACAAGCCGATTTGCCAAATGATACGTATTCGGCTTATCCTAACCGTGTACATTTCTGAACCAAGGGATTTTCTTTTTGTTTTTTTTTTGTTGACTGATCTGCGGCTCCTCGGGGACACAGGAGCCAGGATTATATGGTGTTCCCACTAAAAACCACCCCGACAGCAGGTCTCAGGCAGTCTCAGGTACTTTGGGTAGGACCTGGACCATATCCGATCAATCACAACTTCGCAACCAAGCCGCCATTCTATCGCTTACGGCAGCAATTAATCTGCCACCAGAGGTCTCACCCTCTGGCAGCCTGCGGTGAATCAAGGGGCAAATGCCTAGGCCCACGAATTAAGCAGTAGAAGAGCTATTCTTCGGCACAAATGGGCCGGCTCGACCGCCTAATTCGAGGGAGGGGGTCTCAAAGGGCAGCAACGCACTTATGGCTTTTGAGTTGCGGGTATCCGTGGGCGGCGGTCAGTTCCCATCCCATCCTCTCGTTTGTCCTCTTATACCAGGAATTCCCAAACTATTTTGGGCAAGAAACCCCTTTTCCAAAATGACTGAATGCATGAATGAACTGATACCTTAGACCCCAAAACTGAACAAGTCGATAAGCGTGCAGTAACTTGGTTGTTACTGCACGCTTATCGACTTGTTCAGTTTTTAAAAAGTACAACATTGATACTTCCTACTAAAGTTTTAGTCATTCTTATAACAAATTTGTATACGTAATAGAACTAAGCTTGAAAGTTTCAAATTAATTGAAATAAGAACTTGTGTTAATTATTCGGGGTGATTTTTAGACCTCGTTAATCCTCAAAATTCGTTTTCGTTTATGTCGACCTCTTGGAAACCGATTAAGACCCAATGGGGTCGATATCGACCACTTTGGTAATCCCTGTATTATGCTAGCAAACGGATTGCGGTCAAAACCAGAAGCCCATTTGGTACAGCAGTGAGACACAGAACAACCTAGAAATTGTTAGCGTCCTAAATAAATACCTTGTTTCACTTTTATAAATAGGGTGCATTATTGTAGTGTTGTAAGCCCTATTATGAGGGATATTACCTCAAAATCTGTACTAACAAATCGATGATAACACTACATTAGACTGTAATGTAAAAGTTCTGTAAAAGTAGGTAAGGTATAAGCATTAATTGTTTATTCATGCCTACTCAGTTTGGTATAAAACTATTACAATAATTACGTGTGAATTTTGCGTAATCTACTTTCACTTTCAAGTCTGGTGAAAGTTGTGCTCTAAATTTGTTTAACCACTCTGATAAGCCTTATGAGATCTGCGTCCAATTTAAAAATATATTAATTATAGATACTTATTTTAGACATCAAAATAATTTTCGTCGTTTACTCGTGTAAATTTTAAGTTTTAAGTTAATAACGATATTAAGTTTTGTTGACTTAATAACGATATTAAGTCAACAAATAATAAGGGTTAAAGTATGAAATTGCCGTTGAATAGTAATAAATACTTTGAATGGACATAAAACCTTTATGGTATGAGATTTACGTGTGAAACTTTTTTCATATAATATCTGAGGTTCTTCTTTTAAAAATATGCGACATTATATTTCCGATTTCCAATTCAATATCAACGCTACGTTTGGAGGGGAGACTGCTAATGAATGCACCGTGCCTTTTTGGTTTAAACGCTGTCGTAATGAAACGAACCACGTGGAAGACCGGCCACTCAGGTGAATAGTACTGAACTGAAGGAGATGATGGAAGCCAATCTGAGTTAAACTATACTAACTTTTAAACTTTCGCGTTCCATGATAATTAATATTATATGAGTTAAACTACCCAGGAATTAGCGGCATGGTTTAAAGTTACCCTACCTACAATTTTGATTCATTTGCATCAAATCAATGACAATGACAGTCCGTGTGACGGATTAAGAATACAGAATGTCACCACCCCTCTTCATTCCATGGGTGTCGTAAAAGTCGACAACAGCACTGCAAAGAGAAGGAAAACTTGAAACAAACCCTATACCAACCCGTCTGGCCAGCGTGGTTTAGTAGGCCCAAAACCTTCTTTCTAAGAAGAGGCCTATATCCAGCAGTGGACTAGTAAAGGCTGTTGATGATGATAAATGAGATAAAAAAATATGAAAAATGGGTGCCTCATGATTCGTCTGATTTGCAGAAACACATGCGTGTTGAAACTTGTGTTGCCTTGTTGAATCTGTAGAGAAATAAAAGAATTTTGGGTCGAGTTGTGACATGTGACGAAAAGTGGTTTGTTTACGATAACCGTAAGCGGAAAATGCAATGGCTGACCCCAGGCCAAACGCCGCAACAGTGCCCCCTGGGGTCAAAGCAAAGCTTACCAATAAAAAGGTAATGGTAACTGTTTGGTGGTCTCTTCATAGTGTTATTCACTATAGTGTGTGTTATTCACATAGCTTTCTCAGCTATACAGACAATAACAGCAGATGTTTACTATACCGAACTTCGAACAATGATGTCGAAACTAGCAGTGAAACAACCCCGACTATTGCTTCATGCATTTACCATATCATCCTCCGTACTCGCTAGACCTTGCTCCAACGGACTTCAATATTTTTCGTGATTTGGACAATTTTCTGATAAGTATTTTTTTCGGCACATAAAGCTTTCACACAGTTTGTCGAATCTAGATCCCCAGAGTTGTATCGTAAAGGCATAAATTAACTTTCGTTTAGATGGCAGCAATGTATAGATAATGAGGGTAAATATTTTACTAGGAAGTGAATTGACTTAATTCACTGGGCCGCCTGGGCAATAGGGCCTAGGTTGGGCGTCGCAGCTACGAGTCTTCATTGCAGACATCGGAGTGGATTCTGACACTGTCGGATCGGGCGGCAGAGGTACGCATTCTAGGGCCTCATGCCACCCTGAGTTATGATTAATAAAGAAGTTAGTGAAAATTACTAATTTAAATTGTAATATTAAACCGCTATTAGAATATTGAAAAAAATCCAAATTCACAAAGGTATATTTCAGGAAGCGTTAATAATTTTTCAAATACAGGTTTTGGAGTGCTAAAATATTGTTATTTTTGTAAAAGTTTCGAGACCTCTTTTCCCCGTATACTTATATATAGACAAAAAAAAATTGGGTTAAATTTGCCGGCCAAGGCTCCAGCCTACTCAGCCTGCTGGTAAATCCGCCAAAGGATCTAAGCGTACAAGAAAAAAAGCGACTTCACTGTATACTATGTGAAGATGTGGCCTCTGGCTTGAGGAAAAGACGAAACACGGGCTATACACAATTTTAGTGTTTCACTCGATTTCTTTGGGATCCCATCCTCAGATCCTGATTTGGTGACAACGATACCACTTCGGAGTAGTAATTAGAATTTAAAAAATTATCCCAAAATTGCAGAAACAATTGCACAATAATAATACAAAAAAATAAAGTCGAATTGTTTTTTTTTATTTTTTTCTTAATTAAAGTTACGACGCCTGTAAACAGAGTTTAGCAACTATTCGAGTATATGAGGAATTGCCAGTGAATTACGTAAACCAGTTTTTCGAATCCCTAGTCCCTAGATAGTGACTTAATGAAGAGAAAAGAGACTTTTATGTAGAGCGAATTCGCTTGACTTATTAAACATTTTTCAACTAAATCAGTATTTTTATGGTGATTGGTTGAGTAGTCAAGACTTGCTTACATAGTTAAGTGTAACAAAAAAACTCGATGGCCAAGGGGATATGAAATAACGTACATAGTTGATTTATTATTTTGGTCAAATAAAATTAAAACCAAGATTAAACAACTAACCTTGTACTAGAGTAACATAATGAAATGGTTGTGCTATTTTAGGTTATTTTCTGTTTCGTGTCAAGATGTGCTGATCTGATCTTTAAGGTGAGAAGGGGGTTTTCATTGAGCTATGTAAGTATATACGGGCTGCTTCCAAATTTTCTATCATGCTCCTGTGACTTAAGAATGATATGAGTCATATCATTCTTAAAAGTCTGCGGAGGCGGAGGCGAGGAAGGATGTCTGCGATTTGTTACGCAAGGGCGAAGAGGCTGCTCTTCCAGCGCCGGAGACGTTGCAGTTTCAAAATAGATACAGGAAGGAGTTTTACGTTTCGTTCCACAAGTCGGCATAAGACGGTAAATACTACACATTTTAATAGCTCGTAATGAAAATAATGCAGTAATTTCATATAAATAAACTTTTCAATATGTGTGTATGAAAACTATTGAAATGAGTACAAAATATAATTATTTACGTAAATTTATATAAAATAAAATGTTACCGAACATATGACAACTTAACCTTAGTTAAAACGAAACGATGGAACGTTTCGTTTTCGTCTAAAAATCAATATACTCGTAATATGTGGTAGGGATTGACAATAATTGACATAAATATTGCGAAAATAATTGTTTATTTTTGCTTAAAAACTACGCGTCTCCTCGTGTTGAAACTTTTGCGTGTGTGCTTATAATAATGTAACCATTCTGCAAAAAAAAATATCAACCTCCAACTCAGCGTGGACGATGGACGTCAATGTAAAGCTAAGCCCAAATATAAATAGCTTCCAGTAGAAATAAAATAAATCAAGTTAAATAAAAAGCGTTTATTAAGTCACCGTCTGACTTAAAATATAAAAGGCTACACGCTATTACAATAATTACTATCTAATTCTATGTGTACTTATATAATTTTAGAAACCTAATCATTTAAATAATTTAACACTTAAATAAAACGACAAACTACAGTAGGTATGTATCTAAGTCTAGTAAAAAAGTAATGCTTATGACAATATCTTTTTATATTTATTGCAAAACCAGGTAAAAATTACAAACTATTCTAAGTTCAATCAAGAGTCGAGCGTCATTTTTTCAAAGGATATTAAACCTCCTTTGAAAGTAGACATAAAATGGCAGCCTGAGGTTTAACTGTCAATGGTCCAATATTTAGGATTGCTCTTTGACTTAAAAAATATTAAACAGTGTTTAGTTAACCATAAGGAAAATTTTGTTTTTCATGACTTTTGTTTACGTGTGGTGTCATTGTGCCGAATTCAATTTTGCCAAAGCAAGAGTTAAGCAATATATTTTCTTAATTTATAACTTTATCCCTCTTCAACACGATTATACAAGGGAGACAAATTAAAGATAAACGCTAGTCATGAAATATCGCTCTTCCACTTGGCCCCTGGCAAAAAACTTTAAGCTGGTTGGACTCTGTCAACATTTCTTACTATTATAATCTCATAGTAAAAATGTAGCTACGCGAACGCAAAATTTTCGACTGCCGCTGAAAATAAAATCATTAAATATTGGAACTTCCAAGTAAAACGGGCTGTACCCGATACCTTTTAAAAGACATGCTTTGACATTAGCTCTGTGTAAAAAAATCTTAAAACTCTGTACCTATCAATATTAAATCCAAATAAAAGGTAGATACGCCACCAACGCACAAAACGCGAGGGTCCTAATTAGGACCACTGCGATCGAGCGCACACGTACTAATTAATTCGAGAAAAATCATAAAATTACGACAAAAAGGTAAATAAAGATAAAGGAATATCATAACACAGGTAAGTGCATGTTTTGTTCTAAAATGCATTAATGGACTATGTATGTACGGTTACGGAACAAATATTTTGTGCGTGCAGTATTGATATAACATATCTTCCTTAAAATATTATTTGTACCTATGGTCAAAAGTCGAACACGGAAAAATAAATTTTCTGGCATTACCTGTTTTTGTAAATGGGTTGTAATTAAGACATTATAATGTTTGGTAATTTGTCTTTCAATGGCAACAACCTATCAATTGGGTTCCCCTTAACACTGATTTGTTTCTTGACGTCAATAACCAATTCCTAATTTAAATATTTAGAATTTTGACTCAATGGTTTTAAGGGCAGTCAAAGATAAAACTGGGTTTCGAATGCAATCGATTTTAGACCTAAAGTTTTTTTTGGCGTATTACCGCCCGACGACTGCCCGTACTGTATTCTTCAGTATATCAGTGAAGAGTTCCGTAGTTCTGATGATTTTGAATCCAATCTGGTCGATGATTGTGATTGCTGTCGAGTAGGGCTGAGGAAGATCAGAAACAGGCCGCAGTGGAAAACGTGTTGTCTGTGTGTTGTATCCTGATCCTGCCCATGTTACCACTGTTGGTCTGAAATACAAATAAAATGTTGTAAAATGATTTCATTACTGCAAAGTATGATTTTTATTCGCTTAAGATCTGTTTAAAATCGATTAGTAAATAACGTAAAAAAGTCCACTTTATTGTCCAAAAAATCACATTGCGCGGTCTCATCGTAGTCTGTAATTAAGTTAACCTTTGATAAAGTTTCTTATGGCAATTTTTTTAGAAGCGAGAAGATTCATAATCATAAAAACAAATGGAATTGGTCCTGCGTCCTGCTATGCTTCAATTTGTAGGTACAGGGACTAGTATCGCCAAGGTCACACAACTATCGATAAATTCCAATGCACAATATGACGGCTATAAACTCACCACTAACTCAATCCAAACTAATATAAAACTAAAGAACAAAACAATGTCACATAACTTGAGAACTAAGAACAAACTCGCGTAACTAGTTACGGTAAAAAAACCATATTGATTGAGGGAGCACAGTTGTTCAATAGATTGCCGGCCGTTATAAAAGAATGCGATAACGTGAACACATTTAAAAATAAGCTTAAGAAATATGTATGTACATGTAACTTCTAATACTCTAGAGCTAAATTGCATTCTATTATTACTTTTAACTTTGTATCTCATTATAAATGGACTGTAAGTTTGTATGAGAAATAAAATTCTTTAAACCGAAATGTTACCGATCTGCGCATAATTGTTACATCAAGCGATTGATATTTTGTCACTTATACCAACTTAGTTATGCGCATTTAAAACATATATAAAATAGATGTTTAACATCGCGTATCATACCTATTTCTGATCATACTATAATTAATCAAACAAAAGGCTAATGAGACGGATATAAATCTTTGTCATCACTTCCTTCTTTATTAATTATTGCATTTAATAAAGAAGGAAGTGACGACAAAGATATTGCAAGTAGGTAGGTGCTTTGAATAATCTAACGCTATCTTGTAATTTTTAATCAATCGTAGAGTAAAGTAACCGAAAAATATAGCGTAAATACATTTTATGTACATACGTAAATACAATTTGTCTTTTCAACCAAGTTTTATTTGAATTTTTTCGAAGAGAATATGGGTAAAACCTAAACGAAATGAATTTAATAAGGTGTATTTTCCGTATTGTGTGACCTTTCAAAACCTGCCGGCTGTATCTATCTTGAGAGACACGCTCATGATTCTGTATTGTCATAATTCTATATTCTATTGGAAACGCTGTCACGCAGAACGAACTCTATTTAAAGATGCAAACCTCGTCAACACAGTGCTAATTCACACCTCGTGCGATTAGAACGCGTTCTTAGTGGTTAACAAATATAGTAAACAACTAACCGGTTTCTTATCGCTCGGCGCAGCGCGATCGGCGCCCGGCCGTCTGTTGTGTGAAGTTAATATGAACCATATTCTGAATGGCTAGCGGACGTGTTTACAATGACTGCGATGAAAATTCCATAGTTGACCAGCGTGGTGAGACTGACCATACATATTGTTTAGAGGAGAACATGGAGACAAATGAAGAACTAACAAATAAGCGGTTAAGAATCGAGAATGGTGAAAAAGGTTGGCAGACGGTTGCGAAGAAAAGAAAATCTATAGATCTTTCCACCACGCAATCGGTAGAAAATATGTGGCAGATATGCGTATATTCTAAAGAAAAACTACCTAAGCAATTCGCTATGGCAAAGTTACTAAACGAAAATAAAATAACTGGAGTCACAAGAGTTAAATATGTTAACCCTTATAAGGTATCATTCACTTTTGATAAGGAAATTAACGCCGAGAAGTTTTTATCTTGTACCGCCTTAAGTGAACTTGGTTGGCGCCGACAAAAAACTTGGGAAGTTGACTTATGCTATGGAATCATCAAAGATATAGATGTGGAACTATCAGAGGCGGAGCTCCTAAAATGTATTCGGGCTGATAAAGACCTTGTGACCGCTAAGCGGATGAATAGGAGAACGGAGGAAGGATGGACTCCGAGTGAAACCGTGAGAATTGGTTTTAAGGGTAGTTCTTTACCAAGTCATATTTATTTAATGGACCTACGAATTGCTGTCTCTCCGTTTGTGTTCCCTGTGACACAATGCTCACGATGCTGGAGGTTCGGTCATACATCGAAGATGTGCCCCTCTAACAAGCCTCTCTGCCCGAAATGTGGCAAAAATGATCACGCAAACTGTGATATACCTATTTATAAGTGTGTCAACTGCTCTGCTAATCATATTTCACTATCAAGGGATTGTCCAGTTTACGCAAGGGAAAGACGGATTCGTGAGATTATGTCACAGCTGAAGTGTACTTATCAAAAAGCCGTGACTTTTATTCCGCCTTCTCCGCGTCGTACAGCCGAAGCAAACAAGTTTTTCATTAATAGCAACAATGGCCTTGCCTCTCAAGAATCATCTAACACCAGTGCACCGAGTATTGACACCGAACAATTCGAATTAGCTGAGATCAACGGGCGACCAAAGACAACTATCACAAAAAAGACTCACAAAAAAAAGAAAACAAAAGTTCCGGTCCACCTGTCCGATAATGTTATAGTGGATATGTTTGTCACTGACTCTAACCCCGAAGATTCAGCTGACCCTCAAGATTCTCAAACTACACAACCTCATACAAGGAAAAAATCTCGCGAAATATCGCCACTTCGGCGTGTGTGGGATAACATTAAAGAGATGATACATAACATAAAAAATCAGATTCAAACACAATTTAAGGATGGGTTAAAAGTGGTTGTAGATTGGCTTAACATATTTCTAAGTAATTTAATACCCGATATGTCTGTTTTAAAAAATATATTTACGTCAGTTAATGGATAACGCTTCCAATACATTAATTAGATTGAACATAATACAATGGAATGCCCGAAGTATTAAGCCCAAACTAAAGTCATTCGAACAGTTATTAATCCAAGAACACATCCATATTGCGGTGGTAAGTGAAACATGGCTTGCACCAGATACTCATGTAAATATCAATAATTACTATATTTTTCGTCTGGATAGGGATGGATATGGTGGTGTGGCAATTATAGTGCATAAATCAGTTCAAACACAACGGGTTGAAATACATAGAACTAATTCTGCTTTAGAATTAATTCATATAAAATTATTTAATTGCAATCAATTAGAACATTTAATTGCCATCTACTGTGCTCCGGAATCGTCGACAAATTCTCAGACATGGGACTATTTGTTTTCTATGGCAAACAGAAAGTCGCTTATATTGGGCGATTTTAATGGACACCATTCAAACTGGTCTTACAAAACAGATACGAGGGGAAACCAAATCTTAGATTCAATATTAGACTATAATTATATGATATTAAATGATGGTAGCCCTACACGTTTTCAACTTGTAAACAATGTATATAGAAAATCTTCTCCTGACTTATCTATAGCGTCCTCTGATATCTCTTTGGGTTTTGATTGGATGGTATCAAATGAAACGTTGGGAAGCGATCACATGATTATTAAAATATCTACTTCATTTTACTCAAATGAGCAGTATCAAAAAAGAAGAAATTTCAAAAGGGCTAACTGGACAGTCTATGAGAGTTATCTTGATGAAAAATTTAATACTTATGATACCTCCACTCTTTATAATCCTCAAGTAGCTTATAATTCGTTCTTAAATATTTTATACGATGCCGCCGAGAAGTGCATCCCTAATATAAAATTTAGTACTAACCCTACAAGTAATTTTCGGCCTAAACCATATTGGAACCCCGAACTATCCAAGTCAGTGGCAGAGAGGCGACTAGCACTAGCTAACTTTCGACGTAACCCCACCCCAGTAAATTTAATTGCACTAAAAAGGAAAATAAGTGTGTCACGGAGGATGCTTAGACAGACCCAAAGACAGTCTTGGCATCAATTTTGTAGTTCTATAGACGAAACAACCTCAGTGAGCGGACTATGGAATAAAATTAGGTGGATTAAAGGTTACCAAACACAAAAAAAACACATTGACCCAGATACAGCCAGCCTTCTTCTATATAGCCTAACCCCTGACGATGTACCCCGATGTAAACCTATATTCTCTTCACAAAATTCGGCTCTAGATATTGAAATCACGTTGCAGGAATTAAATCAAAGTATTAAAACAAAAGACACTGCACCTGGGTTCGACAACATTTCTTACAGTATGATTAAAAATTTACCTCTAAACGCTAAATTAGTTCTAGTAAAACTGTATAACTCTTTTCTTTCGACGGGTTCAGTTCCTACTCAATGGCGAGATATTAGTATTATACCTATCCCTAAACCTGGGAGGGACACCCACTCCTCATCGGCACTGAGACCGATTTCGCTTATATCATGTTTGTGCAAAATTTTTCATGCAATTATACAGAAACGACTAGAGTGGTATTTAGAAAAAAAATGTATGTTTTCTAACGACACGTTAGGTTTTAGAAAGTGCAGGTCTTGTCTAGATAACTTAAGTCATTTAGTAACAAGAATTCAAACAGGTTTCTGTAAAAATTGTATAACAATCGGATGTTTCATTGATATAGATAACGCATATAACAACATAAATATCAATAACCTTTTATATAAATTAGATATGTTAGGGGTGGGACAGAAAATATGTAGTTACCTTTTTGAATTTCTTCGGGAACGTTATCTTAAACTAGTAATAAATGGTATGTCGGTGACCCGCAGCACCGGTTATTTAGGTTTGTGGCTAGATCGATCTCTTAGATGGGCTAAACACATAAGAGAAATTAATGAAAAAGTATCTAAATTTCTCAGCATCCTTAAGTTTGTGGCGGGGATAAGTTGGGGTATACACCCGAAACATTTAAGAAAAATGTATATTTCTCTCCTGAGGAGTCGTTTAGACTACGGTAGCTTTTTATACGGTGACAGTAGTGAAACACATTTATGCAAATTAGAAAAAACTCAAAATCAGGCTATGCGAATTATCGGCGGGTTTATCAAAACGACACCTATCCATGTAATGAGCAGTGAACTAGCGATACAGCCGTTACATATACGTAGATGCTACTTAGCCGGTAAATTTTTACTAAAATGCAAATCTTTATTAACGAAGAGTAAAATAATTAACTACTTAGAGGATTTAGCCAACTATCTAATCGCATGGCGTAGGAAAAATAAACCTGTTTTAATAATAATGTACGAACAATTGAGAGAAGTGCAAGTTCATTGTAGCCAAAATTTAGAGATGTTTGAGAGCCGAGTGTGGATGGCCTATATAGATATTTCCAAAAATCTAAAAGATAATATAGATTACATAAACAAGCCTAAACAGCAATACGGGACATCCGTTTTAAGAGATTTGTGTTTTAATTATATGGATACTCGGTTTCCGAATTATTACCAGATATTTACCGATGGATCGAAAGAAAAAGGTGGTGCGGGGGCGGCCCTCTTCGATCCTCAGCAAAATACATTCGCTCGCTATGGAATTAGGGTAAAAATATCGATCATGTGTATTGAACTAATAGCTATTAGTGAAGCGTTATCTTACATCCATTCTATTGACCATGACAAGTTCGTTATTTTTACTGACGCTAAAAGTGCCCTCCTACATGTAGCTCGGTGTACCTCGACAATTCGAGGAACACCGATAGCATACACAATTATGAATCAAATTGTTGAGTTAGAACGGAGCGGTAAAACAGTACATCTTCAGTGGATTCCATCTCACATTGGTATAACTGGGAACGAAATGGTTGACACACTTGCAAAGCAGGCTTGTTCTGAAGGTATATATATTTCAATACTGCCTTACTATTCAGACTGCCTATATCTTGTAAAAGAATACTGTCTTAAATCCTGGAAAGAATATTTCGATAAAAGATCAACCGAAAAGGGTATCTGGTATAAAACTATACAACCTGAACCGCTGGCTATCCCTTGGATTGATAACTGTTCTTTGAGTAGACATAAATTGATAACGGCTATGAGGTTACGCTCTGGACACATCCCATCCAGAAAGTTCACCTTTTTAATGGGTTTATCATCTACGCCAAATTGTGAAATCTGTGGTGTGGTAGAGGACGTAGAACATGTTTTGATGGAATGTGTTCGGAACCAACAACTGAGAGAACGCCTGCTTAATGATAAGTTGATGGACATTGGAAGATGTAACAGCATCCTGGCCAGTCCTTTGACGGATACAGCTAATGATATTTATACCTTGTATTTTCAATATTTAAGTTAATTTTAAAACAAAAAATGGCTATGATGGAGCGACGTAGTCATCATTGTGGCTAAGCTCCGTAAATAAAGAAAAAAAAAAAAAAAAAAAAAAAAAACCTCGTCAACAGAACGCAGTCCCTACAGCAGACCTGTCACTGTCAATGTCAGACTCTCAGATAACAAATACAGTCCTCATTAATTTAAATATCCAAAATATGGCTATAAACTATGTTCGCTGTAGGTCCAAGTACCACAAAAGGGTTGACGTGTCAAAGCAGTAAAACTTATTAACTTATCGTGCTAAGTACATTGAGTTTTTATAGGTAGGTACTCCAAAAGCCGTAAGTCCGTTTAATACAAGGTTTTTACGGTACAATGTTTTCATTTAAATGTATTGAACGTTAGGAGTATCTACCAAAGAATGGTCACTTCAAAGAACAACTAAGTCGATATTTATTTTAAGTAAAGGCCATTGAAATGATGTTGTCTGCCCCCTAAAGGTAGTCATTACACAATTGTAATTCAAATAAAAGAAGGCGCAAAAAATAGTCTCAATTTAGATGTCAACACTTTACAAATGGTTGTTAATAAAAACTAATACAGCAAAGTCAAATATATTTTATCTGTTATAATTTATTTTGACAGGTAGATTATGCTTAGAGATTCATCATTCAATTGTAAAACTTTTTGGTTGTTTTAAATTGTGATACATTTTTAATATTTATGATAAAGGGGACAAACGAGAAGATGGGTCACCGGATGGAAAGTGCCTATCACCGCTCATGAACCCCTGTAATTTATTAAAACATAATTAGTTACTAAATGCGTCCGTACATATGGCTGTAGGTACGTTGCGGGTTAGGCTACTCAAAACATTGCCGTCTTTTAAACACCCTATTCAGAATATATGGATCTTAAAAAAATGCATGAAAGTCCAAGTAGAAAAAGGAGTCATTATTTTCCTCTCATCTTGTTGATTTGCGTAGGTGTAAAAACGTCGCGGGTAACACCGCGGGTCTCAGCTAGTTATATTAATAAAAAGCAACACAACTTTAAAGTCTTAAAAATACTCGCGTCATCTTTATTTATCGAAACTGTATACGAAGACGACGACGACGTAATTACAGCTCTATTTGTATCGGTATTTAATAAAAAGATTCTAGCTATTCAAGAGTTGGACGTTAAGAAAGTGCAGTCGCTACAGGCATATAAAAAAAGGTAAAACAAAATGCAATTACGTTTGTTTTGCCTTAACGTTTATTTACGACATAAAGTTGTGATATTCTGATCGGTCTATTATCCACTGGTCAACTTATTTAGCATTTCTTATACCATTAACGTGGCAAATAAAGGTTTTTGAATAGCAAAAGGATTTTAACGGAACCGTCTGCTTGTTTAGCAACTATTCCCTAAAAAGCTTACAATTTTACTCGCAATACATTGGTACCTATTCCCCAATAAAATAAATATGTGACTACTTTGCAAATATAAATACATACCTTGAAGTTTTTGGTCGGGTTGTGGTTGGATTTGTCATAGTTGTGGCGGGCCTGGTGGTGGTGGGCTTGGTCGTGGCTTGCGTCATAGGCCTTAGCTTGATACCAGTTGAGTCACTACCCGTCATCAGCTCACCGTCCTCTCCGAATCTGGAATGCAATATTTTGATACGTTAAAATATAGTAAGATTTTTTATGTGTGCCTAACTCTGTTTTTTTATTTCTTTTTATTCTTATACTAGCTGACCCGCGCAACTTCGTCTGCGTCTCTCAATAGTAATAAATTTTCTCCGTTTTTGAAACATTCTTCATTGGTGCTCCGCTCCTATTAGTCTTAGCGTGATGATATATAGCCTATAGCCTTCCTCGATAAATGGGCTATCTAACACTGAAAGAATTTTTCAAATCGGACCAGTAGTTCCTGAGATTAGCGCGTTCAAACAAACAAACAAACAAACTCTTCAGCTTTATAATATTAGTATAGACTAGCTGAACCGCGCAACTTCGTCTGCGTCTCTCAATAGTAATAAATTTTCTCCGTTTTTGAAACATTCTTCATTGGTGCTCCGCTCCTATTGGTCTTAGCGTGATGATATATAGCCTATAGCCTTCCTCGATAAATGGGCTATCTAACACTGAAATAATTTTTCAAATCGGACCAGTAGTTCCTGAGATTAGCGCGTTCAAACAAACAAACAAACAAACAAACTCTTCAGCTTTATAATATTAGTATAGATTAAAGACTAAGGAATATGGACTCCCGCATTGGGAATATGTACTGTATCGCGGGGACTTGACAAACATACATGAAACGGACATAAAAACACCTCGACTCAGAACAACAATTTGTGGATCACACAAAGTGTTATCCCATGTGGGGATCGAACCCACAACACTCATCGCAGTAGAAAGCGGCGAGGTGACCGCTTAAACCGCTTCGCCACCTATGCAGTCATCTTACTTTGATGATCCTAGCCTATCTGTGATTAGTTTTGTTGGTTTTGACATCAGTCATTATTATGTCTTGCAAACTGTGGTGTGATGTCAGTTGTTGCACACCATACGCGACTACTGTAAGACTTGCTCTTATTTTAAAGAATATTGTGTTTATTTATTCCCGGCCACATTCTGAGTTTTCTTAAGTAATTACATCTTACTTTTCTACAATTTAGGTATTCTGTATTAAATCGTGCAGCTGTCATTAGCTACGTTTTCCGTTTAATCGAATTAAAAAAAGATAAAATTAACTATATTTACGAGGTAGATAACCTTACAACCAGTCTCGTGACCTTGTGATTATATTTCAATAGCGTTGAGGTGTTTTGCACAAATACCGTAATAAATTAGGGGTCATGTCGGCAATAGTTGCGGCTAATATGCGGTCTATTTTTCATGTTTCTAAATGTTTTTGATTAGTTCTCAATTCCACTGTATGATTTTGCTTACGTTTGCTACCCTTATACTCCGTCTTCCGTTTGATCTCTTCTCTTCGATTCGATTCTCTTCTTTCTCGATCTTCCGTCTACGGTACCTGGCCCGTTGACGCCATCTCCTTTGGAAGCATAACTTGCTCGCAGAAGGAGACGGCGGAGTTCCACGATGTTCCACCATGGCGGCACTCATGTTACCGAGCAAGAGAATTCCCACGCCACGAAGCAACGCCTCTGCTCTACCCACGCCGGGCATTCTGCCAGCGTGTGGAGTGCTGTGTCCACGGTCCGGCAATCGCAGTGGTGGCACTCAGGCGTTGGCTCCTTGCGGATCAGACGCGGGTGATCTCCGACGCATTCTTTCCCGGTGCGTGAACCGGTATGAGAGGGTTCCGTGATGCCTCTCGAGCCAATCCTCCATAACGGGTCTTACCGCCGCGATAACGGCGTGCCCAGCGCTCGGTTGCCCAAGTCGTTCCTTCCACTGCTTCACGAGGACCCGGCGGAGTTGGGATTTCTGATCCTCGATTTCTCGAGACTTAGGACACCGACCCAACTCCCGCGCCTTCTTGCGCCACTGATACAGAGCCGCAATGACTCTCGCCTCCAGGTTCCACGGTGGAGTTCCGGCTAGGAGACTCGCCCATACTGGGGCCCCAGTATGGGCGGAGACCCTGTCAAAGCCTTACAGTACTAAGATTAAAATACGATGATATATCATGAAAGTACTAATTCTCACACATAATCCTTGCGTATCTTGAACCTCTGCGTTTTAAAGAATTCCAAGCCGGCTTATTGTGTCGACACTTATTACTTAGCATGTTTTATGTCCCTCATTTAGTCTAATAAAACATGGTTTATCTTCAATTGGTGAGTTGTCATGTTTAAATTAGTTACTTGACCATATCATCAACTTTTCACCTACAGTAGATATACCTCGTGCGTCTAATAAGACAATAACATTGGTTTTTATTTGCATTAATGAGTTGGTAAAATTTTAAAGAAGAAACAATTTCTAAAAAGGCTGGCGCAAAAACTATTGTTTGTTTATTTATTGTTTGTTCACAAAATCGGGGCCGGTTCATAATTTCGTCAGTCACTACATCGATCGTCGCTATATCGAAAACGTTCAATCGACAGGTTACTGTAACGAGAGTACGCCATATCGATGGTACGTTACATCGACATGACACCATATCGACGGTACGTTGCATCGACACGACACCATGTCGATGGTACGCTGCAGGGACAGTTCACCATATCGATTGCTTCTGAAAGGAGCATGGTAGGCTCACCTAGCTAACCAGTCCTCGACGCATAAAGGACCACTCTTGAGTCTAAACGCGGCAACCGAAGCCCACAACCAATACCAATACCATATCGATTGCTTAAATTAATATTTTTACTCACCAAGCTGTGGGGCATGATTATGAGTTATTACTATTAGTATATACTATTTTTTAACATGTGATTATTATCACAAATACTGACTACAAGTACTACGACACTCTGCCCTGGCGTATGTTTTCACGCCATACCAGTAGCGCACACCTTTATAGTTTACTTTGTTCTTCACCATTTTGTAACCATTTATTATTTAGCTATATTTAATATCTACCATTTTCGTGGTGAACAGCAAGACAACAAAATAATCAAAACAATTTAATCATCAACTTATGAGGGTAGAACAAAAAATGTTGTATAATATGGCTGAGGCACAATTTAGTCAATGTTCGTACAACATAAGTTAAAAGCTGGTAAAGATAGTTCAACTCAGTTGTGCGCGCGGCCCTATGTGTGCGTGGGCTTGTAAATATACAACTTTCATTCGTGTGGCAGTCGGACGACGACTGCCACACGAATGAAAGTTGTATATTTACAAGCCCGGCAGTCGGACGACGACTGCCACACGAATGAAAGTTGTATATTTACAAGCCCACGCACACATAGGGCCGCGCGCACAACTGAGTTGAACTATCTATAATTACTAATGTTATGCATGATTTGTGAGTATGGGCAATTTAACAACAACAATATGAAATTATATATTTAAAGAAGAAATAAAAAATTAACAAATTATGCTGTATGAGTAGTTATCATATAATATATATATACTCGTATGTGTACATTCTAAACGAAGTATCATTTTTTTGCAAATTTGTTAAGGCACAGCACTTATCAAAAACATTTATTTAAAAAAGAAATTGACCTCATGTCGTGTAAAAAAATTAAAATCTTCGTTAAGTCTTTCAAATTAAAAGAAAAACGAAACAAAATGTCAAACTATTTTACAGTGTCGTAATATTGATCTCTTTGCACTGCACTTACCATAAATATTTATAAAAACATAAAAGTCGATATTATGTCATATAAGGAAACTATATTTTATGACAGTTGTGAGACCGAAACTTGATTGAATTGAAACCGAACTTTATTACGAGAATTGACCTTCTGGAGATCAGTTGCCAATCAGATGACAATTTTCATCCTCAGAAACAAATTTCAGTCTGTTTTTATTTGTGTTCTAAGATCTTGTTTACTCGGTACTATCTTAATATTTGAGTCTTTTCTAAATAATCATCAGTTATTTTCTTAATACCGACAATTTCACAATCATCTTCCAAGTCGCTTTGAAGAACTTTTGTAATAGCTTTCTTTCCTGACGTGGATTGCTTTGCATTTTTTCTTTTAAGTGATTTTTTATCCGTCTTAATCTCGTAACTTTCAGGTGTTTCAGTTGCAATTATAGGGTTTCCTAATCGCCTTGGCTTTCTTTTCTTACTTCTTGCAGCTTTAATGGCCTTTTGCATATCATCCTCGGTATTCATTTCTGCCTATTCGTTAATAAAATATTTAAATCATTTTAAATTTTTTTTGCTACTTCCTGTATATTAGTTACATATTACGATAGTGGCTAGGTTACCAAAAAGTACTCCGTGAGTAGCAAGCAACTGTGTACACAGTAAATCAGACCCACCCTTGACCATAGGTCTAGTTTAAATGTAAACAAGAAATAACCTTGTAAAAACAAAGTCAGCTAGTCAACTATTCATGTGTTATATTATAGCATAGTTTCAAAGTCAAAGTGTGGTTACACAATTTAATCGATATTTATCATAAGTTAGAAATTATGAACAAAATATCAAGTCACATTACAAAATATTCATAACATATTTGTGGTCTTACGTCGTCCAATGAGCACAGCCACGCCGGACCTGACAGAGGGGATTGCGTGCTAGGGGCCGTTTGTGAGCGGATAAGCTACAGGTTTCGTTAATATGTGCACGACCCACTGTACCCAACTGATCCACTGTTTACCCGGTGACTCTACTGCAGACCCACAACATTCAGCGTATTAGGAAACGGCGAGGTGACCGCTTAACCACTGCACCATCCGTTGCAGTCAAATATTTGTTATTCATTCTTCAAATTTATTCTTCATTATCTATTTTTTCTTTTGTTCTGTACTAAATTTATTAATCTATTTAACATTATTTTTATTGTATACTTATGGAGTTTTTCAGAAATAAATGTTTTTATTATTATGATTAATATAGAAGTATATATCGGCTATAATTAATTACTATAGACTAGAAATACAACGACATTACGCTTTTGTTCTGGAATCTTCCTTTAAACGATTATTTAGTAATTATGAGTATCAGTTTTAATAATAAATATTTTAATTGATCACTTAACTTGTTTCATTTAAATGAGGCTTCGATGTAACGATAAGTGCCACGCACGCATTCAACGGATCATTCACCAGGAATTAAATTTCCGAGAACCGCGATAGATCGATTATCATACATGTTACGACATATGTTACCGATTGTAACCAACCAATTTAATTCTACAATCAGGTCTTGTAGTAAACCAGTCGATCGGAAACCGTGTTTTATTGTTAACGAAATGTCGATTACACTTATCAACACGCAAAGGGCACTAGAGCGGTTTGTGCTTTTGATGTCTTTTTTGGCATAGGGGACCACCTCAGAGCAAATAAAAAATGTCATATAAATATTTCTGTGCAATAATTATTATGTACTGTATTCAGAAAATTCCAATGATTTTCGACTCAGAATGATGGTCGGAATACACTATTTCAGTATTCGTTATTAGCGTCCCTTACACCCTTTATATGTGCAATTATGTATTTTTTTTAATCCATGTGACCAGCTCAGCACGGATCAATGTCTTCCGGATTGATTGTGTAGTTACTATCGAACTCGTTTTAGTGACTTGCAAGCTTTAATACTTCTTTCTGATTTTTAATTATCTGTGGAACTTTGTGTCCTTGCTGTGCCAAAATTTAGGCAAGTATATATCATCAACATCAACAGCCTTTACTTGTCCACTGCTCGACATAGGAATCTCCTTAGAAAGGAGGTTTCGGCCTACTATCCCATTCTGGCCAGACGGGTTGCTATAGGGTTTTTTCCTTCTCTTTTTGCAGTGCTGTTCCTGCGTAGTTTACTCCCTTAGTCGGCTCTTACGACACCCACGGGATGAATAGGGGTGGTGACACTATGTTTTCTAAATCCCTCGCCACTCGGATAATATTTGTATGGTATACGAGTATATAGTAGGCCAAAACCTTCTTTCTAAGGAGAGACCTATCTCCTGTAGTGGACTATTAAAGGCTGTTGATGTGATACGAGTATATATTTGTTTCTATACCCTATTTACGCATGTAGGTACTTAGTTTTGCTATACTAATGTGTTACTTGATATTTATCAATCTATTGGTACATACACTGCATGCCTTTATAGATCTGTGTCTTATTTGTAGGTATGCTGTTGTTTCGGACTTGTCTATAATAAATAAAATAAAAAATACTACCGAAATGTTCATATTATTATTATTCGATGAATGATGTTTTAACCAATTCCTTATTATGATTCGTATGATATACCTACAAATATTGCTGTTGGCTTAATTTTGTAGTTTTCTGGCAGTTTTTAAGTGATGAGGGTAAAACCGGTTTTAAATTTTAAAGAGTAGGTACGCCATATTTTATTATTTTTACAAAAATATTTTTTTGTGGCAACTACATCAAGTTACTATAATATGTAGCTATTGCCCAGGGCTTAAAAATGACATGTCCTGTTTAACGTAATAGCGTGTTATATACTGACATACGCATAACACATAAACATCAATGTATAGTACGGTATTAATAAATAAATAAATAAAACGGCGCATTTACCTATTTAGTACAATAGGTCTCGGTGGTGTAGATGCAGCGACGTTGTTGTCTGTTGGGGGCGCAGTAGGCAGTGATGGGGGAGGCGGCGGCGGCGGCGGCGCTGATGTGGTTGTGCTGATCGATACACCTTAAGAGAAATAAAGTTATATAAAATCATTCCAAAACTTTGGACCATGACCATGGACATGGACCATGGACTTTTGGCAATTTTTTTCGTACAGGAACAGGAACAGAACCACAACAAATTTTCATTTTTTGTTAAAGTTTTAATAACAGGAGATGGCAATAGTTATAGTTATCCGCGTAATTTATTCTAGAATGAATAATTTTTGACTATTCTGTGTGTTAATAAAACGATTGTTGCAGTTTAAATCTATTCAGACGTTAATTGCAAATGATTAAATTCATAATTGTTGTATGTCACATATTTCCTGGTTATGACTGTTTTACAGGAGAGTCCATTTTTTAAACTTTTGGAACTGGTGTCCCATCCCTTTTATCTTAAATTTAATTAAGTTTGAGCCGCAGGTTCTTGTGTTTCTAGTTTTTTGTCTAAAAAGATTTTGGAACATACAGTAACATTTTAAGTAACAAGTGATTGACGATGAATTTTCCTTTGGCATATTCTTTTATCGTCCTTTGTCCAGCAGTGGACTATTAAACGCTGTTGACATGTGGTGTGATGAGATTTGAAAATATTTTGCAAATATTAAAATCTTTATGATGAAACAAGTTGCCGCTGGGGTGTAAAAGGGTCCATACTTTACATTATAATAGATGACACCGAAAGGTCACATAATGTTTGTACTGTAATAGGTGAATTGTTTTTATTGTAGTGAATACACGATATCTCATATAATTACAATACAATTTAATTTTAAGGAGCTTATTAAGCTCAATTGTATAGGTTTAAATGGGTAAGAAATAAAACTTTTGTGATAGATAGATTTTTAGTTTGGTTTAGATAGATTTTGCGTGTGGTGACGGATTAAGAATACCGAGTGTCACCACCCCGTTTCATCCCGTGGGTGTCGTAAGAGCCGACTAAGGGAGCAAACTACGCACGATAACAGCACTGCGAAAAGAATAAAAATATAAAATAAACCCTATACTAAACCGTCTAGCCAGCGTGGTATAATAGACCAAACCCTCCTTTCTGGGGAGAGGCCTATGTCCAGTAGTGGACCATTGAAGGCTGTTTATGATGATGTTGATGATAGATACATGAATGTCGACTTTCTTAACTGTTTGTTTTTATAGTTAAATCCTTGTAGATAGCAATGGTCTGGCCTCTAATTATGTCAGTGGGCCTTAAGTTATAATCTACAAAAAGTGGGTGCTTAATATGCCCCTGTCTACCCTTTTAGAAATATAGGCGTGTATATACATACACTCAAATACATACAATATAAGTATATGTAATATAAAAAGCCTTTCAAAATAAGTTTTGCTTCTACTACTCTTGGTCTTACCTGAACCATGGATGTAATTGAAATCCTCTTTGGCCAAGAACTCTTCGAAATACCTCGTGAAGTCTCCAGTAGGATCCCATCGAGATGACAGCTTGGCCCACTCGTCAGGATAACCGTATTTCAACCGTTTGACAATCTTAACAGCTGTTTTCTTCTGTCGTTCTGTGCAGCGGATGCATTTCGTTCTTAGCGCTTCTGGAAGTATTCCTGGAAATAAGAAAAACATCTTTCATAAAGAGATCCGTTTCACCTGTATTACATTAAATTAAAATATTTGAAACTGACAAATCTATATAGTATTGGTAAGTATAGAAAAACATATTTCGAGTTTGTTTTTCGTAAACTTCTTGAACTATTTGATATTGTCAAATTTTGTATTGAGATATCATCATCTGCCTACCCTTATCTCAATTTTAATTTGAGGTCTGCGCAGTATGTTTTTATTTCACCGTTCACTTCTTTCCTAGCTATATCCTCTCTCTTACACAGTCCACCTTTCTTTGGGCTTCCTCTTCTCTTGTACCATTCAACTCGCATACCTAACACTGTCCTCGCCACATTTTCCTCATCCCTCAGCATAACATGTCTGTACCAAGATAACCTTTTACTTTTTAACTTTTCATCCAGTGGCGTTACTTTCAGACTCCCTCGTATATACTCATTCCTGAGCTTGCCTATCTACACCACACATCCACCACATTCGCATTTTGGCTACGTTCAGGCGCCTCTCATCCGTTCTCTTAATGGGTCCATTTTCAAAACCATACAGGACGGCGGGTCTGATTATTGTTCTGTATATTTGTCTTTTTAATGTAATAGAGAACTTGGGATCGCAAATAGTTCCTGTTACCTGCGCAATTTTTCTTTTTAAAAACACTATCTTACAAAAAAAGACTGTCATTCAGAAACTTAATTTGAATTTAGTAACTTATTAAAAAGCGTCTAAAATGGGATATGTACATGCGAGTAGCATTTTTAAAAACAATTTCTAGTTTTAAAAATTAGTTAGTTCAACCATAAAATCAAACTACTCCGTATTCCTATTACGGCATTAACCGGTTACAACATATAATTTACTGCAGAAATTATTGATCGGAATGGCCAATTATATAACGAATACAAGTTTTTTAGTTATTTAATAATTGATATGTATTGCAAATTATGATAGCTATCATTATTTAGCTTGAAATTGTTATTTCAAGGTAATACTTCTATGACTAGATAAACCAGTAGCTTAAACTCTAATCCTAACTGGTTTTTAATGCTGTGAGTCTATTTTTATTTCTTTGTTACGTTTTGAAACGTCAGAGGTTCAGAATACTAATGGATACTTTTCATCCAGCAATAAGTACAAAAAGAAAAAATATACATATACATATGTAAATAATTTAAATTAATGCAAACAAGCTGTACCCTGCCACATTAAAAAAATCAATCACTTTATGATAATAATATCTTGTAGTTGACACATAACGATTTTATTGCAGAAATAAGTTTTATTTTGCTAATTTAAAGGTAATCTTTTAGGGTAAATTTATTTGATTTCTAACCGAGCAATTTGAGCATTGAGTTTTAAAGCTTTTACGTTAAGTTGAGTTTACAATTATTTGCAAAGAGCAAAGCATAGATTGTCTGATATTGAATTACGTGGGGCAAATAATTAAAATGAAAATATCTTTGAACATTAATATCTACAATATTACTATAATAAGGTTCTAGGCACTAAATGTGTTGAATTTAATTTGAAGACAGATATTAACAAACCGCTACACGCCTATAGAAACTAGAAAGAAATATGTTACGTTATTATATTACATGGTTAAAATAAGAAAAAATCTAGTAACGGTTTTCTTGTCTCATTCAAGAATCCGGTTTCTTAGCTTGCTACTAGAGATAACAAATCATTAAGTCATTTTGTCATCAAGAATACGTAAGTATTGTCTATGTATGTACGTGTCCTTGAGCAAACTAGGCGGGGCACAGCACTGCAAAAGAGAAAGAAATCTCGACACAAACCCTATACCAGCCCGTCTGGCCTGCGTGGTATAGTACGCCAAAACCTCCTTTCTAAGGAGAGGTTTATGTCCAGCAGTGGAGTATTAAAGGCTGTTGATGATTTATGTAATTTTGAATGTTTTTAATCTATACTTTCAAGTTGTGCAAAAAATGTTCTCTGTTCATATTTAGTCTATGTCTTACAATTTTAAATATAGAACCATTAATTTTAAACAATGAAACCGTTGTCCTCAATTTTGAAATTTCTTTTGTGAGCCATATTTAAGAAGTAAATAATTTCCTTTGATCTCTTTACTCGTAACGGTGAAAAGTTAATATAGTGAAAGTACCTTTCTTCAAGAAAGCTCGTTTAACTTGAGTGGACAAGTTTCTCGCCTAAAGGAGTCAATAATTACAAATTCATGTTGAAACTATAATAAAATTTACTTAAGTGCGTCTTTTTTAAAAGTTACTCGTGCATTTTATGTACCATGGTAACCAGACTGCTGTTAAACATACTTATATATATATTTCTAAATCCATACATATTACAGATAAATTACACCCAGACACAGAACAAAAGATCGTGCTCATCGCACAATTATTTGTCCTGGCTGTTAATCGAAGCCATGAGTCGCATAGAGGATTCGATCCCGGTCGATTTTTATAATCCCGGGATTCCGGGATTATCTACAGTTAATATCGGGATCCCGGGATAGTCCCGGGATTGTTTTGGCAATGGAAAGTGGTAACAAAAAGACAGTAAAACATATCAAAATATTTTTTTTGTTTATCATTTAGTTTTGTGAGGACATTTGGAGATTTAAAACTTAAATATTCTATTTAAGTTTTAAATCTCCAAAAAGGCGGTTAAACAAAATTATACTTTCTTCTTATAAAATAAACAAACTAGTGCCTAGTTTGTTTTGTGTTTCGGTAAATAATTTATGAAACTAACAATAAACTTCAAAAAATCAACTTCTTTAGACTTATTTAGATAAACTATAAAAAAAAAAACTATATGCTTAAGAGATTTCGGGACTAAAATATGACCGGGATCCCGGGATCCCGAGTTCCGGGATCCCGCAATCGAATCCTCTATCGCACGCTCTGGCTTAGCGGTAGTGACCTTCACTAACCACTAGACCAAAAAGCACGTCATAAACAGATATTTTCATTTTAAAGGTATAGCATTTGTTAGAGCACTTATTATATAAATCCGTACTATCGAGTGGGTCCTATGCACATTCCAGTCTTGTGCCAGAATAACTTACTTCTACGACTACGCATCGGCATTTTGATAATTTACTAACTGTAGCCTGCCACACTTCGCTGTTTCACATAGTGCTTGCATTGATGAGAAACTACACTAACTTAACCATTTTAAGTATATGATAATCTTCTTTTGATAAATAGTTTATCCAAAACTCTTTTTTTTCTTTCTTTTCTTTTTTTAAAAAGATAACTCCCGCATTACGAATAATATATCCTGTGTCGGGACTTTACAAACATACATGAAACGGACACAAAGAGCACCCAGACTCAGAACAGCAATTAGTGGATCATATAAAGTGTCGTTCCATGTGGGGATCGAACCCACAACACTCAGCGTAGAAAGCGGCATGACGATTGCTTAAACCACTACGCCATCCGTGCAGTCAACTACACTTAACTATTATTAAAGATTTTTTTTTAATTTGAAGCATTCCTTCCTGAGATGAGAGCGCTCAACCAATCAAGCAAACAGTGCAGCTTTATAATATTTGTATGGGCTATTTCTTTGCTTCTGATACTTCATTTAAATACTGTTTAAACGATAACCTTATTTTGTACGATTTTATTGTTGCCTTCGACAAATGAGCATGTTTTCTCGTGTGCAGATTAAAAACATAGCAGATCTCAAAATAGATAATAAGGAATTTGGCATAAACATGACATTTATATTCTATGGAGGTCTAAGTGGCGCACGTTCTCAGTGAGGTGAACATGATACTATATCCTTGTTTATAAACAAAAGGGACTGATCATGTTTACTGAGAATCTTTTACGGTTAGTTTAGACACGGACTTTCAGATTTTAATAAACAAACTTAGTTGTATAGAGCCCTCCAAAATTGTTGTAGACTTGAAAGAATTAGGAAAAAATAATTTTCATTCATGTAATATGTTTCTATTCCAATATAATACAAATATATTTGTTTAATTGTTTGTTTTTCTAAACTCGCTAATATGAAGAACAGTCAGATAAACGCAGATGGAACTATGGGGATGACTATTACATGTGCAATCAGTAAATTAATAAAAACCAATTTCTCTCCATTATTTATCTTTAAAACTTCAGAGCTAAATCATCAGCAGCCTATGTAACCGACTGCTGGACATAGGCATCTCCACAGACATTAGGTATTGGCCACCTATACCACGCTGGTCAGACGGGTTCGTATGGGGTTGGTTTCAAGTTTTCCTTCTCTTTGTAGTGATGTTGTCCTGCGTAATTTGCTCTATTAGTTGGCTGGCTGGATGGACGGCAATAGAGGTGGTGACACTTAGTATTCTTAATCCGTCACCACACGGATTGAACTTCAGAATCTTCAGAACAAAATGATAAAGTTATTTTTGATCTCGGAATCAAAACTTTGAATTGTATTTAAATGTCTAACGATATTAACTTATTCTCGAAAAACATCAGTTTATAATATTATTAATTGAATGCAATAGCGCGTAAATACCCGAAACGATTTTCAAAAATAATTAAAAAGGATTAGTACCATAACTTCAAAGGTGATTGTTATTTTTACCTTTACTACAATGACCAAGGTCACATTAAATGATATTTATTAAAAGATGGCTGCGTTTTTTAAATATTTTAAGGTACAAAAATGACTTTTTACTGCACTTTTGCTATGACGTTCGTTGCTAATACACTGACTTCTGACTGTTGAAGTACCTACTGAAGATCTAGGACAGGATCTCTATTTCAAAACACATGATATTGCAAGCCGATTTGTCTTTTGAGTTAAATTACACCACAATTCCGTCCATTTACAGTGATGTTAACGATTTTAGAAACAGTTAAAATGTGTGTATAAGACAACATCTTTATATATATGTTGTGCGAGATATGTGTTGTTGTAGACTATTTATCAAACTCTTTTAAGACCGGTTAAAAGCGAAATAATTGTAAAAATCTTGTTTTTGTATTGATTTTAATAA